CAATGTTTCTTGACTGCCACTTTATTTCTGAACTTGCATGATTAAAGTTTGGCAGTTAATGGATTGGACTAGAATCCAATACATATTTGTTAATGGAAGGCACTCCATCAGCAGTTTGAAGAGGTGGTAGTTTATCTCACTATGCAGTCTATACATTCCCTCAAAATGAAGTTAAAGTGCCAAAGATTAGTGGAATATAATGGTGTTTTATTTGCTCTTGTGAGAACTCATTTGTCCCCACATGTATCTTCTAGATGCAGGAAAAATACTACTGTTGACTGCTAGCTAACAAGCTATGATTTGAATTAGGCATGACATAAATGAGAGGACAAAAGTGCTCTAAGTTAGGAGACTGAAAGCAAGAAAACAGTTGACTGCCTTTTTGGCATGATTTTATCTGAAGAAATCAATATAAATGTGTCTCTGCTTTTAGATGTTGCAGTATTTATTATACTTAATTAATACTAATATTTACATGTTTCAGTCACACTCAGTTTGGATTATTGCTTGTTTGTTTCCCTTATTGGTTGCCGTGGCAGTCAAGATTAGTATGCAAATATTGTAAGCCATAAGTATCCCTCCATTAGCTTTTGTTAGATGTGATTTCTGCCACTTAAATATACTGTTAAGACATTTGTCCTTCAAGAAAGCAAGGAAGTAAATAGACTGTAAACATTTGGCAATGCCTCTATGCATTTACTTTGCTTATTTTCAAGAGAACACATGTGCTTAGTTGGAAACAGACTGATAAAATTGTCTTTAGCATTTCTACTGTTGTCAGTGAACAGTCCCTCTCTGGCTTAAGTTAGTCACTTTTGAGCTCTGGAGTGTTAACCCACATGATGACCTTGAATACTTTTGAAGTAAAGGGTAGGTGTGTGGTCCAAACAAAAACAAAATCCAAATGTTTTGATTATCTCAGCAATAAAATGGTCATTAGCAACAGAAACTATTTTTACCCAAATAAGCAAAGCCTAGGATGCAATTTTTTTAAAAAATACAGAGGCAGCTTTGGGCAGCTCTTACATACTTAGGAATTAGTTTGCTATATGTCTTCTTATGGATATGTGTGGGAAAAGTAGGATGAACCACAATTTCCTCCCATATGGAATAATAAGACACTCCTGTTGTGTTTGTGAACATCATTTTGCTATCTGATTAGTCACTGAGTAGCAGGACAGTGGATTCAGCTAGGCTTTTGGTCTGATTTAGCAAAGTATTGTTAAGAAGACTCCAGTGTTTGGCTGCAAACATGTTCTTTATCAGGAGACATCAGAAGAAGCAAATTGCTGTAACAGACAAACTGAAGTGTCAGTTCTGTTTGGATATTCAGATATGATATATGCATTGATACCCATCTCTCACTAGTGAAGGGAAGTTTAGGAGCCTTAAATAATGTGCTGCAAGAAATAAAATCAGTCACTCTGAGCCAAATTATCCACTTTCTCATAGAGGCCACCCACTGGGAATATGCCTGATTTATTCTTCTGGTCTTGTTTTTCTCCATTCTTCCTTGACTGAGGATGGGTCATTCTGCTGCATATCTGTATCAGACGTAGCTGGATCATTCAACCAGTCTTGTGTAGGACTGGCTGTCTTTGGAGGATGGCATAGAACAGTGGTCAGGATCTTGTTCAGTCATTCTGCTTTTACAGTGGTCCACCAAGGGAGCAGTTTGATATTTGCAAAGCTTTTGTAATGAGCGATCCAGTATATTCTTCTTTAGGTGGAAACCTTGTTACAGTAGTTTAAACAGGAGGTCTCTGCAGTCTTTGTTGGTGCAATGGATATTGAATGGAACTAAAACTTACAGATGTTATCCACTGCTGGTGTTTAACAAGATTCTGGCCACTGACTACTGCACATGTTGTATGTGGATGGTTTTCTTTGAGTGTTGATATGTCTTAACTTCCTGGTTGTGAAATGTCTCTTTTTTTTAATTTAGGAAAAAGTGCTTTTCTTGACCATCTGTTAATGTTTAATAACAATAGGTTTATAATTAACAACATACTTACAACAGCCTGTATTGTAGCTTTAAAAGGATTTTGAAAGCATCTCAAATCTGTAGTTAAAAGTTCCAATTAAAATTGTTTCCTCTCTCTCCCCCCTACCCCTTCTGTGTCCCTTAAAATTGTTAAAAAGTTCACATTCAGGTTGGGATTGTAAGAAATGAAAAAAAAGTGATTTTAAACACATTGAGTATTTTATGTGGGTTATGAAGTAAAAAGCCCTTAAATTTAATTTTTAAAGATCATAAATGGTATTTGAAAATACAGAGCAGTAGCTTCTTGGGAATTGAGGGAATCTGTTCCCAACTGGCTGAACAAACATTTCAGTTGCCAGCTAGGGCTGACTTTAAATGGACCAGCTGCCTGTGTCAGCAGCATAGGGTTACCAGGGTAACAGTAGCTGTTTAAAGAAGAATGTAGCTGAGAGGGCAAGTTTTTGATCTGTGAGTTGAGAGAAGGAATTTGATGTGCTCATGCATCAGCCCTCCTAATCACACACACTCGAGCATTTGAAGCTATGTGGGTGGTGTGTAGCAACTCACAATTCTGCTGAAGTTTGTGTGGGGCTTCCACTTGCTTCATTTTCTTAGGAACCAAAGCACTTGGAACTTATCATGAAAAGCCTGCATTTCATGTTGATTCATTGCTATATTTGAAACTCAAATTTGCAGTTGCACAGTTGCCACCTCTGGATTCTCACGATCTCTTCTCACAATGACAATGCATATTCATCTTCAGATAATGCATATCCTGAACTGTAGACCTTTCTCTATGGGTGCTTTATATTGCTAGCCATTCTTGTGCTCCAAATTATTTTTTAAATATTTAGTTTGAAAAAAAATGAGAAATCTCAAGATGGATTTTTAGCTCTAGCTTAGCATTTTCTGTAGTAGGGGAAAAAAAGAGAGAACAAGATTTAAACCCCAGATTGGCAGCATGGTGTGATTTTTATTTTTATTTTTTGAGGCTTGATTCTGCCATGCTATGGGTGCCCCAAGCTCCTGAATTCACAGAATTTTGCTTAGCTAATTGGTGGATTGCCCAGAACACAGTCAGGTTGGGAAAGAACGTACACAGAGGGCATAATAGGTACACGCCATCCTCTGTATTAAAGTACCAAACTCTATTCCCTGTCCAACTTGTCTTCAGTAGGGATGAGATGAGTTATGCAGTGGTATGCAGTAATGGGGGGCATATGTGCATGTGCTCACTCTCTGTCATTGTGTTTTGTTCTTGTTCTTATTCTGGGTAGACTGGGGAAAAATTAGCCAAACAGAATGAAGTAACAGCCTGCCTTGTACTTGAGAAAGGGAGGAGAGAATAGATGGCAATTAAAATAAAATCAGCAACTTTAAAAATAAAATTTTCTTAGGGTGTGGGGAACCATATGTTGTGAAGAAAAGTCCTCTTCTAAATAGCTAGAATAATTATCTTGTAACTATTTCTATAACAACAAATTGTTACTAAATGATTTGTTTGTATAGTGTGAAACGTGTGAAAACATGTTGAATAATCATTTGAAAAATGGCTGTGCTTTCAACAGTGAGGAGAAGTTTGGTTGTTTGGAATTTTAATCATGAAGTGAGATATCTGAAAGATTCCACTGTATTACTGGTGTTCAGTGACTTCAAGTTTCCTTTTTCAAAATGTTGACTTTTTCCTCAAATGGTTAGCTAAACAACAGTATTTTTTTCAGCTGTTCCAAGGATTAAACTGCAACGTTAAGGTTGGAGAACAAGGTCTAGCCTTTTCTGAGACCTTTAATATTACTGGCATTTGAAGAATGTGTTCATAAAGTTTTGAACTGAATGTAGTCTCTTTCATGTTCTGAAAAAAAGCAGCTGTGGCACTTCATTTTGAAGCTTAGCAAAAACCCTTTCAGTAGACTTCACTTAGTTTTTGCATTACATGTTTAAGCATTTCCTTTGTTTGTTGGTACAAGAACGTTGTAATAATCACGATTTCAGAGTAACAGATTTCAGAGTGATCAAACGTAGTCTTGCTAAGTTTTCTAATTCAAGAAATTGGCATTTAAAAATGGATAAATCTAGTGCTCCTGTAATAGGCTAGTTCATGTAAATGCCTAGGTATTAAAGACTGAAATATCTGAGAAGCAAAATGTTTAAAATCTTTAAAATTGATATTAAAGGCAATGTTAGTAGTTAACCACTTGTCTGATGATCAGATATTGGTGCAGTGAAATGTGGTTGGATTAAGTTCATTTCCTTTAAGTCAAACACATCTTCTGATGTAGTCAGTCTTTAGAATCAGGGAATATGCCCATATTTTTCTCTTTGTCTACCCCCTTGATATTTAGGAGCCCAAGGAAAATATTTCCTCCATTAAGACTGTAGTATGTAAGTGGTAGTTCTGAAGGAATGGGAAGGCCCTTTCTTACTCCCACCTATTTACATATGCTTTGTTGATCATTGAAGAAATATTTTGATTTGAAAACCATTTGAACGAGTTCTGGGTTTCTAGCCACCTTTCATTCCATCATCTCTCCTACACAGAATACTACCCTATTTCCCCGAAAATAAGACAGGGTCTTACATAAATTTTTGCTCCAGAAACACATTAGGGTTTATTTTCAGGCGATGTCTTATTTTTTTTCCATGTACAGCAATCTACGTTTATTCAATTACAGTCATGTCATCTTCTGGTTGCTGCACAATAGTGGAGGGTGGGGTTTCACTTCACTGGGGGTTATTTTTGGGGTAGGGCTTATATTACAACCATCCTGAAAAATCATACTAGGGCTTATTTTCAGGTTAGGTTTAATTTTCGGGGAAATAGGGTAATGTTTATCAATCTGTATTCTCCTTCTGGCTTTCTTAGATAAAGGGCCACCTTCAAATGAATTGCAGTATGTGGGGCAGCATCTCCATAAATATCTCTTAAAAACTGTTCCAGTTTCAGAATCTGGTTTCCATGTAAAACACCCTTCCAAAATTTATATTATGAGTCATGTCTTACCATTTTGATCTTTAGGTCACGTGACTGTGCAGAAGGGCAACATGGTGTTGTAAAGTATGTCAGAGGTACTGATGCTGTACCAGAGGCTGGGAATATTGATGGCCAAATCTAGGTGAGTTCATTTACCTTTGACTATCCTTTTCAGAAATCTTTTCCTGAATGGCTTCAAAGGATAACTATCATATAAAGTTCTTTAGTAAAAACCCTCTACCTGAAAGTATTGGGAGAAACAGGTAGTTCTTGTCAATTCCATGAGAACTTTGTTTTCCCTAAAAATTCATGGCTATTTAAAAAAGCTTTTCTTGATATATTGATATTTCTATTTCAATTGTGCTGGTTAACTTTTTAGCTCAAAGCACCTTTCCCCAGTGTTCTAGTTAGATCACTGTAATTATCTATTGTAGGGCTACCCCCAAAGAGCCTTTCAGTTGTTTGGCTTACTCTGCTAAAATAAACATTAGTCCTAAGAGAATCTTTTCCAGTAGTGAGCTCAGTTAAAGATGTTAACTTTTTAAAAATCTGCAGTGATTTTGGGCCAGGGTACTTGGGAGGGCCATATTTTCCCTGTATGAATGTGTCAGAAGTTCAAAATCGACATCACAGGTTCTTGGGTATCCCTGTTGGGTAAAGTCACTCGAGTGACATTAGGAAAGAGAACCTTTTAGAGCTCCATGAGTACCTTCCCCATCAGGTCATTTTCTGTCATACATGCTTACATTGACTATTTCCAAATTTGTATGTTACTGTGTCCCCTCTGTATTCTGTTTAGTATTCTGTAAAAATAATACTGTATGTCATTTGCTTTAATATCTCCTTTTTAAAAAAAAATCTCTGCTTTGGCTTTAGCAATTACATGGTTTTCTAAAGAAGTCATGGGTAGCTGTTGTAGCTGTCCAGATAAAGAAACAGTCCCAGATAACCACCGAAACAAATTCAAGGTAAAATTATCTAATAAAAATGCACTTTGCATGGAGCGTTGTGATTTTTGAATGGAAAGGAACAAAAATTGTAAGCATTAGTATAGACTTACATAGCAGTTTGATAATTATATGTATTTAAACTAACTTAGTTTCTCAGTTGATCAGGAAATAAATGAAGCCACACTATTGGTGTTACAATGTTGTAGGATTCTGTGATTACTGAGAGACAGCCTGGATTTTTTCTGTTCCCTATACTGTTACAAAAAAAAAAGAAATACAGATGATCTATAGAAGATTTGATAAACCACTCTGTGACTAGGGAAAGATACTAGTAGTCAGCTTTGAAATTTTTAGGGAACAGAATGCAGGGGGAGTGGAAATGCTCATGATTTCTCTCTCAGTAGAAAAGAAATATGTTTGAATTGTATGTTCCCTCTGTGAGCCATGTTGAATTTATTTGCTTATTATGTCTGGCTATTGTATAAAATATTTGATCGGTTGTATTTAGCAAGGTACACCGTTGCCATTATAATTAATTCTGATGGTGTTTGCCTTAAATATGCTAGAATTTATTTAATTTTTGTTTTTTATTTTATAGGTTATTAATGTGGATGATGATGGTAATGAATTGGGTTCTGGTATAATGGAACTTACAGACACAGAATTAATCTTGTACACCCGAAAACGTGATTCTGTCAAATGGCATTACCTCTGTTTGCGCCGTTATGGCTATGATTCAAATCTCTTCTCTTTTGAAAGCGGGCGAAGATGTCAGACTGGACCAGGTAGGTATAATGGCCTCTCATTTCCTAGGTCTTCTAAGTGCGGTTGAGATAGAGTTTAAAGGTGTTGGTACAATATTGGTCCCACAGAAGAATGGATGGATATTGTTCACAGGACCAGCAGTAGTTCTAAGCAGCAACTGTTGGCTCAAAGTAAAACAAAATTCCTGCATCTTAATTACATCCAGGTTGGTATTTCCTGCTTTTCTGAAATTACTCTTGAAGAAATTTATCCAGATCACCAAACAGGGTGTTCAGAATGGCACATGCTGGCTGGACTTTATGCTGGCTGGCCTGTCAATACTTCAATGACGTGTGTGTGAGAGAGGTTTAAAATAGTTACACAAGAGGCTTAAACTAATAATACAGGTTTCCTATTTCACTTCAACCATTTGATCATGTTGTAGTACATTAGGAATCCAGACATTTTCAGAAGCAGCTCATCCTAATACATGAAAGGCTGCTGGAGCAAATACAAGCCTAAAATCTCTTTGAGCACAGACTACTAGTTTAATTATTTATCATCAAAGGCTGCATTATAATTACTCTGATTTACTGTATTATGTCAGAAAATAACCAGTTGTTTACCAGATAACCATTTATTTACTGGATACTTATTCCAGAAGGTAGGGTAGACAATAAATGTTCACCACCAGAGTGTCGTAAGCTTCAAAATAATACAGTATGTTCAAACAAAGCGAATGGGCTATAACTTAATCACTGAGGATCAGTGTAAACATAGAAGAATGAGTGCATACATCCTCACGGGGGCTGAATTAATATTTTTCTGTGTTGGTTGTTTTGTTCTTAGCTATGCAGTCCTGGCTCAGTGCACTGTGGCAAAGGTGCTGGTCTGGTTTAGGGATTATTTGGAAAAGGAATAAAGTGCATTGGATAGTATTTGAATATGTCTGTATAAATCTGTGGTGCAGCAGTATTTTCAGAAACTACCATTTCATTTGCCCCATCTGAAAAAAAGTATATTGTGGAGCTAGAAAAGGTACAGAAAAGGGCTACCAATATGATCAAGTGATTAAAGCTTCCCTATGAAGAAGGGCTAAAGTACTGGAGGTTTTTCTTTACTTTAGAAAACAGTGTGTGTCTGTGTGTGAGAGACAGAAGATTATAAAATTATTCATATGGTGAAGGAAGGAATCAAAGTGCTTTTCCTTCCCAGTACAATTCTGGCTAAATAAAATGCTTCTTCACAAAATATGTAATTAATTTGTGGAATTCAGTTGTTTGATGTAATACTGGCTTTTATAGCCCTAACAGGAGATGACACGGCGTCATGAAGAATAGCTCACTTGATGACTAGTAGCCATAGTAGTGAAATGTCTGTGTTGAAAGACAGTTTGCCCTTGAATTCCACAAGCTTGGGAACAAATAGAGAGGATGGTTGCTTTTCTGTCCTGTTTCTGTTTCAGTTATGGAACTTAGACAACTGACTTGAATAAATCATCCACTTTCTCCAATATTGCTATTGTGAAGATAAATACAGTGGTGCATCGCAAGACGAACGTCTTGCAGGAAGAAAAAAACGCAAGACAAATGGTTTTTTCGATCGCTATGGTGCCTCACAAGACAGCTTCTTCTATGGCTGTGCTTCGCAAGATGCGCCCCCCCGAGACCGATGCTTCGCAAGATCAAAAAATTCATTCGTCTTGTGAGGTTCCCATAGGAATACATTGCAATGCATTCCTATGGGAAGCCGCTTTGTGCAAGATGATTTTTTTCCCAAGACAGCGCTACTCGTGGAACGAATTACATTCGGCTTGCGTGGTACCACTGTAGTATGAATTATAGCCAGTTTTGTAGCTTCAGAAAAAGAATACTTTTTAAAAAAAGCACCTATATTATAATAAAATCACTCAATGGTATATCTACAACTCTTCCTGTACTGACCCACTTATTAGTTAATATTAATTGAAATCAAAAATGTATGTTTAAAACTTATATACCAATAATTTAGACTTCTCCACCATGAAATATGGTTACATTTGACAGAAATGAGGTGTGTTTTAATGACTTGTCTTGTGTAACTACCAAAAATTATTCTCCTTATGTCAAGCCTGTTGTGTAAGCAGCAATGTTTTCCTATTTGTGTGAGGGGTGTCTGTTTATATGTTTTGTTAAGATTACTAGATTTAGTTGCTATCATGAAAAGAGCATTTCAGTAGAAATAGTTTAATCAAGTCTTGCCAACAGTGCATTTTTAATTTAACCAAGTATTATTATGGGCAACAGCTGTGCCATGTTATTGTCAGCTGGTAGACTATGAGAGCATTTTCAAAGGTTATACCACAATAATCATTTTTAAGAATACAAAGTAAGCTTCTGTAAGAAGAAGGGGTATTTAATGTAAGGGTAAGGAATACGTGGCCCTGAGAATCTTGTTAGAGTATAGATTGGCTGAAACATAGTCATCTTTGCAAATAGTGAGAAGTGATACGAGTCGCAGTCTGAAGACATCTGGAGGTCACATAGTCCCCATCTCTGATGTAACTTGTAAGACAAAAATTAGTGCATATATTGCACTTACACTTTGGTAAACAGAATCTAAAAAGAGCCACATGAATCAGACAAAAAGCTTTATGTAGCCCATCATTCTGTTCATAATGACTAACCAGTTGCCTATAAGGAGGCCTGAGAGTAGAACATAAATACTGTAGCACTGTCTTGCTTGTTCTTTCCTGACAGCTGATACAAAGGCTGCTTCTAATCATTGAAGGTAATATGTAGCCATCATGACTAGCATGACTTGAAGTGTGAATCCCTCTGAGTCAATTCCAGCTTACGGCAACCATAGTTAGGTTTCTAGGGTATTTGAGATGTGTAAGGGGTGAAATGGCTTTTAAAAAGCCACCGCCCAGCAAGTTTCCATGGTTGAGTGGAGACTTGGACCCATGTCTCTGGAGTCCTAGTCCAGCACTCTATCCACTATATTACATTGGGTGGACAGTTGATCGCCTTTCTCAAAATAGGCATAAACAATTCATTTGGAGGGAACTGAACAACTCCCCAGTCAGTTTAGTTCATGGCTACTCTATCCCCACCATTACTCTGCAGTTCAATCTAAACATAACTGATAGTGTTTAGGTTTTACAATTCATTGCCACAGTTAATTGCATAGGTTGAAAAAGAATAGTCTTTGATAATTTTGGTATGCTAGGTAAGCTAAGGCTCAGCAATAGTCAAGACACACACTTGTTAACAAGAATGTCAACTTTAACTTAATGCTTTCAATGGAAGAATAATCCAAAGCTGCAACTGCACTGGTTCTCTCTTTGCTGATAATGGTAAGTTGGGCTCCCTCTGCTGTTGAAAAGCAAAGTGAAACAATACTAGAGGATAATCCATGGTATTGTCTGCTTTGTTTCTGTGTGTATCCCCGAGACCAAAAGCAAATTGGCTTTGTTTGTTTCACCCAACTCTGTTCTATAGTCCTTCATTTCTTAACCCTTACGTGAACCTAGATTGTGTACCCTGTGTCAAATCCTTATTTCTTTGTGCAGGAAATTTACATTAATTGTGTTACAGTAATTCAGCAGAACACCTGAAAGATCTTTGCTGCAACAAAAGTATATTCCTTCAAGAGCCTACTAATTCACAAAGAAAGTTTTTCTCTTGTCGATCCTACTATTTCTAAAAGACAAAATATTTCTATTTCTATTCATTTTATGTTTTGTACATTTGTGATCTAAGCGACTGATTTTTTTAAGTCATTCAATTAAATTTGGTAGTTCTCTTTTATTAACAGGTATACATTTAAATGGACTGTACCAACATCTATTAATAGAAAGCTCTAGTTTTTCAGTTAAGAGTATGTAACAGAATTTATTATTATTGTAGGAATATTTGCCTTCAAGTGTGCCCGTGCAGAAGAACTGTTTAATATGCTGCAAGAGATTATGCAGAATAATAGTATAAATGTGGTAGAAGAGCCAGTAGTAGAAAGAAACCCACATCAAACAGAAATTGAAGTTCCAAGAACACCCCGTACACCTACTAGTAAGTGTATTTCTCCTGTTTGAGTGTTGAGTATGAAAATGCTGTTGGGCAGATGGCTATGAGGCTATCCACAGCTACAGTTGATTTGAAGATTTATTTAAATCACAGCTGATAAACAGAGAATAAGATTCTTGAAATTAAGACATAATATGAAAGAAATCAAAGGAAAAATCAATGAATTTTTAACACAATACAATGCAATGAAGTGAACAACCTGTATTAAAGTATCAGATGAAATTACAGCTGCCTAGTTGAAGCTCACTATATTCCAGCTCTTTGGCCTGAAGATTGAGATTGACATACCTAATTGAAGGGATTACAGTTACAGAAAATTAGCCACAGTTAACCTTTTTAAAAATATTATATTTATCCCTAACCTTCCACCAGCTGCCTAGTTGGAGCTCACTATATTCCAGCTGTTTGGCCTGAAGATTGAGATTTACATACCTAATTGAAGGAACATGTTCCTGAACACTTAGGGCAATGTACAGGAGAACTGATCCAGAAAATCAAGAGGAAAAATGTAAAATAATGTAGTAATAACTCTGTATGTGTTTAAGGGAGTCAAAGAATCTCCTAAAATGAGTAATCTAGCCCACTGGTTCTTAAACTTTGTTACTCAGATGTTTTTGGACTGCAACTCCCAGAAGCCTTCACCATCAGCTCTGCTGGCTGGGGTTTCTGGGAGTTGCAGTGCAAAAACACCTGAGTAACAAAGGTTAAGAACCACTGAAACTGAATCTTCTCTCAGAATCAAGGCAGAATAAGGCCTAAAGGCCCCAGGAGAGTCAACATCTGCAGAAGTAAAAATTACATGAGAAAAAAGTGAACAGAGAAGCATCTGCATGTGAGCATGAATGTATGAATGAATTTGACCAAGTCTGAGTCTCTTTGTCCTAAGCAACAATTGCTTTTTGTTCCATTGATACCCCTTATTTTCCTGCATTCTGGCTGGCTTCCTTACTTTCACCCCAAAATTCAGTTCTATGTTGGTAGATGGTAAGTTGGGAGAAAAAGTGCATTGCACCACTTTTCTTTATTTCCAGAAAGTAAATCATCCTTTTGCCATGTGGCATATGATATGACCGTAGCATCTTATCAGGATATACTTTGGGCCTGGAGCCACTGAAAATATCCAACCTTATGGCCTGTCCACACTGTTCCATTGTCATCTAGCTTGGCCAGAGCCTTGTTGCCACAGCAATCATGTATCTGTCTCTTTTTGTTTATTCCATCATGCAAATGTCTAGGCTGAAAAGAATCTTCGGCCCTTTTTGCCAACAGGAAACAGTCAGCTGTGCTGATTATGAAACAAATCAAAGATTTCCTTGATAACGTTCCAGGCCATTCCATCAGCCAATAATTTAGCCCATGGGCCATATATCTGTAGGCCAGTTCAGTGATATCTCCACAAGCCTTTTGCCCGGTAGAACCTCATATCTAAACTTTGTGTCTGATTAACATAAGGCAGCTTACTGGGCAAAACATGGGAACTAAATATTTAATGTTCAGCTGCTGTCTAAATATTAGACAACAGGATACTAGTCCATGTAACCAAAGTCTTTAAAAAATCCATCCACTTGGCTGTTTACTATTTGAAGTAGTTGGAAGTGGGGGAGGGATTGTAGGTTATAGATTTCAGGAAATGCTTTGAAAGCTTAGTTTATAAGAAGAACTTGTACATTAAAACTTTGAATAGTATGCTAATTCTTTCCAGCACAGATTGTTTCCTTCTTGTGGCTAAACGCATATTATCACTGGCTGTAATGATGAGCACTAATCTGAATTTATTCTTACCTAGGGTTTGGAGGTAGAATATTAAACTGATTTTATAACACTTAATCATGAATTCTGGTTAGCATTATCCATAATCAAGGTTCATTTTGTAGCAGGCATTAGCTACAATGAAGAATGTTGGATTTGCTTTGGAGAGGGTAGTGGCTGAGATAAGGGAAGCACATGATGCTGAAACTTGCTGTTAATCCCTTTTGCCTGTTCTAAATGGTCTAGGAGCATTATTTGGAAGCTATTTCTTTTTGCATGTGTTGCATTTTTGAAGCACAAGACTCATTGTGAAAAGAGGTCTGGGTTTGTACGTATTTCATATTCTTACATAATGGAAGTTGATGCCAATTGTGCAGTACCAGTAAATGTGGATGCTGTACAATACCTCATGATGGGAACACTGAAGCAAATGGCCAAACTGATCAGATGATGATAATCTGAGGTGCTTTCCCATGGAATGATTTCTAGAACTTGGAAGTTTTTGATCAAAAGGCTTGTTAACAGGAATTCATGCCCAGATATAAACGATAGTATGCATGGATAGTGAGAAGAAAATAAGCCATACTCGGGGAAATTTCTTTCTTTCTACAGGATCTGTTTATGTCCAACTATTTTTCATAATCCCCCATCAAAGCGTTGAAACCCAATTCACTATTTTATTTTCTCTTGTTTCAGAAATGCAGTGGTACACATCTGCTATGTCTGCACTTTGCCTAAATGGCTGTGGACTTAAGATATAACAATAGCTGTTCTAATTGTATTGTTGATATATGAATGTGCAGACAGTTCCCCTTTTTATCTCCATACACCAGGGTAGTTTGCAATGAATTGATTTATTTCTTGACATACACTTCTCCCGAAGGAGTTGCATTATAATGCCAATAGAATAACTGGATTTTCTTTTCAATCAGCGCCTGGATTGAGTGGGCCAAGTTTACCTAATGGGTATCCAAGGTATCCTTCCTATGGAGATGCTTCATCACATCCTTCCAGCAGGCACCCTTCTGTAGGAAGCACACGTCTTCCTTCAGTAGGTGAAGAGTCAACACATCCTTTGCTTGTGGCAGAGGAACAAGTAAGTATGTTTTAAACTTCACCTCATAATGTTTAACTTAATTCTGTTGCATTCAGTCATGATTGTCAGTTTGTGTCAGTGTGTACTGAAATTCTTAACACTTTTCTTTTCCATGGTGGAAGTGCTCTGAAGATAGTGGCTTGCCTGAGTGTGTATTTTTGTTACCATGTACTGCTTTAATATAACTTAGTGTCTTGTCATGAGCAGAAAGGGGAATATGGTCTAGCATATGTTAGCTATGTCATAGTGCCGTTCATATTTGACTCCCATCTTTTCCAGGTCCATACATATGTGAATACAACAGGTGTACAAGAGGAAAGGAAAAACCGACCAAGTGTGCGTACACCTCTGGAACGAAGAGTTTCCACTGCAGAAATGAACAAGGCAAGAGAAGAAGAAACTTGTTCTGATGACAGAGAAGCCCAGGTTGTACTGGAACCTGAAGGAGTCAAATTTGTTTTGGGTCCAACGCCTGTCCAGAGACAGTTAATGGAAAAAGAAAAACTGGAATCAAATGGGAGCAGCACTCAAGCTAGTGGAAATAGTACTGAAACTAGCAGTAGCAGTACTCAAGCTTGTGGGAGTAATAACAGTGAATGGGACACTGGGTATGACAGTGATGAACGCAAAGAACTTTCCTCTGGTAACAAACTAGCGTATGAAAATGTAAATAGACTACCCATTCCTAGTGCCTCAGGGCTCAGGAGAGGTCGTCTCATATCATCCAGTACCTCTGATACCCAGAACATCAATAATTCAGCTCAGAGGAGAACTGCCTTGTTAAATTATGAAAATTTGCCATCTTTGCCTCCAGTTTGGGAAGCCCACAAGCTAAGTAAAGAAGAGGATGACAGTTTAGGACCAAAGACACCTTCTCTAAATGGTTATCACAATAATTTAGATCCAATGCATAATTATGTCAATACAGAGAACGTAACAGTGCCATCAAGTGCTCACAAAGTAGAATATGCAAGACGCCGAGACTGCACCCCAACTGTCTTTAATTTTGATATTAGACGACCGAGTTCAGAACACAGGCAGCTCAACTATATACAGGTTGATTTGGAAGGTGGCAGTGACTCTGACAACCCTCAGACTCCAAAAACTCCTACCACTCCACTTCCACAGACTCCAACCAGGCGCACAGAGCTGTATGCTGTGATAGATATTGAAAGAACAGCTGCTATGTCAAGCTTGCAGAAAGCACTGCCTCGAGACGACGGTACTTCTAGAAAAACTAGACATAATAGTACTGATCTGCCTATGTGAGCCTGGAAAGCATTAGTTAAAACATTTGCACCTTTGTGAATTCTTTTTTTTTTAATGAATGAGAGCTCTGTTTTTACCTTTTAAATGCTATCACTTTTCATAGACTGATAGAATTTTCTTCATGTGCTTGTTTAAAGGGAATTTTAAAGTAGAAAGAGTATTAAATAACACTATCATTTTACACTTAAGTATACAACTTTTGGACAGTGTTGCCATCCTTTTATAGTGCCTATTTCATTGACTGAAAGTTGTGGTGACATCCCAGTGTTGAGAGACTGTCCATGTGCCTAAAGTCACTGAAGGCAGCATGATGATTTTATGCATCCTGAACCTTGCATTGTTCACAGATTGGTACAGTCTTTCGTGGTATGTATGAGATGATTCACCTACTGGAGTTCAAGTGGCATAAATGAGAGAGATTCTGACCAGACTGAATTGAATTAAAATATGGTATTAATTCCCTTATTGGCCTAGAATGGACTGAATGACTTCATGAAACATGAACCAGTGCTTAGGGCAACCTCTTTAAACTCTCCCAATACAAGTGTGCCATGATGCTGCAGAGTGCAAGTTTATTATTAAAGCCAATTAATACAATTTAGAGTAGAATACTGAATATTGTGCCATTAGTTTAAAGAGTCTAGATTGGACTGAGTTCAAAATGAGGGAAATCAGCAGCTTTGTAAATATATAAAACATATATCAGAGTATCGGTTAGCACTTGGTTTCATTTTCAAAACAGTCCATGAACTTAATAATGAGATGCACTTTAAAACCACTTGAGGATAAATTTAGCAACTAGTAATTGAAAAACATGCTCTGATGTTAGATATGTCTTATTTCAGTTGCGCTGCAGTTCTAGGATTTGCAATTGTTCTACAAAAGAAAGAAAGTTATACTGGTGGGGTGGTGAGGATGCATCTGGATAAAGGTATACCTTTTGGGCCCTGGAAAGAGTTGCCATAAGTCAGAATTGACTTGACAGCATACAGTTATTTGTATTGTTATTAATATTATTTGGGAGGTTAGGATGGGTGACACTGTAAGAATTAGTATGGTGCTATAAGGCTAAAGGGCTTTACGTTGTTTGGCCTGGACACAAAATATGGTATCCTGTTTAAACTGGGGCTTTTCTGGCTCTCAGTTCCTGTCAGAGTCCTTTGTGTCCTCTCTCTCCCTCAAAGCCTCTCTTGAAGACCACCTACAGCAGCATTCCCACGCAGAGTGAGGGGATGAATCTAACAGGAAACAGGAAACCAGCAACTCTACTTATAAATGAATGCCCAAGGATTTTGGCTTCCAGTCTGATATATTAAATTTATATTTTCAGACTATTTTGAAAGAAGAGTTTCATGGTGACCATTGTTGCCATATGTTTTCTTTTCATTTAAGGCTAAAACTAGTTTTGGGTTAGGTCCATTACACTTTTCTAATTGGGAGGTTTTTCTGTACAATTTTGCAAATGCCTGTACTTAGATATCTCAGATATAATTAATAATTACAATGTATCTGTGGTGGGATTTTCTTTTTATTCTGTAAAGTGTCTTCTTCTTGTCTTGTTGTCCATGTTTTGTCTGCAGCTTCCCTGTACAGCCTTTAGGTTGTAAACTGTTAATTTTGTAGATAGTCTTTGTTCAATTTTGGTATTGCCAAGGAAGAGATTTTGAAGGTCCATTGGTAATACTGTCACTTATCAGAAAGCCTTCTTTATTACTTGCACAGACAAAAAAACTCTGTTGTAGATATTTAAGGACAAAAAATGTTGTGGCACCTTAGTGGAGGGGATTATGGAGGGCTGAGCTTTTGGATGTAGGTTCTTCCAGAAAATAATTTTAGACCAATGCAATTGTCAGAATGCTGGTGGGAATATACTGTGGGTTTTTACTGCAACAAATCAGTAACATAGTTCCAAGTTTGTGTTTTTCTTTTTGCTGTATATGGTTTCATAAGTAACTGCTTTTTGATACAAGCCCATGATCCCAGTTCTAAACATCTGTGCTGAGATAGTTGCCAAACATAAAATCCTTTAAATACAGCCATAATGTATTTTATACACTATTACACTGATCTTGGTGTGGGTGTATTTTATCTTAAGCTTTGCTGGCATGGCAAGCCTTAGGTATGGAGTAGCAACTGAATGTGTGCGGTATTCATTGCATCAGTTTAATGATTTAATAGATGGCTGATAGCTCAACTACAGCTGAATATTCTTAATACATCTGGCATTGGCTGACGATTTTTGGAAGAGTCTCTCAGATTTGTAGGAAAGTTCACCTAGTGTAGTGCAAAGATCATGGAAACACAGACTAGTAGAACCAATAATAAGAAGTAATCGTTGATGTAAGCTGGCATGATACATGTAGAGATGTCACCGTTTCTATCAGTTTTAAAGACATGGGCTTGGAAAAGTTACTTTCTTGGACTGAGAGGTGGTACTGGCTAGCTGTGGGAATCTGGAATGTAGATAAATCCTTGCTTCAGGTTGATTCTTCATGTTTCTAGACTCCATGTTAGAAAAGTACTGTAGTTTAAGATCCTGTGACCTCAGCATCTGGCCGGGATGATTTGGGGGCATGTTTCTCCCTGCCCTTGAACTCTGTAATGTCCAGTTTCATGATGTGTCCTGAGGACTTGCTTTTGGGGATGTTTTAGTGATCCACTGAATCACTTTATGTGATCCCGATTTTGGATGTAGCCAAGAAAGTAAGTTTTGGGGAGAAAGTATTTCTGTACCACCACCACCCACAAAGGATTTTTTTAAAAAAATATACAAAATTATTCCTTTCTCATGAAAATTGAAACTTTATTGTTTAAATAATGCAAAACATATACTGTCACAAATAATGGTACTGCTCTCTATATTTATGAAATTTAAAATTTAAAACAACTTTATAAAAAGAATGCAAATAAGTGCAGTGTTATGATGCAGTGGCTTACAGGTCTTTAAATATGGCTATGATCCTGTGTCTCTTTATCTTATAAGTTCCTTGACCTCAAAGGTCTTTAGTTCCCACTAGACATGTATAGAATAATGATGTAGGTACTTAAATCAACAATTGTTTTTCTCTCTCTTTTTAAAAGAGAGAACTCAGAAAATTAAGAGCAGGAAATTTGGATATTGAGTTAAACTTTGTAGTACAATATCATATTCAGAATATAACCTATGCATGCTTAATTGGGACAGAAGACTATTGAATTGAGTGCTACATGCTTCCAGATAGACATAGATAAGAGTAGGTTCAAATGTTCAGTTTCCATAGAGAAAATCAGCTGCCCCAAAGCCATATTTATTTTATTTATATCCCAAATAATCTCAGTGAATGTTTAATTAAAAATACTGTCATAGATCTAGTTTATTTCTCTAATCACTTTCTAAAAGATCTCTAACTTTGGATTTTAAATGTGCATTTGAAGCTTCTTGGGGTTCAGAAAAGGACCAAATTCCTGAATATGTTCTGCATTTTGTTTCTTTTGAAAATAGAATCATAGAACTGTACTGTTGGAAGGGACAAGCAGGAAATTCAAAGCTAAGGCATCTCTCATAGTTGACAATTTAAGGTGATTTTTAAACAGAGGTTTACAGTCACCTATGACAGTTCTTACTGTCAAAAAGTTATTCCTAACGTTCAGGCAAAATCTCTTTTTTTGTATTCATTATTTTGGGCTTTACTGTTAAGCTACAGAAAACAAACTTCTCCATCTTCCACTTGGTAGCCTTTCACTTATCACCCCTCTGTCTTCTCCAGGCTTAATATGTCCATCTTCTTCAACTCTTCATCATAGGACTTGTTTTCCAGACTTTTTTAAGCGTCCTGGTTGCCCTCTGTAGCTGTTCCAATTTGTCAATCTCCTCCTTAAACTGTGGTGTCAAGGACTAGACACAGTATTCTAGGTAAGGTCTGACCAAAGTAGAACAGAACAGTACTTTTATTTCCCTTGATTTGGACACTGTACTTCTTTTGAGGCAACCTACTATTGCATTTACTTTTTTCTGTTAAGGTCTAAGATATTCCCTAAATAAAACAACTACAGCAGCATATACAGTGAACAGTAATGGAGAAAGAAGATATGTCCACAGTTTATTTCTTGACACAAAGCTGTCAAGTCTGATTAAACTGAATATGATTTCCTTACCCTTCCTTAACATCCTAGCTATCTGAATACAACCAACTTGTGAATTATTAGGTGTTCTTTCCTTTCTCATTCCCTCACATGAAGTAGTTTTCATGATTTCATCTCTTTTCAGTGGGAGACTGCATCTACATAGCTACTATCAAACAACTAGATAAGCACTTTATTAGAGATTCATCAACTTCATAAGAAAATCTTCATTTGCAGATATAACACTCCTTTTACTTTGCTATTAGTGTTACTTCTTAGATTGGACTTGCTATGTACTTAGCAAAAGAGAACTAAACATACAGTTAGAGGCAATTAGCTTAATTATAAAAATTCTTTTATAGTACCCCGCAGAAAATTGCAGTACCTCTTCATTTATGCTTGCAGCTCATATTTTCATACAGAAACATGACTTAAAACAATGTTATCCTCTGCACTCCATTGTTAAATGTTTTGTTATGTAATGGCATGATGCATCTTATTTAAAGTGATCCTAACAGGGTTTTTAAGATATCTGAGATTTTAAGGAATGGTTTTACTATTGCCACCCTCTGGTGACTTTCCATGGCTGAACTGTAAATTATCCTCTTGTTTCATCCTTGCAGAAAGGTATAGTATAAATGCAAATTTCCTCAGTCTTCACAGTGTAAGCATAAAATATGTGATAGTTTACTATACTTCGAAGTGAAATGTATTCCAGTGTCCTTATCAAAACATGAATATAACAGTGTTTTAAAGTTCTCTTCTGCTTACAAAATTTACATATAGGTCAAAATCCTGGTGCACAGCTCCACATGTGCAGTGCCGATGACATCATCAGTGGCAAATCACCACTGATGAAAAGTGAGTTTACTGTACATGCAACTTGTGCACAATATGAAGCTGCATACACCTTGAAATCCCCAAAGGAAGCCTTTAATCAGTGGCAGTTTGACGCTGCTGCTGACACATCGCCATTGTGCACACAAGGCCGTCCAATAGGATTTTTATTTTGCTTTCAAAGGTCTGTTCTTTAAGATATCTATACTATGTCAAAGGATGACAGAAGTGAAGAAGGAATATTTGAGGTCAGGCTTGTAGGTAGAAGGTTTACAATCAAACTGCTGCTCCCATCTGATCTATATGTTCTTCCATTGCAGAAATTCTAGTATTAAGGATTTCAGCCAGCATTTATCACATATTTCCAGACATTTATTCAAGGGAAAGGTTTGAATTGATTTCAGGATTGCCATGTTTCTTTGCCACCTTTTGTACAGTAATTTTGCTGCAGGAATATGGAGCATATGCAGAATCTTGCATATACACTGTTTATTTGGACACAATTATTCTATTGACGTATTTACTATGATGAGCCCAGTTAAACGGCTTTCTACCAGAATTTGAGATGAGGATAATATTTATGCCCCCTTTTGCCAGTTATATCATGTCAATTTATTTCTTTTGAAAGCTTGACAGATATGATCATGTCTAATCAAATGCATATGTTCAGCCAGCATCAGCGCAGGACAAATTACGTTTGCATTATTTAGCTATAAAGCCCTTTCTGCATCTGTATTTTAAAAAAATTAATACAGCCTACCACTGGCAGTCCTATGCTAAGGTCATTCAGTTAACAATGTGTAATGTTAGGTCTGTAGTGACACTTACCTTTCTATTTCTCTTGCACAAGATCACACATAAAAGAGGTACAAGCATTTTGCATGATCATTAGAGATCAAATCTTACGCGTTCCTTAATGCGTTATTCCGTATCTTCTTATATGCTATTTTTTAATTATTTTTCAAAACCTTTGCACTATTGCTCCTGTTTACCTGGCAGACCATATTAGTGATGCTTCAACCAGTAGTGGAGAGCCTGGGTGCTGTGTGACTCTTGGCTGAACTGGAATACAGTTTGACTCCAGAAATGGGCTACTTATTATTTGATAAGTAATTTTTCTTCTTTTTCTTCTTCTTTTTCACCCCCACCATATTTAAAGGGTGTTTAAAATTTACTGATTTTTTGTGCAACATACTAAAGGTGAAAAATGTTTGGCTCTGGTTGCACAAATTCTGGATAGGGGAACTACATATGTGCAAGGTGCATAACAAGAATTATATCTGGGCCAATGAAGGAAGATAAAATGAAATAAGTGTTTGCATAGATATAAGAATGCACAGATAATACAAAATTAATTTGTTTATCCTGGATTTGTCTTGTCACTATTACTCCCCCCACCCCACCCCCTTACTGCTGACTGACTTCTCAGACTAAAAGTACAGTTTTTGGGCAATATGAATGATAAATAAATGAACTAGACCTAAGCAGTACTGCATGTGATCTCATTCTGCAGCAACTCTTATTAATTTTGTTCAGGTTTTAAACTGTGGATCTTGGATTCATACGGTTATTTAGATAACTTTTTCTGTAAAGTTTGACCTCTTGTAATTGTACCAAGCAAGGCTGAAAGCAGGTACGTGCCCCTTTTAATTAATTAAACTGATTAGACTTTTAAAAAAGATTTGACTTCAAACTAATTATGAAACTTTATATTTGAACATATAAAAGTAATCCTTCCTCATGAAACATTCTAGTGTTTAATTGGTTGGTTCTGATTACTACACCTAACTTGAGTATTTCTTCTTTGATGTCACCAGTATCTTCACTTTCTAAACTTTCACTTTTTTGTGACAACAGTACATTCTGTTATATGCATAGTAATAGCAATAGTGTATTCAGTTATTGTTTTTAAGGTTAATTCTTTTTTCCTGTTCCTGGAACCAAATAACTACAGCAAAGTCCCCGTATGTTTTATTAGTTATTTAGAACACTACCTTCATTTGCAACTGGTTATTGGTTAATGTCTCACACACCTTCTAAAATAATTTAACTTAAAAGAACTATGTTAATGTTCTTCTTGTTAGTTTTAAGGTGTATATGCTCCCCCAAAGTGTATAGTTTCATTTAAATTCTTCTCTAGTCCTGCAACACTACCTTAAAAAAACTCAGCATTAACCTATCAAATCTATTGAATTGAATGATTGTGGACATAGGAATTGAAGGTCTTCATTATTGCTTTTGAGGTATGACAAATATGTTTTTCAAATGTTTTATTGGACTATGGTTTGATCTTGAGAACTACGAGCAGAAGGAAGCTTCAGGAACCAGATTTTTTTGCCCTTGTTTTTCTTTGCATGCCTGTTTCTGAGGATTTAATGATCCACTGGAATTTTATGGAAGGCCATGAAAACAGCAACTAGGGAAGTTCCTTGGGTGAACACAGCGCCATTTGTATAAGATGCTTCTGCTTAGTCTGGAGCAATTCCACCCCACCCCCTAGCCATCAGCACTACCGCCTCCACTGTAAAAAAAAAATCCCATGCTTTGAGGTGGTTTGTTGGGGGCGGAGAGATGAGGAAATTCCCTTTCCCAAGCTTCTGTCTTCTCAGAGTTCTCAGGCTCGAGTGTTTACTCCAGCTTGGCATAGTATTTTGTGTAAAGATGTAAGGACAAATGTGTTCAATATTTGATGCTATTGCTTTCTATTGCCCATGGAGCACTGGAATTCTTTGTTTTTAAAAAAATACCAGTTCTAACAGTATATTTACAAAGAGCATTTAGAATGTGATCATTTTTAAAGTTGGTAAATTATGTCTTTGGGAAAGTGCATTGAGGAAGCTCTGTTGATTGAATTGTACCTTTCTCTATAAACATGAAACATATAACTAGCATTATAAATGAGATTGTTCACTGTGTTGATAAAGTCTTCCTAAGTGTTCAGGAAGGGGCTGCCATGAGAAGGCTTCTTTCTTCACATACTGCCTTTTTGAAATCCCAGCACCAAAGGGTGTCTATGTGCTTTGACACATGTAGCAACAGATTGACAACTTTCATAGGATATTGAAGTCACAAAGGATAATGTGAAGTTAGGATTGTTGGTGCCACTTTCTCTCACTGCCTCCAGTTGCTGTAAAAAGGAGCTTAAAGATGGTAGTCTTTTGCTTCCTACAAAGCATAAGAGGTACTGAAATCTTCTAAAAAATAGCTTCTCTTAATGTAGCAGAAAGAAGTGTCTGCATCAAGCAGAGCAAGGTGACTGATTTTTTCATCTATGACCTGAAAATGATGAGATATAAATAATTATATTAATAATAACTGGAGAGTTCTTATTCCTCTCTGCATTTAGGGTTGAGATTACTGTTTGAATTTTGAGGTATTTGGAATTAAAAAATGGTTTTAAAATTGGAAAAGGCCCTTCACTCAGGAATTTCTGTACTTCCCTTTTTTGTTTAGCAGTGGATATCAACACTCTGAATTCCATGCCAGTTTCCAATATCTATATAATATAATGGGACATGACTTAACGACAAAACAACAACATGTAATATAATATTAAAAATCATATATGACACTAGTTCTATATTTCCCCCAATATTTGCCAAACCTTGAATGCAAGCTGTCTTGTTTGTGTGACTTTGATCACTACTGAATGTATAGGAAATGCTTCCATTTTTGTAGAAGAAAATAGTATCTGTTTGGTATACCACAATACGGTGTGTCCCAACCAGCAAGTATGGTGCCTTCCTTTTTTTGTTGTTAAACATAACATTTCATTCCATTGTAGCATCTCTTTCAACTGTGTCTTCGGAATCACTGTGCAACCCAAGAGGCAAACGAAGTTTCAAAATTTACAGTACAACTGATCTAAAGTCTTAGCATGAAAATGGACAAAAACAGTCACCAATGTGCCACAAATGCATTTCTTAAATGCATAAATATACATTTCTATGAAAAGCCAAAACTCTGTATGTTTCTTTTGTCATTGCATTGTAAAATACTGTAAAGTTATCTCCTAATTTTGCATTATGTTTTCCTACGTAAAGGCATCAGTATAGCAACTTTGTATAAAAGTAGCTTTCTAGAGTTTTATTTTATAAAAAATAAGTCTAAAGAGTTGCCAAAATGTTCCTGAAAACTGTTGTAAACCTAATTTCCCTCACCATTTTTCTCTAACAAACATTCCAGGCTTACTTTTAAGAGAGAGTGACATTTATATTACACATAATATATTTTCTTTTTTGGTCATCCATATACTACAACTTTTGGCTTGCTTTTTTCATTGAGCTTACCAGATGTTCATTTTCAGATGTATTCTGTAATATTGACAACGTTGTCCCCTCACCAATGCCAGCTTCATAAAAATCGTAGCTTGGCAATAAAATATTTGATTTTTACTATATAAGAGTGTTTATTGGTTCTTGGGTGTATGGGGAGCTGTTTTCAAGTGTTTGGGGTAGCAGTCATATTTCCCCCCTATATTCCAGTCATCTGATATTGTCACTTATTTGTTTTTAAGAGCACTTCACATTGTTTGTGTCCTGGGTGGCAGTGGGATCTAAGGATCTGTATGAGGCTCAGCTTTTATAACAACAAATGTGTGCACCATCTAAGAGTGATGTAAAAACTAGTTTCCTACTTTCCTACTCCAATGAATTATTATCTAATAATTCTCCTGCCCCCAACTCAACAATCAGTGAGCTGAGTTGACCTTGATCTTCAGAGGTCTTTCAACAATGAGAATGCTATGTAAATAGGAAGGGTTGTGGCTTTTGTGGTAGAAGAGGTGTTTTCTGTGTAGGAAGCCGCCAATTCACATTCCAGAGTTCTCAAGGAGGGTTATGAAATCCACTGTCTGATCCATGGAGAGTTGCTGTCCATCACCACAGAAAATTAGAGTCAGAGTAGTAGATTAGCTTGCTATAAGGCAGATTTCCATCATGCAATTCAGTTTAATTCCTCTGTTTAGTCATACTCTACCAAACCTAGTGTCTGAGAAAAGAAAGCACAAGGACTGGAGTAGAATATATATTAAGGACAGGTAATTGATGCCTTGGGAGTTTAATCAAGTCTACCTTTCTAGACAACAAACATAGTCCCCCCACTTTATATTTATACATCTCGGTTGCTCTTTCTAAAAGTGTACGCACACATCTTGCACTGTAACATCTGTTTCTTTGTCTTTCAGTGCCGCACTGCTCAGAAGAAGCAGTAAATGGCATGGGGGAGAACTAATGGTAATGCTCATGAGCAAGGCTCCCTCTAAGCCTCTGTGCAGCTGTCTTCCCCATCCCCACAGCAATCATGTTAGGTTCTGGACGCAAAGCTGAGTTGAAAGTTTCAGCAGAGCTAAAAGTTAGAGGGTATGTGATTCATGAGCATCCCTACCCACTAATATGAAAAATAATGCAGTGGAAAGTAAAAGTGTCCTAGCATGGTCACTAATTCCTAGGGGTGTCCATGATGAAAACTGTTTTTGCAGGACAAGCTCCTCCTTTGGGTACAGCACCTTTTGGTAAACCAGAGGGTACTCAAGTCTTTTGGGTTCTGCTTTGGATTTAACAGTGTGGTTTCTGGTTAGACCCAGTTAAGCCCTATAGAATCCTCAAAAACAATATTAAAAAGCCAAACAAGGACAGGCAAGAGGCAATTGTCCACTCCAAAAGTGAGTGGCCGCAACCCACTCCAGTACTTTGCTCAATAATGAGATATTAGAGACTGACTAATAATTGTCCATTTACCATGGGGTCCAAGGACAGTTTTTCTTACTACTGCCTCCTTTAAGCATGCTGGCATCCTACCTTGCTGCAAGGAAGCATTCACCACCCCTCAGCCCCACTTGGCTAGCCCCTCTCTGGCAGCTTTTATAATCCAGCAACGGCAAAGTTCTAGCAGACAAGCAGTATCTTTCCTTCCTCCAAGGGTCCTGTCCACGTCATCAGGCTGTAAAAACTGAAACTTTTCCATTAACACTGAACAAGTCTTATTATTATTATTTTTATTTATATTCCGCCTATCTAGCCAACTCAGGACCACTCTAGGCGGCTAACATCAGGTAATAAAAGTATACATACATACAATAATGTAAATAATAAAAATTTTACAAAAATAGAAACCAAGTGCAGCGGAAAAGAAAAGAAACATCAGGAATTGTCTGGAGGAAAGGCCTGCCGAAACATCCATGTCTTCAATTGCTTCTTAAAGATACCCAGTGAGGGAGCCCCGCGAATCCCAGGAGGTAGATTGTTCCAGAGATAGATCATAAGTTAGATTCACAAGACCTGTAAACTACAGCACCCAAGTCAACAAATACAAGCAATTTTGCCTACAAAATGCTATGCAGATTATTCGAGCTGCAGTGTGGTCTGTGTCATCTTACTGGAGGCTGGCCCCAAGCAGGCCCTTGACCACTCAAAAGAGCTTTGTTGGGTGACTGTACAGACACAATGGTGGCAGGGAAGAATGACCTTTTTTGCCACTGCCAGTGTCAAGGAATAGACCTTCCAATGAGCTGTTCCACTTGGCATGGAAAAGCAGCAGCAAGTGAAATGGGATGTTCAAGAAGAAAAAAGTGTTTAATTTTGCCCTATCATTGGTTTTTTAAATGGCTCTACCAGTATGTCCCATGGATTACTGTGTTCAGGACTAATACAATTCAAGTGAGATGGCCTGTACTTCTGTTAAAAAAAGCCTTAAACGTAATCAGTTAAATCTGCATGTCAATATACATTAAAAAGATGGCTGTGCAGAATGAGATCCTTTTAGGCTTGATATTGTAGAATCAAAATGGTGTCTGGACTTTGAGTAATTGTGATTTTCATGTTAATTTTTAGATGCTAACTGATGTGCTATGCATGTTACTAAAGTAGAGGTATTCCAGTATACTGGCAATTATGTTTCAACAAAGTCATTTGCTACATGTGCGAATGTATTTATTAACAATCTTTAATTGTTCCAGAGAAAACATCCAAATAATTAACATCCAAATAATTAGATGCTATCTTTTAAATGAATAAAGTGTTTCCATGTGGTACGCCTATATGCACTTACGTATGTATGGCTAAATTTCATTTAATTCAGTGAGAATTACTATCGAGCGGAGTGTTTCCCTGTTCGACCGAATGTGCATCTTCCACATTTTGCTTTACGGGTTACAGTTCTGAAGGTCGACGCGGGAAAGTAGAGTCGTAAATCCTGGAATTAGTAGATCTGCAGCAGCCGCAATTCTTGCGGTTTTTAGACGAGTTCTGTGAAATGCGAACTCACTTTGCACGGAGCGAAAAAAAGACGCAACTGATGTCTCCCTTTGAGAAACAGGTCATGACATCCCCCGCCTGCCGATCTTTCCTTTTCGCTTCAACTATCTGAAGCCGAAAGAACTTATTTGTTCTGGAGAATCCGATTACCTCCTGATTTTAGCCACATTTGAGAAACCCTCCCAAATAGTTATAATTGAGTCGTCTGAGATTAGTGCAGTATATTGATACGAAGTGTCACAGTGTCTTCTGACTCTTAGGAGATTTCGACCTATCTGAGATGTGCAAGTTTACTACTGCCACCCCAACCTCTGATTTCAACCTGAGCCCTACTCCGGCACTCTCGAGTGCACCCCACGTGGGAGATGCACATTCGGTCGAACAGGCAAACACCGTGCTCGACAGTAATTCTCACTGAGTCTGGTACGAACTCCTGGCTTTCGAATACAACTCTGCGCGTGTTGGGACTCCTGTGAACGCAAAGTACACGCGGGAATTTCTCCCAGAAAAGAGCGGCCTGCACAGCGATACGTCAGCATTAAATTCACCTACGGCCACAAACACAGTGTGTCTGTGCACAGTAAAGTCACAGGTTTGGGGTTCCTGGAAATCCCGCACCATAGACCCTCTCTGTCTGACTGGGTTCTAAGGAAATCGAAGAAGAACTATGCCTCCCGGCATGCAACGGTCCTGACCCTCGGCATCCTTTCCTTTCCGCTAGCGGGAGTGACGTCATTTCCGCCGCTCGTTGGCTCGGCTTTGCGCGTGGTTCGAGGGACGTTCGCTGGGCTGAGCTTCGGGCACGCGGCGCCGGGAACCGTTGGAGCAGCGGCCTTGCCAGCGTCGTCGCCATGGTGAGTCCTGTGGAAGCCTCTCCGTCCCCTTTCGCTGGGAGGAGGGGAGGCAAAAAAATAAAAGGCAGCCTTGCCCGCTCCTTCATAGAAGGTTCCAGAAGCCCTCGAAGGGTTTGTCGGAGGCGACGGCGGCCGCGGCTGGGCCCTTCTGACGAGCTCAGGAACGTGCTAGGAAGACGCCCTATTCCCTCCACAGCCAAGCCAGGCTTCTCAAAGAAATGTCCTTGGGGTTCGGGGCTGCCCCAGTGTAGTCTTCCTCCAGCGGAAGCCAGGGCCTTTTTCTCTCTCCTCCCTCCCCACGCCGCCTCTTCGCCCTCATTTTGTTTCTGTAAAAAGGAACAGCACGGCGACCGCCGTGCCTTGTTCGTGGAGGGCGTGCCGGGAGCTGGAGGCTGTTCTCCTGCTGTCTCGTCATTCCTCTTGCGCCCCGTTAGGGTTGGAAAGGCCGGCCCTCTTTCGCCTGGGGATGGCACTCGAGACAAAGGCAGCGGGCTGCAGCTCTTCAAACATCATCATCTTTTCCTACCTCGTCTCCCTCTTTTGTGTAGATTTTCACTGCGATACATGCTAGAGGCCAGGAATCGCCTTGATTATAGCGTTGCTTAAAGCTTTGCTGAAAGTTTTCCTAGTAAACAGCAGGATAGAAATGCTTTAAGTAGTAAATACGACATGTATGGGACCCTGTTACATCTAGTGTTCAGAAGCCAACACACTTTTGTATCAAATGAGATGTGTCACTCAGGTTGGTGGAGGAGAAATGAGCCTCATTGCATTGAAGTATCGTGTATTTAACTGTTCTGTAAGGTGATCAAAGAACTGTAATAGTTCCTTCAGGAAAATATTTGTGAAGATTCTCAGTCATCCACCTACCTGTTAATTACCCATGACAGTTATCCAGGTGAGATTATCTGGAAGTTAACACCTACCTGTTAATTACCCATGGCAGTGGGTGGACAAGAGCTGCAGAAGTGAGATTTTCACTCACTCCTCCGCCCCAATCCTTTGTCCATCTAAGGAGCCGATTCAGACCAGGGGGAAGTGAAACCAAGGTGGAGGATATACAGTATTAGGGGTCTCCTACCAACTGTCCTCAGATTGAAGAAGCTACTTGGATGAGCAGCAAAGCGTTTTAACCTGGTAAAGAAGTCCAGTTGCCAGGACTCCCAGATTCTTCAGGAAAATAAAATAATTCAGGTTATGGTCTACTAGGACATGTACCATGAATGAGCCAGAAATGTGGTTTTCACAGTGAGTGAATAGAAAGCGATTGGTGGAATTAAATGTCATTTTTCTGTGTATGAAAAATCCTATAGGTGAGAACATGTTCTTTCAATCCATTGCCTCAGATTCAACCTTTTAAGTTTGATTAACATTTTAAGATAAAAGGTTACATGGCATAAAGTTAGTGCAGTAATAATATTGTAGAACATTTTAGATGGATTCCAGTAGAAGCATTCCACTGATGACATTGTTCCTATCTCCTGCCTCTCTTACCCCATGAACCCTGAAAACCTGCTGCAAGGATGCTTAAATAACATGTCAGAACATATTTTGAGGCAGTGGAGGACTGCAAGGAAAAGAAAGCCTATCATGCTAGGAGATGGTTCCTCTTCTGTGGGATTTTGATCATAGTTATTTTGTAAAATTCTGACAGGTGTTGTTTTTTTTCTGTGTCATGTTGTTTGCATAATATAGGCGTCCATGTCACTAGCACCTGTGAACATTTTCAAGGCTGGGGCTGATGAAGAAAGAGCAGAGACAGCTCGTTTGGTAAGTCTGATATTCTTTGTGTTGTATGGAACTACAGTTAGACCTAAAGTATTTAATTTTTATAAATAAAAGCTTGAACCCGGTGTGGCTCCACTCATGCCTGTATTTTCCCTTTGTATTATTCTAGTCATCTTTCATTGGAGCTATTGCCATTGGAGACCTAGTCAAAAGCACTTTGGGCCCAAAAGGCATGGTAAGATGTTTGCAAAATGTTGAAATATATTGGCTTTCTCAGTGTTGTCATTTGAGTCAAGTATTTAACATTACCAAGTGTGCATCTTCAGGACAAGATTCTTCTGAGTACTGGAAGAGAAGGCACAGTAACAGTGACCAATGATGGGGCAACAATCCTAAAAGCTATTGGAGTTGACAACCCTGCAGCCAAGATCTTGGTTGGTACGTTTGACTGAACACTTTATTGGCATAGGTTGTTACCAATGTTCTCAGTCTACACCATGCAGCTGTGCATCACTGCATGGGGGGCACAACTGAGCCATTTGTTTTTGATTGCGTCCAGAACCCCATGCACACAAGGTTGGCCCAGCAATCTACAAAATTAGGGGGAACATTGGTTGTTACATTGAGTAACGTACACTACTGTTGACTTGCTTTGGAGAAAAGTATATTGTTGACGAACAGCATCGTCAGTCCGACAGTGTCACTGTCACCATGCTTGTTGTGTGCCCCACAGTACTGAAAATGATGTACCAAGAAACTATACATGTATATTTTGTGGTCTTAACATTTTTGTAATTCTGCTTTTGATTGTCATAGATAAGGACACTTAGAGAGTTATTAACACAGAGCCTTGCTTATAGTGTAATTGTCATTATTTCATAGTCTGCAGATAATAAAATTAAAGAAGACCATATCCAACAAATGTGAGGTATCAATAATGTGGTAACATTTTTGTTACAGATATGTCAAAGGTTCAAGATGATGAAGTTGGTGATGGAACTACTTCAGTAACAGTCTTGGCAGCTGAATTGCTAAGAGTAATGCAGTGTTGCTTTACTATATCTTTATATTCATTTGTATAAAAATATACTGAAATGATAAGGCAGTATTTTTAAAGTGGAGATTTTGGGAAGTAATTTATTAATTCTTCATAGTTGTTTGATTTGTTTATTTTTACTGTATTTGAGAAATCCATACTTTTTTTTTTCTTAGGGCAATTTAAAGTATGTACTGCATGGCATGAAAAAATTGATATCACTGAGTTAAAAACAATTATGTTTTAGTGAAAATATAAATTAATACAAAATACGTTCCATACATTTTTCATGTCAGTTAAATTAAGGAAACTAGATAACGTATTTATTTAGAGCTAAAGACATCTGTAAGGAACTATTGAATGCTTAATTTTGTAAGGAAGTTTCCTGTTGAAATTATTAAAGCTAGAATATATCATCAACCATAACATAGCAGTATGTGCTAGGTGAAATACAAACTTGAAGGTATTATTGCATGGAACTTGCAGTAAAGAAAACTACTGTTTGTTTAAAAAAATAGGAGGCAGAACTATTGATTGCAAGAAAGATCCACCCCCAGACTATTATTGCAGGATGGAGAGAAGCCACAAAAGCAGCCAGAGAAGCCCTGGTGAAATCTGCTGTGGATCATGGGTCAGTTCATGTCATAGACAATAAGTATTTGTCTCTAAAACTTTTTTTGGTCAAATATAGTGTTACTGAGAACAGCTCAAACTTTTTTTGTTAAATATAGTGTTGCTGAGAACAGATTATTCAGTAAAAGCAAGTGATATTTGGCATGAGTAGCATAGAACAGTGGGACATCAAGTATTCTGCTGGTACATGCAGAACTTGATGTCTGGCTCTGAATTAGAACAGTGTTGTCACGGATTCAGATTGTATGTTAAGTTTATTTTTTCTGTTTTGCAGTGGAAATGAAGAAAAGTTTCATAAAGATTTGATGAATATTGCAGAAACAACCCTTTCTTCAAAACTGCTTACTCATCATAAAGAGCACTTTGCAAAACTTGCAGTGGATGCTGTCCTTAGGTTGAAAGGATCTGGTAACCTGGAAGCTATTCATGTCATCAAGAAGCTAGGAGGAAGTCTAGTAGACTCTTATTTGGATGAAGGTATTTTATAGATTTATAGTGATCATTTCAGGGAAAAGTGAAAAAAAAGTGTAAAGACAAAAAGTGACAATATTTTTCTTTGCATTGCTAACATTTACAAGCCAGCTATATCATAATGTTATGTATTCAAAAAAGACATAACATTATAACTTATTTTGTAGATGAGGAAGCTGTCCTGCATGGTTGTATTCCACAGGCTTATCTCTGCAAGCTCAATATATGGGCCATTCTGACAAACATGTTTATGCACTTCAGGAGTCATTCCATAATACCTTGTGTGAATTAAAGGTAGTTTTAGATAATCTACAGTTCAAAATCTTAAAACATGGTTTCTTCTATTGATGCATTACTTCGCTATGTATCAATGTACGGGCTAATGTTTCACATTCTGGAAAGAATAATACCCATATAGTATACGTGTTCTTTAGGATTGTCAATTTCTGTAACTGAGCTAGAGTGCTTGCTTAGTGAAGTGACCATTCAAGTAACCCTGTCCCCCAAATTTTGCTGATTTGCCCTTTTCTGTGCTATAACCCATTCCGCCCTATTGTGAAAGTTGTGCCCAGAGTGCCAAAGTCAATATCCATTTTTCTATCACATGTTTGTTACTTGACTCTGATACAAGTATTCCTTACTCTTTAAAGATACATTTTGCATTCTGTCATTGGAAAGCATTTTATAATGGGGAATGAAGGCAGAGCAATCCTATTGCTAAGTAGGAGAATTTCAACACATGGAAGGTTTTGGTGGTCTTCTGCCAATATTCCAGATGCAAAGATAAGCAGTGCTTGCAGGTTCTTTTATTCCATGTCTGAACCCATTGCAGAGAACCAAGAGGGGTTTTGGTATTGTGTCTCCAGAGCCTCTGGGTTACGTTTCTGTCCCTGGTGTGCCTCCTCATTATCTCTTGCATTCTTGGAGCTCTGGAATCAAGGAGTAAAAATTTTTTTTGTTAAGTATAATATTTGAGCAATTGCCAAAAAAAGAGGATTACAATTTTATTAATTACTGTATTAGAGAAGTCTTTTCCTTTTAATGTTTTTGCTACAACCAAGTCTGGCTGTTGTCATTCATTTCAGGTTTTCTGTTGGATAAAAAAATTGGAGTCAACCAACCAAAAAGAATTGAAAATGCCAAGATACTTATTGCAAATACTGCAATGGATACTGATAAAATCAAGGTTAGTGATCTTGTGTACTGCAAGTTCTTTGGTATAGGTAGAGTTCAATATTTTTAAAGTAATATTAGTATCTTTATAATTTTATCTAGATATTTGGTTCTCGTGTGAGAGTTGATTCCACAGCAAAGGTAGCAGAAATAGAACAAGCAGAAAAAGAGAAAATGAAGGAGAAGGTTGAACGCATTCTAAAGCATGGAATAAATTGTTTTATCAACAGGTATGCATGTTTTATTACAAAACAGTTGGTATGTGTGTTTGGAACCGTTTCAACGCTTCTGTCTCTGTTGCTGTTGCATAATTTTTAAGAATTATGCTTTTATTTATTTGCTTGAGTCAGGCTAGTGAATGTCTTCAGATTTTATGTATTTCATTTTCTTATTTGGTTCCTTTTCTGCATTATATTCTGTAATATTATTGAAGCTTGGTTTTTATTGCTGAATATGCCACCACTCAATGTTCAAACATGCACATCTTATTTAATTTCATTGAAAGACTAATTATTGCACGTTCTAACTGGTACTTGAAATACATACTCTTCAATTTAGTTTATCCTGCCAGTACCTGTTAGGGATTATTCTTTCTCGTTAACATGAAAGAGAAAACACAGAAGCTCTTTTTTGTTTACATGGTTTTTGCTCAATTTCTGAAAAAGAGCGTTTTAGAAATGAATACTTTGATTTAACAAAAGAAGAGTATCTGCTTTTTTTTCATGTTTTCGGTCCTCTTTTTTCTTTCATCCTTTGTCTGTCAAACTGCCCAGGTAATTTTTCCGCCAGTTAGTATCATGAGGCCTGTCAGCAGCCAATCAGACCATCCAGAGGGAGCAGGAAATTTTGGATCAATAGGATTGGTTGGAGCCAAGTGGAAATGTTATTTGCTTCAGGTGTTCTTTGTTCATGGGAGCTGTGTGCTGTTGAGCTCCTGCCTGTTGGAGCTCTACATTTTGTGTTGCTTATGCTGGCTGCTAGCTTGTGCCTCTGTCTTTGATTTTTTTTCGCCTTTCCCCGCTGTATCCTTTTGGGGAATTCCCACCTTAACCCCATTTATTTGGATTATTTTTGGTGCTGTTGCCAGATAGCCCCTTGCTTTCCTTTGCCGCCATAAGTTAAATAACTCTTTGGATTCTGCTCTGATTTCTGTGGGGATTCCACTCACTTTCTTAGTTTTCTTAAAACCCTTCTATGATTAGTTTGGTGCTCCTGGTCTGCCTTGTAGGACTCAGAAGAGAAGACATTCAAGTGATAAGGGGGGAGAAATCTCCTTGCATTCTAGTAGTTTTGTTTGGTGGTGGTGCTTGATGGGATGTTTTGACATTTGTTTGTTTTCTTTTTAGGAGGGATGCTATTTTTTTAAGGCTGTTTTTTCCTTTGCATCTGGGTGGTTTCCCTGTTTGTTTGTTTGTTTTTAATACTGTTTGGTTAATTTACAGTCTATTATGTTAAAGATGTGTACAGTATTTTGGTGGGGATTGTTTTGGTTGCCTTCGTGTGGACAAGTGTGAGCCAAAGAGCCTTAAGTTGCTGTGTCAAAGCTAAGATGCTACTGGGTTTGTGTGGATTTTACAAAGGTGTGATGATGATTTTTCTTTTTTTATCTCCTATTGCCTGCTTTTGTAGTAGATTGATTCTATGTTGCCTGCCTTTCCCCCTAGTTTTTTGGAGTAGTTGTTAAGGGTCTTTTAGCACTTTTGGACTCCAGGCACCAGAATACACGAATGGATAAAACACAAAATAAAATGACCCAAAATAAGTTGTCTCTTTCATAGACCGGTACACAAAAATGATGAAACAAAACAGGAATTTGTTTTGAAACAAAACAAAAGCAGTTTTCATTGTGCACATCCCTGATACCTGTTAGTTATGATGGTAGTACAGAACCTGCAGCATTCATATAGGAATGTCTCCATACCAGCTGCTGAGAAATAAGAGAGGAATGTTGGTTTCTTTGTTGTGCCCTTCTTTTGGATATCCCAGAGACATCTAGCTGGACAGTGTGAAAAGCAAAATGAGGGTCTAAATCAGGGCAAGCATGGTGTCATCTGCAGGTTGTATGTGTCCAAGCTATTTTGTAGCTTACATTCCTTCACAGGTTGGTTTATTTATTTAGAATAATTATTATAGGTCTCTATATCTTATGATCTTGTCACTATATCTTGTGATCTCAGGGTTAAGTGCAGCAATAAAAACAATTTTATTTCCCCCCTTGTTTCTTGTGAATGAAATGGTGAATTGCAATTCCTAGAAGCCTCCAGGAGCAGTAGTTCACTTCTTCAGCAGTTACAGAGCTGCTTTTCATGCCAAATGCCCATTTTTCAAAAGTGGAAGTAAACTTCTACTTTTTTAAAATTAAGTAGAAGTTTTAAGTATTTTAGTCCATCTGCCTGCAGGGGAGCAAATTGACCCCTAGGCTCATCAAGGTCACCCATCCTTGATATATCCTTTAGCCGCCTAGAGTGGTCATTTTGACCAGATAGGCGGGGTACAAATAGAATAAATAAAAAAAATGAATAACAACTTGGCACTCTAGTGGTAATGCAGATGCTTTGAATTACAATTCACATAATCCCTGACCACTAGCCAAAACACATGGATCACATGGGATTGCCTGCTTTGGGACTCAGTGTAGAATTGGACTCATCCAGTAGTACTGACTGTTCAGGTGTGTCAGGGAACAGTTTGGAATGCACTCCACTGAAATTCCAACATTTTGCCATGTTGAAGGTTCTTGTGATGATAGCTGAGTGAATGTTCAGACATCTATAGTGTTTTATGATGCATGGGATTTTTGCTTTATTTTTATTTTATTAATGTATTGTTTCATGCAGCCTTGGTATGTCTTGAATAATAAAATTAGTTTGAGAGACAAGTGTAACATTTGCATTTTAAGATGTACTGGTTTTGTACCACATTATTATAAAAACATTTTATTGCAGGCAATTGATCTATAACTACCCAGAGCAGATGTTTGCTGCTGCTGGTGTTATGGCTATTGAACATGCAGATTTTGCTGGAGTTGAACGGCTGGCTCTTGTAACAGGTACAGTGGAAAACAATTTAATTTAGAATTGGAGATTGTAATTTGCAGCTTGCTTTGAACTAGCAGGGAGAAAATGAAATATCTTTCAAGGAATGTAAGACATACATTCAGACGTATAAAAAAATTGTGTTCTCAAAACTGTAATATTGAGTGGTTTTTTTATTTTGAATGTTCTGATGCAGATTAGTATGAAATTTGGAAGACACAAGTTTGAATTTAGATAGCCACAGGCAGAGATCTTGTGCAGTAAGCTTTCTTGCATTTTTCTGCTGCAGTTTTGTATACTCTCGCCCAATTCCATTCTTGAAGGTTAGGAACCCTTCAGTATTAGAATAATATCACATATGGTGCTATAGTTGAGAAATAATGGAAATTGCCATGTGAGCACAAGATTCTTAAGGAGTCTCTGGATCTGATTTTTACTGATTTTATACTTTGTTTGGCTGAAATCCTGTTCATAGCATAAACAAAGTTGTAACTTTCAGTCTGTTTCACAAGATCTGCTTCAGTTCTTTTTTGAGTGGCAGGAGGAGATATGCACACATGCCAAGCCTGGGTGCATAAATGCCCCAGAGCATTGTAGCAATGACACTCCTAATCTCAGGAAGAAATGGACCAAATCTTATGATTTGGCTTATGCTATGAACAGGGTTTCAGTCCACTTCTCACCCATTTCTTGTTGAACTTCATAGTTTCCAGGTATTTTGAAGCTTGTTTTTCAGGCTTATGTAAAACTAGTATGTGGCTATCATAAAGACCCATGTGCTTTCTTTTCTCAATTTCAGAATTGGTTACCAGAATTGTTCTACTTTTTTTACTGTTATCAGTAGAAAATGTCTTCATAATATAAAATGGGAAGTTAAAAGTAGGCTACTGATACTACAATAATAGCTTCATAAAGCTTGTTTTGAAACCAAGAGAACTAGAAATCAGTCTTACAGATGTTTCCGTTTATACTTCATTTTGTAGTAGAATTATGTTGTATTTTTGTCATCTTTTCGGTCCTGTTTAGAAATTATTTATAAGAATGATTTAATGGTGATTTTAAAAAAAGCTTAACATGAATTTGTATTCTCAGGTGGTGAAATTGCTTCAACTTTTGATCATCCAGAGTTAGTGAAGCTAGGAAGCTGCAAGCTGATTGAAGAAGTAATGATTGGTGAAGATAAACTTATTCATTTCTCTGGAGTTGCTATGGGTAGGTTTTGCTGTATTAGATAGAGTGATATTATACTCCAGTTATTCTGGGGCAGATATAACCCAATATCAAGCAGTAGACTAATATAATCCCTTAAGGAGCCCTGAACTCTTGGCTCAGACTGAGTATTCTCTACAAAGCTTCTGCCCAGGAGGGTACATGGGTGCTGTGTTGTGAGGTTTTCCTTTCCTTGTTTTGTGTGTTGGATCTCAGAAATACGAAGATTGAGGAAATACGAAGCATGAACCCTTGTCTGTAGAAATACTGAACATCATTGCTGAACACACTATACAGCTGATGGACAGGAAGCACTGTGGCAATCTTCCCCATGCTATTCAGTGAGGTGTACTGGGGAGTCTCTAAGTTCAGATGTCTGTTTTTGAGTACTAGGCTTTCATGATATGTTTTTTCACCTCCCCTTCTCAATCCAGCATGCACAGAAATTCCCCCAATTTATCATATGGAACAATTGTGGCCTTCCTGCTGCTCCACAAGGAATGTGGGATGTATGTGCTGACCATACAGTATATAATTTCAGACATTATTGATACAGTAGGGAATCCAGTTAGATGATCACACCAAGCATGTTGCAGTTGTCCTTGTGGATCCATTAGTAGAAGACTTGAGAATTCTCCTTTGCAGTTGTAGATTTGATTGGAAGTATTTAATAACAAAATTTCTTCATCTTGTATAGGAGAGGCGTGCACTATAGTTTTGCGTGGAGCAACACAGCAGATCATTGATGAGGCAGAAAGATCTCTGCATGATGCTCTCTGTGTTCTTGCCCAGACTGTAAAAGATACAAGGACTGTGTATGGAGGTGGTGAGTATTTCTTTGTTTCTGCCTCCCTCCCTCCCTCTTCAGTTGTGTGTCAATTACAATATTTTTCCATGTATGATACTTTTCTCTAAAATATTTAGATTAAAAATTCAGGGTCGTCTTATACACAGGAGGGGAAGGATGAAAGCCCTTTTATCCCTGCTTTCCCTCTCCACTTTTTGCGAAGAAGTGGAGGGGGAAAGCAGGAATTGTCAAAGAAGTTCATCAAAGCCATTCCTGTTTTCTCCCTCCACTTTCTTCTGAAGAAAGGAGGAAGAGGAAAGCAGGGATCAAAGGGCTTTGATCCCTCCTCCCTCCTTACTTCCGTGTAGAAGACGTCCCTAAATTTTTAATCTAAATATAAAGCACTTTGATTCCTGCTTTCCCCCTCCACTTTCTTGTGAAGAAAGAAATTCTGGGTTAGAAAAGGGGGGGTGTCTTATACATGGAATAGGTTATCAGATTTCTGGGTTTTTCCTAACTTGCAGGCTGTTCAGAGATGCTAATGGCTAATGCTGTGATGGAGCTTGCAAAAAGGACACCAGGCAAAGAATCATTGGCAATGGAATCTTTTGCTAAGGCTTTGAGTACGGTAAGCTATCATTCACAGACCAGCAATAATCAGGAGAGGGGAGAATGGAATACATTTCTGAAGGCTTCATTTGATTGTTTTCCTTTCGCTGTTATTCTTTGGAAAGTGTGGGTATGAATCTAGGTTAACCATCTTACTGTAGTTTTTTCACTCTATTATCTTCATTTTGGCTGTATATGTCACACTCTTTTAAATACTGTTTAAAACATTATTTAAAACAGAAGATACGAATTAAACAACATCAGTATAAATTTTTCCATTATCTGTTTTCATATTTATTTATTTATTTGATTTATACCCCGCCTATCTGGGCTACCAGTCCACTCTAGGCAGCTTTCAGTGTTTATCTGCTTTTCAAGAAGCAAATGATCAATAAACTAAATGATTTTGGTCATCTGCCTTTCAGCTTTTGTCATTTATTTAATATAATTTTTTATCACCAGGACCACTGAGAAAAATGCAAGAACTTGCAGTTGAATAAACAACATTATTAACGTTGGAAGATTTTTTTTCTTTTTTGTACAGCAGTGAACACATTAGAATAAATTGAAATATAGCATACCTTCAGATTGGTTCCACCAATTAAAATTTCCCATTTAAAGGTTAATCAACTAAAACTTTACTTGATACATTTACCATCAAAAAGTTGCAAATCTTTTTTAAAAAAAAACATCATTTCCATTAATTGTTTACTCTTCTAATGTATTGTTTTGCATAAGCTTTCAGAGGGAATTTGATTTTCTTTCCATCATTACCACCTTGATATTAAATTGAGTGGTTTTTTTATTGTTGCAGTCTTCTCTGTTATCTGTTTTAAATCAGAGGAAAGCTCTGTGAGATGTCTCACAAAGCAAAGCAAAAGCAAAGTATGCTGCTTATATGCCGCCCCATAGTGCTTCAGGCACTCTCTGGGTGGTTTACAAGTTAATTATGCAGGCTACACATTGCCCCCCCCCCCAGCAAGCTGGGTTGGGTACTCATTTTACTCTCGGAAGGATAGAAGGCTGAGTCAGCCTTGAGCCGGCTACTTGGGATTGAACCCCAGGTCGTGAGCACAGTTTTGGCTGCAGTACAGCAGTGTAACCACTGCACCACAAGGCTCTTCGTTTAGATAACATTTTACAAATGAGATAACATTCTACAAAAGTTTCCTAAATGTGACTAAAGTAAAACTGGTATATGCTATCCAGTAGTTGCTAGGTTTATATTAATTTATTTGTTTTATTTATTTTTGGTACTGTCTTGTATGGTGACTGCATTCCGATACATACTTAATTAGGCATAATTTCTATGAGATCAGTGGGACTCACTTGGTAAACATACATAGGATTATGCTAAAAAGTATCATTTTGAAAGTTATTATTGTGTCTCTGAAATATGAAACTGCTGTAGACTTATGTATCCAGTATTGAAACATTCAGGATTTATACCTAGGATACACCAGTATGGAATGTGTATACCTTCTTTCTCGTGTTACAAAATTATCGTAACAGGATTTATACAGCATTATTGCAGAAATTGATATTTTGAGAAGAACTTCAACATACAGAGGTTTTGAGTAGGATAGTAGAGTGACAGTTCAAAACAAATTGGGAGTAATTATCTTACCTATTTCAAACCATTAGAATAGCCTTTGCATTGGATGTACATAAAAAGTTGGAACAATCTGGGAATATCCTCTATTATTTTTTTCCATCTCAACACTTTGAACACATATTAAGAGGACATGTCTTATAAATATTAAGAACATATACTGGTACTAGTTCATAGTGCAGCATCAAAATACAGTGGTTAAAATGCAAAATTTTAAATATATGGGTAGAACATACTTGACAGTTTTCTTAAAATTTTTTGTAGTTTCTTTTAAAAATGCTGATATGTTGCTATAAACTCTTATTTCCCCCAATAGTCTAATTGTTAATAATGGTACCCATTCCAATATTGGCATATGAAAAATTATGAGTACACTCTATAACAGAAAATTGTGCCAAACAAATTTATTAACAATTACTAGAAAAATTGTAGCAAATAGTATTTAGATGTGATGTACAGGGATTTACGTTTGTGTGTTTTTGCATATGTGCCTCAGTAGTTAATAGGTTTGTTCTATCAGACATTCTCTTAACAATCTGATTACTATTTTTAGCTCCCAACCATCATAGCTGACAATGCTGGCTATGATAGTGCAGATCTGGTGTCCCAGCTTCGAGCTGCACATATGGAAGGGAAAACTACATATGGACTTGGTAAGAGCAATTTGCTATGACGTACAAGCTTTTAAAAAAAACACAGTTCTGTATTGCTGTGGCCTGCTGCAGGGTTGATCAGGTCAGGTTCTGATTATAGATTTCTAGATGGTTTCCAGTAGATTGGCAAAGTTTTCTGACTCACAGTTTTAACAGTAGCAGCAACAAAAAGCTTCTCTCCACTGCCAAGAATAGGAAAATTGCTTAGGGGAAAACCACAAATGAGCTTTTGTGGGAAGGGATTGTGAGCTCTCCTCAGGTACTGAAAACTGATTTGTAGGCTGAACATGCATTTTGAGGACACCTGTTTCTTTATTTTTATTGTATGTCCCATAAGCCTGCACTCTGCTCTTTCTTAGCTTAAGTATCATTACCTCTGTTGTTAAATACTTCTTTATAAGCTTAGAGTACAGTTGAGCAAAAGCAGTGAAAATTAAACAAAATCAATCCATTCAGCACTGGTATGAGCTTGGAATTTCACAAAGAGTTCATTAAAAAGATCTAAAGATAAAGGAAAGGAAGCATGAGTGAGGTGAAGTGATTTGGATGCTTTTGCTTAGGTTACCCCTAGAATACACGGAGACCAAATAAATTCAAGCCTCATTCAATAAAGGCGAGAAAAAGCACAAAATGCCTCTGAAAATGTGATCCTTCTCATTACATTTTTAAACTCAGGATTTCATTTTTCTCCCCCACTTAACCATCTGAAGACATGAAGGAAGCCACCATTGCAGACATGGCAAGTCTGGGAGTAGTTGAAAGCTTTCAAGTGAAACGTCAAGTTTTGCTGAGTGCTGCTGAAGCTGCAGAAGTGATTCTCCGCGTTGATGACATTATTAAAGCTGCACCACGGTAAAAGAAAGCTTTTCTAGTTCTTGTGAGAGAAAGTTGAAACTTAGCCGGTTCTGAATCCAACATAACATCTTTTACTAGACAAACAATCGATTTTAAATATCTTGAAGGCAAATAATTGTTTTAAGTATTCGTGGAATTACATTTTGATTATACATTGTATGTTAATAGCTCATTATATGCAAGCACTTCTAGATTTAAGTCTTAAATTGTAGGCATTTAAGTGGCTAATTAGTTATTTTGAGTGCTTGGTACTGTTTTACTTTCTGACATCCGCTGGTACTGATTTTTTACTTTGTCTTCCAGGAAACGAGTTCCAGACCGTCATCCATGCTGAGTATTGTGCAGTCAGTATGAATATATGGACCAGGATTTTGCAGAGTACTTGAGAAGTGTGTTTCTAACAGATAATGGAGTAAAGAATGGGCGTTATGTACCCCTAGTACATGGTTATTTTTTGGTTTAACTTAACTTGTTTTTCAAAGACCAGTTCATTTGCAGTTGTACAACTGTATTTCTCCATCATCCCCTTTGGCTTATTACTCTGTAATAAAAACTTCAAATACGTAATTATTTCATTTTCTTTAGTTAATACTACTGGTGAAGTTGTCCTTTTTCTCAAGAAGTGTTTTGTAGTGTTAAGTGTCAAACATTGAGAGCAAAATCCAAAGAGCATGCACAAATAATTTTAGATGGCACAAGCTGCTGACATTTTAAAATGTTAATTTATGTATCCTTTTATATTAAATTTCATATTAAGAGAATACAAAGCAGTAAACATTTAACTTTCTATTTTACAATGGATCACAAGGATGAAATCATTTTAACCCCAGCTGACTTTTGATCAGTTAACTTCCATATCTTCTCTTGTGTTCTGGAAAAAGTAGATATCCGTGTGACAGGAAATTGTCTCATGATACCAGAAGTGCTAGTAGCTGTAATTAGCATGAAATTTTGTAGGCTGTACTAAATTTGTCTAGCTGCATGAAGTAACCTGGAAACCTGGGAGAGAAATAGATCACATTGAAATTACAGTGCTTCATAGAAATATGCACTGGCTTATTCTTAGCATAGATTTAAACTCTTACCTAATTTGGCAGCCATCTTTTTGATCCAAACTACATTAGCCATTCCCTTGAGGGCTGAACCACTGCCATGCTCTTCAACATTGTTTGCCTTCTGTTACCTGTTTATATAAGCTGTTTAGTCTATAAGAGACACAAGCCAGGCATAAGAAATAACAGAATTCAGAGTTCGATTGATGAACATTTCAAATTTCTGAAGCATAGTATTTTTTACATGACGAGTCTGCATTTGTAAGTAGGAAGCCCATAGTAATGAATGAACTACATAGTAATATAATTTGAACCTCTGTATAGCAACAATAGCTAGCTGACAACAGTTCCAAGTTAGGTGAATGTTAACTGGTGTAAGGCTTTAAGTCTTAAACATATTTCTTTAGTCTTAATTTGAATTAGGCTTAAAAGCAAGCAAGTAATTAATGCAGCTCACTCAGAACAAGTTGACTATGTTTAAGACTCTTAATCTATTGAATAACATTTAGTGGCAGTCGACACTAGTTAAAAGTGGCTGCTTACCGCAGTAATCAGGCTTGGAAGTTAAAGAACCATGAATCTGGCATAGTAAAGTGCAGACTGTTAAAGAAGCGATAGAGCCTCTATGCTAACCATAAATGAAAAGGGCATTCTTAACAAATACAGTCTGCTTTTGAAGGGGCAGGGTTGTTACAGGGAGCATATGACATACTTATTACAAGAACTGCACTGGCTACCAGTCCATTTCCTGGCCCCATTCAAAGTGCTGGTCATTATACATCAGGGGTCTGAAATATGCTGTCCTGGCGCCATTTGCAGCCTGCTAGATGATAGTTTGTGGCCCCCACCTTGCCCGCCCCTCAAAGCGCCCACGCGTCCTCTGCTGTCAAGAGTCAAAAAAAGCCTCACCTCCTCTCGCTTACTGGCTCTCCCCCAAGACAGTACCTCTTGCACCCCCCATCCGGAACTGCAGCCTTCCAGCCAGCCCACCTGTCTGCCAGCTAGCAGGCTGCAGTTCTGGATGGAGGGTGCAAGAGGCGCTGTCTTGGGGGAGAGCCGGCGAGTGAGGCACACTGCTGGCCTTTTTTCCCGAGCGCCCGAGCCACCGCCGTGTGATGCCTGAGAGCGGAGCTCGCTCCCATCCTTGAAGAAGAGCGCTTCCAAACCACCAACAGCAGCTGCCGCCGCCACCATCTCTTCCAGGGAAGTGGATCTCTGGCTCTCTTTCTCTCTCGGCACTCCCAGCACCAGCCTGGCCAACGGCCGCCTCAGTACCCAGCAATGCTTCCTCCTCCTTCAGCCACCTCAGCTCTTGCGGCTGCCTGGGCTCGCCTCACAAAGTCTGCTCCTCAGTCATGGTGAGGGTAGCTGCTGCTGCTGAGTGTGCCTTTTTTGGAGGGGGCCCTGTCTATAAGAGACACAAGCCAGGCATAAGAAATAACAGAATTCAGAGTTCCATTGATGAACATTTCAAATTTCTGAAGCATAGTATTTTTTACATGACGAGTCTGCATTTGTAAGTAGGAAGCCCATAGTAATGAATGAACTACATAGTAATATAATTTGAACCTCTGTATAGCAACAATAGCTAGCTGACAACAGTTCCAAGTTAGGTGAATGTTAACTGGTGTAAGGCTTTAAGTCTTAAACATATTTCTTTAGTCTTAATTTGAATTAGGCTTAAAAGCAAGCAAGTAATTAATGCAGCTCACTCAGAACAAGTTGACTATGTTTAAGACTCTTAATCTATTGAATAACATTTAGTGGCAGTCGACACTAGTTAAAAGTGGCTGCTTACCGCAGTAATCAGGCTTGGAAGTTAAAGAACCATGAATCTGGCATAGTAAAGTGCAGACTGTTAAAGAAGCGATAGAGCCTCTATGCTAACCATAAATGAAAAGGGCATTCTTAACAAATACAGTCTGCTTTTGAAGGGGCAGGGTTGTTTTACTGAATGCCCACAAATTCTTTTCGTACCAGCTTAAGGCCATGGGCTGTGAGTTTTGCAGACAAAATAAAATTACCTCCTTTACCATTTGTTGTTTAGTCATTAAGTCATGTCCGACTCTTTGTGACCCCATGGACCAGAGCACGCCAGGACCTCCTGTCTTCCACTGCCTCCTGGAGTTGGGTCAAATTCATGTTGGTAGCTTCGGTGACACTGTCCAAACATCTCATCCTCTATCGTCCCCTTCTCTTGCCTTCACACTTTCCCAACATAAGGGTCTTTTCCAGGGAGTCTTCTCTTCTCATGAGATGGCCAAAGTATTGGAGCCGCAGCTTCAGGATCTGTCATTCCAGTGAGCACTCAAGGTTGATTTCCTACAAAATGGATAGGTTTGTTCTCTTTGCAGTCCAGGGGACTCTCAAGAGTCTCCTCCAGCACCACAGTTCAAAAGCATCAATTCTTCGGCAGTCAGCCTTCTTTATGATCCAGCTCTCATTTCCATATATCACTACCGGAAAAGACCATAGCTTTGACTATGCAGACCTTTGTCGGCAATGTGATGACTAGCCCAGTGGTTTTTCCTACTTTCTTCAGTTTACGCTTGAATTTTGCTATAAGAAGCTGATGATCAGAGCCACAATCAGCTCCAGGTCTTGTTTTTGCTGACTATAGAGCTTCTCCATTTTTGGCTGCAGAGAATATAATCAACCTGTCATTGTTTAGTGGTGTCCTACCCTTCATGACCCCATGGACCAGAGCACGCCAGGCCCTCTTATCTTCCACTGCCTCTCAGAGTTGTGTCAAAAGTTACCATTAGATAAAAGTAAATTTTTTACAGTAGTGGAAGGTAGGTACTTGCTCCAGACACAGGACTAATATGTCGGTTAATTTTGAGTTGCCTTCTCCAGAGTGAAAGCTAAGCCTCCCAGTTTTCAAGGTATTGTAAAGATACATTGTAGAACTGTATTTTAGACATGGGTCCCAATAAGGTTACATATAACCATTATGTATAGTTTTAATTCATTCAAAAGACAAAAATAATCCTCTGTACCCATATACCAGTGGCTCCCTTGACTTACTGGCCACGGGCTGCAGCTCCACAGAACAGTGGGACTGCCATTTCCACAGGACCAGAGCCGGCGGTTTCACTTAATCTACTGTCTGAAAATAGGGGGGGGGGGGGGGAGGATAATCCAAGGTGCCAGCCTGTGTGGCCTTGGACAAGCAGCACAGTCTCAGGATGCCCTCAGGTGGGGGGAAATGGAAAACCACTTCTGAGTAGTCTCTCGCTGGAAAACCCTGAAAGTGATGATTGTAAGTCAGAATTGATTTGATGGTACACACAAGCTAAGGTGCAAAGCAGGGGGCAAAGTTTTAAGATTTTTACCAGTACAGTGTTTTAAACTCAGCTGTGATGGCTTTCTACATTCTGGATTTGTAAATATACAGTGAGAGCATCAGGTTGAGGACAGCATTTGAGGCCATAATTCAGATCCTGTAACCTGCTGCCACAGAGGCATATCGGAGCCTTTGTGGAAAACGTGTATGCTAGTTCACAGTTGCTTTTGTTGCCAGAGCTCTGAATTTTACTTTTTAAAGGAAGTTGTTTCGTTACTGAGACCAAATGGGCATTTGTCTTTATGTTTGTCCTACATTCCTCATCAATCATTTCCATATTTTCTGACAACCAGGCGGTGTTATTCCTGCTCCTGAGTAGATCTGATATTTTTGCATGAGCATCCCGTACATTTTGTTCAACATTTTGTTGCTGTGTTTCTTTGTAATTTTTGGCTCAGAATTGTATTTTGTCAACATTTTGGGGAGGCCTTCTGGAATATTGCTGGGCATGTCTTGAGACATATAGGCATGTGGGAATAAACACTTTTGCCTCTTTCCTCTCATTTGCAGTGCCACTAAAATAAATTTCATTTGCAGTTTTTTAAAGAAAAAAGACTTAGAACTGAGCAATATGCAACATATAAAATACATATAATTTTTTGAAAATAATCTGTGCTTTAATAGTTTTGAATTATATTGTGCTAATATAATGCTAAACCACTCCATCAGTACTTCTCTGTTTGCTTGTTCATTTTTTAAATAAAAGGACATTGATTTATGAGCCATGTGTAATGGAAGCATAAAGTACATGTATTTTTTTAGCAAATCTGTATCTCATAAAACTGGCATAAAGTGAAATGATAACCCTAGTTTTGAGTTTTGCATTATACTCCTTAACCACTTCAGAGGCATATATATATTTTCTTTTAAAGGATGTTGAATCAATCATTACATACAACAGCATGACGAAACACATTCTACAACTAACAGATTTGGTAAATCCATGTCTCCAAAATCTGTAGTTTATATTTACTGATGCATCAGGGTAAATAATGGGTGCATAGGAACAAAGGAGCGAAAAGGAGAAATGTTGCTAATGTCACTTACTGTGTGGATAGTTGAAATGCAGCAGTCTGGTTGAAAGAATCATGGATGTATGAGTCATACACCTCTGACTATGCAGTATGGGCAACATGAATCAACACACCCTGTTTGGTTGTAGCTGCACTGCCTTAGGTCAGTAGCAAGCTAGTACTGTGACTCCTTTTCTACAAGAGTAGCTTGTTTTATTCAGTTGCTCATTACAAAAGCATTACAGTTGCAACAACTGAAAAATATGTGAAAATTCTCACCAGTACTGTCACATGGTTAATTCTGTGTACTGCAGACTGAAAATACTGTGAAAAACTTCCATTGGCATTTGATTTCCAGATGCCTGTACTAACACCTTATTGGAAATGAGATGGAATTTGTACTTCAGCATAAGGAAAAACTGTTAGGCTGGCTGGAATTCTGTTAAGTGGGCATTCTTAATTTTGTGAACATACTGAACTATCATAACAAAATCCTTTCCATGGAGCTCCTGCCTGCCTGATATTTTTCTAGGTGTGTTTGGCAGGATGAGCATTGGGAATTATAAAATTACATTGGTCTTCTGTGCAAGAAACTGAAACAGAACTAATACTTACACATTGTTAGCAGTCCACTGAGCCTGCTTAAGCTACGGATTCAAAGGATGCTCTTCCAAGCAGTAGTCTATTTCTTTTTGGGCAGTCAGCAATGGAATCCCTTCCCCGAACAGACATACTCACTCCCTGCTTGAATCAGTTCACCAGACTGAACCAAGACAAGAACCACATGCAAAAGTGTCTCCCTCGCTTTCTCTTTCATCAGACCTTTTCCAATGACAGAGGAAGTGGCTGGGAAGAAGGCAGAGAAGGAACAAGCGATCGTTTCTGTGATGCCTCACCTGCCACTGCTAACACAGCTCTTCTACTGCCTGACGTGGGGAAAAGAAGCACGGTTACATTAGCTCATGTCCACTGAGCAACAACAGTTTCTCACAGACTAGCAAGGTTATGCTCAAAATACTACAAGGTAGGCTTCAGCAGTATGTGGACTGAGAACTCCCAGAAGTACAAGCTGGATTTTGAAGGGGCAGAGGAACTAGAGACCAAACTGCTAACATGTGCTGGATTATGGAGAAAGCCAGAGAGTTCCAGAAAAACATTTACTTTTGCTTCATTGATGACGCAAAAGCCTTTAACTCTGTGGACCACAGCAAACTATGGCAAGTCCTTAAAGAAACTGGAGTGCCTGACCACCGTATCTATCTCCTGAGAAATCTATATGTGGGACAGGAAGCAACATTTAGAACTGGATATGGAACAACTGATTGGTTCAAAATTGGGAAAGGAGTACAACAAGGCTGTATATTGTCTCCCTGGTTATTTAACTTATATGCAGAATACATCATGCGAAAGGCAGGACTGGATGAATCCCAAGCCGGAATAAAGATTGCCGGAAGAAATATCAACAACGTCAGATATGCAGATGATAACACTCTGGTGGCAGAAAGTGAGGAGGAATTAAAGAACCTCTTAATGAGGGTGAAAGAGGAGAGCACCAAAAATGGTCTGAAGCTCAACATCAAAAAAACTAAGATCATGGCCACTTGTCCAGTCACCTCCTGGCAAATAGAAGGGGAAGATATGGAGGCAGTGACAGATTTTACTTTCTTGGGCTCCATTATGGTGACAGCCACCACGAAATTAAAAGACACCTGCTTCTTGGGAGGAAAGCGATGACAAATCTAGATAGCATCTTAAAAAGCAGAGACAACACCTTGCCGACAAAGGTCCGCATCGTCAAAGCTAAGGTTTTTCCAGTAGCTATGTATGGAAGTGAGAGCTGGACCATAAAGAAGGCTGACTGCCGAAGAATTGATGCTTTTGAACTGTGGTGCTGGAGGAGAACAAACCTATCCATTTTGAAGGAAGTCAGCCCTGAGTGCTCACTGGAAGGACAGATCCTAAAGCTGAGGCTCTAATACTTTGGCCATCTCATGAGAAGAGAAGACTCCCTGGAAAAGACCCTGATGTTGGGAAAGTGTGACGGCAAGAGGAGAATGGGACAGAGGATGAGATTGCTGGACAGTGTCTGCAAAGCAACCAACATGAAATTGACACAACTACGGGAGGCAATGGAAGACAGGAAGGCCTGGCCTGCACTGATCCATGGGGTCACTAAGAGTTGGACACCACGGTGCACTGGTCCATGGGGTCACTAAGAGTTGGACACCATGTAACGAATAAACAACAACAACAAAAACTTGTTCAGAATGTAACAAATCAAGTTATTTCTTAGCTTCACTGAAGATGTACGGTGAGCTATAATTGAATGGTGGTACTGAACATGCTGTTATGGAGTCTCCACTGAAATTACATTTCCTTGACAGGGGGAGCAGCTGATAAACTCTATACAGAAATTTCCTACACTTTGATATGTTTCTGTCGTGACAGGGTCTGAGCCTTTGGCTGTGAACCATAGAAGCACTAGGTACAACTAAAGAATGAATTGTTTTTCAAAGTCTGCAATATACCTCTAGACAATCTGCCTTATGTTTACAAGTCTGGTCTTACAGCTTCTGTTTCATTTGATAAAACCAGGCAGTGCGATCTCACATTCATTTGCATTCTCTCCCTCCCACTCTTCTAATATCTCATTCATGGGGTTGCCTGTGATTCTCTCACTGGATTCCTGAGAACAGCAGCAGATAATGAAAGAGATAATGAAATCTGGTAACTGCTCCATCTCTTTAATGGCTATCACATTAAGACAGGTGCTGCCGTTTTTCACAAAACTATGCATGTACACATATTATAGAAATCAAAAGAAATCCCACAAGTACAATGTTTATGCAAACATTTTGCATGTAAAAGGAAAAACCAGCCCCTGGTGTGGCCTCAAAAAGCACAGTCTTGCACAAGTCGCATAGTGTGGCTGTGGCATGCTACCAGTTCTACAGTCCTTGGTACCTCAAGAGTGTTTGAAGGAGAGAGGAGGAGGAGGGAGAAGGGAATTGAGATCCTCAGCCCCTTTGTTCCTCTGCAGACCGGATCGCTTCCTAGGCTCAGGGCTTTCCTCAGACCACCTCCCAACCCTATGCACCCCTTTTGCCACTTTGGGTGCATTTATACAAGGGTTGTGGTCGTAGATCACCAGCTTCAAACCACTAAGGTGTGTGAGATTGGGGAAGTCACGGATGGCATTACAATCCACATCAATCACTTCTAAGAAGGGCATGTGCAGCAACACACGTGGGAACTCAGTCAGTAAGTTACTGGAGATCCAGAGGGTGCGCAGCTCCTTCAGGTACCGTAGCTGTCCAGGTAGGGAGTGCAGGGCATTGGAGCCAACGTGCAAGGTCTTGAGGTGCCTCAGTTCACACACCACATTGGGGAGGTGGTAGAAGCAGTTGGACTCAATCCATAGCGACTTGAGGTTGTGCAGCTGCTGTAGCTCTGCAGGTAGGTCTCCCAGTTTGTTGTTTCCCAGGTAAAGAATAGAGAGCTGTTTCAAGGTGCACACCACTGGGGGCAGTGTATGGAAGTTGTTAAAATCCAGTGCCAGGATTTGGAGGTTCTGTAGTTGTTCCAGCTCTGAGGGCAGATGTTTCAGCTTGTTATCACTCAGGTACAGCTTGACCAGTTCCCTGAAAGAGCAAACACACAAAGGAAACAGTCTCACTTGCCTGCTGCTCAGATCCACCATTTTGTCAATTGGCATCTCTTCAAGGTCTCCTAAGATGTATTTCTGGCAGATATCTGCAGGGATAAAGGAAATGATGGCTCTGAAAGTATTGCCCATCTTCACAGTGTTACATTGGCGAGCTGTTGCTAGCAGAGGAATCAACCTCGTGAACTGGGGAAGCTCTCTGATCCTTGTCCCGCAGGCTCGGCTGGCCCTTTCTCCTTCTCGCACTTTTATGATCACAGCCTCTGTAGCAACAATCCTAGCTCTCTGAAGGGTCCTGAAATGTTTCTGATAAGTGGATGAGTGTCTGCTGATAAAAAAATAGCAGGCATGACTGTGCGACAGTGCTCCTATACCCAAATAAAAGAATCGCCCTTAGTGAAGTTCTAAAAATGTACACAGGGTTTATCAGCAATATGTCCTAAGTTGTTTTTCCCACATCTCCCTTTGCCCAAGTATTTATTGTTAAAAATGAATATTAGTTGTAGCCTCAATATTTCAATATTATACAGTTATGTATATATGTATAATATATGTGGGTAAAACTGTGTACTACTTTTCAATGTGCTTTTGAATCTCATACTTGGCACCCCTTCTCTCTCTCTCTCTCTCTCTCTCTCTCTCTCTCTCTCTGTGTGTGTGTGTGTGTGTGTGTGTGTGTGTGTGTGTGTGTGTTTGTACCTCTCCAATCTAGCTTAGGTCTGTAAGGGAAGGAAGTTCTCTCTTTGGGCCATTTTACTGCTGCAGACTGTAGCTCTCACAAGGTGCTTTTCACTTGGAAAACTAATGGAGAAGACTTAATTCACCTTAAGGTTTTTTAAAAACAAAATTTAAAATTGCATGAACATCCTGCTAGGCACACCAAAAAAGGTGGGGGCATGAAAAGGGAAGATACAAAGGGTGCCTTGCTCCTTGTGGACAGTCTTTATCAAAAACACTTCTCCAGGAAACCGTGGGAAGAAATCAGTGACACCCTGACACCTTGCCAGTGGTTCGTCCTTTCCTCAGACCCAATGGAATTCCTTAGATCTAGTTTCCCTATGGGACATGAAAGGAGCCATGTTATACTTGGAGTAGGGGAAAGAAGCAGAAAGTGAAAGAAAAGAGAAAACCCAGGAAAGGGAAGAGAATTCCAATTCCAGATGGTTAATGGAATTCCTAAGAAAGTCTTGATCGACACAGGATGCAGTAAAATGTAAATGACGCAAGTCTCAGTCTCAATACTCCACAGGAGTATTGATGGTAATGTGTACAATCCATTTATCAATCTGCCATACTCCAATTACTGATCTACAGTACCTATTGATTCCTGCTGCTTCAACAAATATATTGCCAAAACTGGTACCTTAGAAGCAATTGGTTTTTTCTAGATTCACAATAATCCTTTGACTCAATCCAGTTGTCCCAAACAGCATATATCTATGGGCCCAAATGGATTAACATCAACAGGCTCATTGGTTCAATGGATCTAGTTGGGACTAAAAATTAGATTTAGCACACCAGGTACTTTTAAAGCATATGCAAGACTTTTTACATGATCATGCAATGTCATATTCAGAGTTTAATCATTAATCTAATTTATCAGTGTTGGTCATTATGACCTTAGATTTCTGTCCCTTGGTCTTCCGTTGGCAAAGCTACAATCTCCTTGCAGTGAATGTAATGGGAACAGGTGGTGTGGGATGGGATCTCAACATACAGGCTTTTGAGGTTCTTGCAAGGGAAGCCCAAGACAGTTTGCTGCCTAGGCTGAAGGAAAAATGCCCCTCTGCCCCACAACACAGACATTGACCAACATGATAGTTGAACTGTACTTTAACTCAGCAATAAGTCTTTAGTACTATATTGCCAATATGACTAGATCTTTCACTTCATCTGAGGACAATAAAGTAGTAATAAAGGGGATGTAGACACATTGCCTAGTATCCAAAATTATGTCCTCCACTTCACAGCTGTTTCCTTTGCATCTCCTGTGTAATTTCACCCTGTCTAATGGTAAGACCTGACCTGGGATCTAGTGCAAGTAAATATGGGAGGAGATCAGATGATGTACTTTTCTTAAGCGTCTCAGAGATAAACAATGGGAAAAACGATAGTTTTTTTCTGTGAAGAGAATGAAAGGTGATTAATACAGCCTTCAATGTCTGGCCAGGCACAAGCAGATGTAGTCAGCTTGGATTGAGTCCTCAAACTCAAGCAATGTCTATGCCAAATGTTTTGCCTTACAAGTCAACTTCCATGCTGTGTGGCAGGCTGAAGGGGTGTCAAAAGCCATCAAGTGATCCTTTTGGACACATAACCAGGTTAGCTGCACAATGATTTCTCAACCCAAACGAAAATATTTGGACAGCAATATTCTATGGTGACATTGAAAGAAATGCAGGAGGAGGGATTCCAAAGTCACAGCTCAAGAACAAAGAAAGCTCTCTTCTGCATAACACACTTTCCCCAATCAAGACTTCATTTGATGACCCCAATACACAAGATGTATATTTTCAGAAGAGGTGTTCCTTTAGATATTTTGCATGACTAAAGCGATCGTCATTTATATCACATATATAATACCTGTAATCTATTTTTTTCTTAGCAAATAGTATCTGTTGCTCCCATTCAATGGGAATCTATTCAAGATCATCTCTTGTTATTTATGGGATGTTAGAGGTCCAACAACTAGAGAAATATGCAAAATGGTGGCTCAGAGGGCTGCCTCCCATGACACATATACTGGAAAGATCTGTCTTCCTGCAGATAGGAGTTCCAACAATCTGATTTAAGAGTTGGAGTGGAGTTACTGAATCAGGAATGCTGGCTGTTCTACAGCCAGTCCCCCAGTGATTTACCTGTAGATCCTGATCTACCCTATGTCTAACCCTGTTCTAACAGATTGCCATGTTTGCCTATATCAGTGGTCAGTTCTGCCCATTCCAAATGTTCTGCCAAGGAACTGACCTCTAGTTGTTGACTGACCTCACAAACAGCTGGTTGTGGCCCAGGGAAGGACGCATATATAAAAAAAGATTACCAAAAAGAACCACCTTCATTTTCACTTCCAATCAACTGAAGCCATGAAGACTTTCTTCTTAGCTTTCTTCTTAACAGCTTTGATTTATGTTCCAGCTCTAGCAGGTCTAACAAGGTAATGAACTACTTCAAGTATTTTTCAGTATTCTTAGCAGTACTGCTTTTCTGCATGGAGGAATCTTGTCAGTTACCTAAATGTGTTTACAGAAATCCTTGGCTTCTTAGTAGTTGCTCCCAGCCTTTGGAATGTTGGTTCCCTCCTTCTTGTCCTTCTTTTTCAGGCATACTTTTAAGAGGCAAGTTTTATGTGTGTGTGTGTGTGTGTTTAGGAATGCTGCGACTATTGAATTTAGAAATTTTTTTAAAATTACTAAAATGTTTTAAAAAAAATTTTTAATGTTGGTTTTTAATATTGTTACATCGTTATATATAGCTTTGTCTTTCATGGTTGCTTCAGCGTGGCTGAAAAAGGAACATCTTAAAGAAAGAAAGAAAAGAAACGAAGAAAGTTTTGGTTATTGGCAGTAGTGAGAAACCATGGTCAAAGTCCTCCAGTAATGTTACTCACAAAAGCCCCACTGAAAGGAAGGGGATCTGTAAGTTCCATTGAGGAAGCTGTGTGACACCCTCTTTGCCCATCTAATGCAGCATCGTCCACGGTGGCAGTGCCTCCCCAGAGTCTGTAAGCAAAGGGCTGTCCCGTCATTTGTTACCTGATCAGTTTAACTCGAAATGCCAGGGATTGAGTCTTGGTCTGTTTGTAAGCAAAGTGTTGTTCTGCCCACCAAACATCTGCTCTATTTGCTTTTAACATTCAAGCCACTGCTCCCCCCCCATTTATCCCCACAACTTAAAGAAAAAGGAAATTCCACCTAAAAATCTCAACTCGATCCACAAAAAAGGCTGTAATCAATCTGTAAAATAAGACTAAAAATAATTTCAAAAATCAAACAAAAGGGAAGATACTTGGCTGCAGAGTCAGAGGACAAGAGTTAGATTCCTCCCGTGTGCTTTGAACGAGACAAGCCAGAGTGTGTAGCCTCCCCAAATATTTCTTCCCTTCCACGAGACAGTGGGAAATCCCACATGTAATTCCTGGTAGGTTTAGAGACCAGAAATAGCCTCTGTGACTGGGGTTCCTTGGGAAATGTCCACGGGCTGGCTTAGGGCTGCAGGATGGCAGTGCCCCTCCTCTGCTCTCATCTATCAATTTGTAAAGCAGGAAGAATAATCCCAGCCTGGCATTTGATACATCACTGTATGCCATACCAGGTGTTGTTTACTATTTCTAGTGTGGCATTTGTTTGATTCTTTTCAAATATTTGTATATTTACTGTTTTTAACTTTTAAATATTGACTTTTAATGATGTAAGCCATCTCTTTTTAAGGAGAAAGGTGGGGTAAAAGTATTTTAAACAAATAAATGTGTAATAAATAAATATTATTTACCTAGGATCCGTCTAGTTCGATTTGATAGTATCAACAGAATTCTTCGGAAAAAAGGAGGATTGGAACAGTTTCAGAAAGATCATCAGCCTGAAAGTTTTGTTCAAAACTACTTTAATTGCTTCCCAGCAGATACTTTTTTGGCTGCAGGACCTACAAGAGAAAAACTCTGTGATTACATGCATGTAAGTATGTTCTGAGAAGTGAAATAAAAAAAGAATACATGGATATTATTCCCTCCCAATACATACTCAATTCCCCCCAATGTAAAACTGCAGAATAGTACTGATGAAAGTCGATCTTTTGATATACTTTTTGCCATGTTGCACTGAAAAGATTATTAATTCAACCGCAGGATTAAGTAAGATTTAAAACAAGCAATTCAGATCAGCAACAGCAGACTTTTGAACTCTTTGATTATGTTCACTAAATTATAGTCCAGATTTAATGTAAATGAGACCATGATTTATTTGCATTATCTGCAGAATGCAGGAAAGTTGGTGCTTTTCACTCAGTGTTGCCAACGCCCAATATTTGGATTCTCTATATGAGTCAATATTAATCAGGGTTGTGGTCTAGGAATCTGTGACAAAAAGGGGAAAACGACATGTAGTCCTTGTACACAATCAGAAGACAAGGGTGGTCTTTTACTAGGCCACTAAAAATATCACAAGCTGAAGCTAGCATTTGACTCCTACAGAAGTTCTCATCAGACTGGCCATTACTTAGAAATGTATGGTTGATATATGGTATTGTCCAACGGTCTTCTCAACTAAATTTGTTCCCATTTCATGAGGAGACACTTGGGCCTAAGAAAAGCCTCAGAAAGGATTGTGTGAGGAAAAGTAATAATGAAAAACATTAAAGAAATTCCATATGGTGACATGTAAGGAGGTGGGACATCCTTATCAAATGGATATGGAGAAATAAGACAAAGAGAGGAAAAACAGTTTTCTTTAAACAGGCATGTAAGTGCAAACATACACACAGACAATACTTATCTGTAGAAACATAAAGATATCTATATAAATGCAAGTACTGTAGAAATATATATCTAAATTAAATAGATAATAAGAACTGAATATAACTGTATGATTTCCATATATATAATATCAATATCTCTGTGTATATACTCGGGCCCTTTTTAAGGAGAAAGATGGGGTAAAAATACTTTAAATAAATAAATAATAAGTAAATATACTTCCAGAGACATGTTTTGCCATCTGTTGCAGCCAAGACATCTGAGCATTCTGGAACCTTAAAACAGCAACATATTCGTTATGCCGTTTGCTTTTGTGGATTGACTGTGTTTCACGAAAGCTAATTCCAGACTTTTCTGACTCAGTACCTTCAAAATCTATTGAACCAGAACTCCCATTATCCCTAATTAGCATGGCAATCAGGGAAGGTTGGCCTTTGCCTTATTAACCCTATCAGTGAGGTATTCCAGGAATCATGGTTGCTTTGTCTGCATTAGCTTAAAAAGCATTATGTTCTCCTCTACTCTCATTGTTTTCATCCACCTCTGTAACTTGCTGTGGTCAAGCCATGCAATTTTAGATCTGCAGACGACTCTCTTGCTTGGCATGGGAATGACAGATCATGGCTCCTGGAGCTGGACTGAACTGAGAATTTTTGGTTTGGGCTTTGTGGAGTAAAGAAAATAGGCAGAACATGAACGACCCTGTCAAAAGCATGAATTTATCAACAACACGTGAAGAGTTTAAAAACTCTTGCTGCACCAGATCATGTCACACATGCCAGAAACGGCTTGTTCTAAAAATAGAAAGTGAGACACGGCTATTTTATTCCATAGACGGACACAGAGGTGGAAGACTGATAAACCTCTAGAGTCAAAGCCCAGTTCTGTGATGCAATAAATTCCTTTGACACTGGGAGAATTCCAGAAATTCACAAAGACATAAGAACTAGGCAAAATTCAGCCACACCAACATCCATCAACTTCAGTGTTATTCAAGATGGCTTACTAATCAATTCTTTAATAAAACATACAGTATTTATACATAAACATAGATAGACCTTTATGTAGGGTACAGGCCAGGGTTAATTATAACCCATTGTTGGAAGGCAGTATTCCTTAACAGCAAATAACATGATTAACACAGCAGGAACTTCTCTCACCTCCCATATTTTGCAAATTACTTTTCTTTACTCTTTATGATTGGTCTTCAGTAGCTCAGTCCAGCTTTGTTTGCCGATCTGATGTTTCAGAAGGTCGGCCTAAATCACAAGTCTGGAACACTAACATGTTTCAGCTCTAAACAATGGGTTCTCAGTGAAGTGTAGTCTCTGAGTTCCATTGTAGTAAGGAAAAATTGATTATGGCCTTAATTAAAAATAATAATAATAAACTTCCTCTTATTATGCTACAGATAAAAATGGTTCTGGCAGAAGCCTACAAAGCTGATTGAACCAAAGTCTCCCTTAGTAGATCACTCCTCATTTGTTAGTTTACCTCAACTGGCACTTAGTTGTTTTGTTACACTCACTCAGACATTCCAGTATGAATAAGAATAAAACATTTCATTTTACTCACAGTTCCTCTATAAAAACAAATGTCATATTTTGTGGAAATGTTAATTTGTTACATTACTGAGCATAACTGCTTAATTTACCTTATTATTAACTGACTGGTTACATTGCTGACAGAACAATTCCCTCTAACTGCTGGGTAGCTCTGTGGTTTAAGTCTGGCTGCAGAGCTAGAGGTTGGGAGTTCGATTCTTCACCAGGCCTCCTTGACCGGGGCTGGACTACTTGATCCAGAGGATCCCTTCGAGCTCTGCCATTTGAATATTTATTTATTTATTTATTTATTGCTAAGGTTCTCTCCAAGGTGCACACTGGTGCATGCACGACTCTACTCCCCTCCACACAGCCTCCATCTTCCTCTGCACACCTTATGCATAACTAGAAAACAGTAAGAGTTCTGAACTCAGTGTGGGTACCGGTAGAACATGAAGGAGAAGGTGGTAGGACAGAGGATCACCCATCCTTTTGGGGCTGGATTGCACTCCCTCCCACCCTCTCTGTGAGTTGTAGAAGGAGAGAAAGCTCCTTTCAATGAGGTGTTAGGAGAAAGGAGGGCTCAGGGAGGGGTGAGGCCATATGGGAAATTTCTCAGTAGGTCAGGTGAGAGACTCTGGGAGGTTGGAAAAATTCCTCTCCCTTGGTTTAGGGGGCAGAGCAGAGTTGTTTCACAGTTGCACTGGGTGACGCCTCAGAACCGAATGGGCATTTCAAGATGAACGTTGGGTGGAGACTGAAGGTGGAACTGAGAGACGAATTGTCCCTTCCTTCCTATCCAGGCTCAGTATTATGGGAAGGTGAGTGTTGGCACTCCGCCTCAGAAATTCACGGTGGTGTTCGACACTGGCTCTGCGGATTTTTGGGTTCCGTCAGCTTACTGCTACAGTGATGCCTGTGGTAAGAAGTCATTAATGTCATTTAAGTATTTAGGCAGCAACAATTTCAACACTTTCAACGTTTGCACCAGAGATCCTGCAGCCAGAAGCTGGTGGCTGCTCCCTCCCTTCCCCGCAAGGCCTTGGAATGAAGAATGAACTGGACAAAGAGAAAGGTAAAGCTTGATTGGATGTCGATGCTGAATCAGGATGCACTCACCACAGAATAATATTCAGGAAGGGCCATAAGGAGTGGTGCAAAACACTGGGCCCCCAGTCCCCAGAGTGCTTTTCATTCCTCTTCTAGTTTTCAACCTTTGCCATGCTCTCTGCACATCACCTATGAGAGGCACTGCCAAATTCAGCACCTGATTTGTCCCAGTCCAGGGATCTCTTATAGGCTCTGGCAGGGCTGCAGCTCAGTAATCTAGACCCTTGACTTAATGTTCTTGGGAGGTTATCCTTTGTACAAACATGCATTGTGATGCACATGGCTAACATTTATCTGCCTGCCCTTGCCCAGATAACATTCTGTGGCTTCTCTGTTCCTCTCCAGAGTCAGAGTGCAATTAGACTATGAATAAGATTTATGTCTGATTGCACTAAAAAGAGTCACTTTGCCCTAAAAATGTTGAGCAACTTTAAGTAATCATAATAGTAACAGTACATAGGACTGCCATCAGTCCTATATACTGATGGCTAAAAAGAGTCACTTTGCCCTAAAAATGTCCTTTCCATCCATCCAGGAATTGCTTGAGCCTGGCCACCCCAAAGGGTGGTCCTGTCAATGGACCAGAACAGGTTCATTTTGGGTAGGGATGAGGGCCAGGCTAGATCACCTGTTGCCTTGCTTGTCTTGGGATCACTGGGAAACAGTTTGTTTCGAACCGTGCCACGGGCAGTCCAAAATACAAATTATTTCCCTTTCTGATTACACCCCACACTCCTGCAGGTAATATGGATCAAGAAACTCTCTTCACTAGCTGTGCTGGCTAGAGTGTCTGAGACTAGTCCAGAAACATCTGAACTACCAAAATTACGCGTTGCATTTAAAGCACTAATTAGTTTTCCTGGGGAGGTGTGTGGTGTCTTTCTGGGGAGAGGAAGATGAACTCACAGATGTAGCTTAAATACCCAGGTTAATACACAGAAAAAATATTTAGTGTTACTTTTAAAGTATTATTCTCAAAATATTAAGTGAATCCATGTTTTTTCCTCCTGTTTAATGGTCAAAGTAATACGTTTAATATTGGATGCTAACAGGGTATCTTAGTCTAAGCTGTGCATATGGTAGACTAAAACAGCAAAACAACACACACACACCTGCCAAAATAAAACAACTCCAAGGACATCCAGTCTCACATTTTAAATTAATATGAAATCATAGTCATACCTACCATGGGAGCTCACCACCGTTTTCTGCCACTCTAAATCTTTACAATCAACCAATAAATCATTATACAGCAGAATTAGCACAATTTTCATAGAGAAAAGGATAATATGTTTCAAAAGTAAAAACAATAAAAATAACAGCTTGGAAAAGTTACTTTTTTGGACTGCAACTCCTAGAGTCCATAATCAGCATGGGCATAACTGTGCATTCCCACTCAGCTATGCTGTGCCTGCCTTTCTTCCTTTCTTCCTTTCTTCCTTTCTTCCTTTCTTCCTTTCTTCCTTCCTTCCTTCCTTCCTTCCTTCCTTCCTTCCTTCCTTCCTTCCTTCCTTCCTTTCAAGAAGAAATGAAATGCTACAGGCAAGGACTGAAAGCCATGTTGAGCTGCAGCCTGCTCCTGGGTGCTGACATTGAGCATCGAGTTTGCTGCTGACCCCAATCACTTGTCTCTTTCTGGTTGCTTGATAGTTCCTTCATTGTGTGGCCTTGGACTTAAGCTCTTGAGTTGCAGCCCTGGCTGCACTGTAGAACACTGGGACACCAGTTTACACATGGAGCTTCTTCTGCACTGGATTGTCTATTTTTTGCATTAAAGAATGCAGCTCTGCAAGAAGATAGGATGTATTTTCTGGAGCTGTCTTATAGATCTAACTGAAATGGGGGCCCACACTAGCAAGCCCCCCTGTTAGTATAATTTACTCCAAGATGATAAGCTGGGGTTGTTTTTTTTGTAATAAAACATTTTCTATTTCTCGTCTGACAGGGCTGAAGTTCCTGTGTAATCACTGTCATCATCAGGAAGACATTGGGGGGGGTGACAAAATAGGAGGGGGAAGTATTTAATTACAAAAAAGGAATCATTGTAGCTACCATGACTTTACCAGTGGTAGCAATATTTTCTCCTCCCACTCTGTGGCTCTCAATGGCTCCCATATGATGAAAGTAATTGTACAGCAGCCTGAGGATGTTTGAAGGAGAAATTTTTAAAAGGTGCTGCTGCTGATGTTATTAGCTTTACATGGTGTGATATATTCAACAATGAATGAATGAATGAATGAATGAATGAATGAATGAATGAATGAATGAATGAATGAATGAATGAATGAATGAATAAACAAACAAATGTTCAGCATTTGAACATTTCTCTGGAATATATATGCAGAAAATGGAAAAAAAAATAACTTCTTTTGTTTGAAATGCCATGTGGCTTGGAGGGATAATCCCATGCAGGGTAACTTTTCTGTTGAGCAACTTTAAGTAATCATAATAGTAACAGTACATAGGACTGCCATTAGTACTATACAGTACATCAGTACATAGGAGTGATGTGTTGAGAAGTTATACATAGGTCTGGTATGGCATGTCGGGAATTTAGTTGTTCTGTTTTGTTCAACACAGTTGAAAGATGCAAAGTGTGAGTTGAAAGTGAGTTGTCTGCCTTTGCTAATCTGGGTCTGACCATCCAAAAGATTAGATCTATGGAGTTTAGTTTATAGCTGAGGTACCCATATTCAACAGAGCCTGGCTTTCAATATAAAGTCACATCTGCATTACTTTGAGCAGGATGCTGTGAAATGAAAATCTAAAAAACCAATGAACTGAACTATTCCTATGAACATCTCTTAGAAGTAGATCTTGTTATAAGCTAAGTGGGTTAATCTTTGAACTTTTAATGGTGTTTCGTACCCAACAGGTACAAAATACCATTAATGGTGGCTTAAGTAATTTAGGTTCTTATTAGTTTTAACATCTGCCTACAGCTTTAATAGTTTTAACTTATCTATTTGATCTGGGCTGTAACTGGCAGTGATGGAATAGAAAAAAAATCTAAGCCATGTCTGAAAGAAGGAAAAGGGGAATTCATGGCAGCAACAGCAGAAGAGACAGGCGGTGTGATGGGCTGTTTTGTTTTGAATTCTGTTTTGTTTTGCTTTGGATTCTCTGACCGCAGTGTGCAACTCGCACTGCTACATGAGGAAAGCCAGAAAAAGAGGTAGATGGACACTGAGTATGAGGTGAGTGTGTGGAGGAGAGACTCTGACATTGCGTTTACAGAGGTGAAGGGAGGGAGGGAAGAAATCAGAGGATAGCAAAGAGCTTCAGTCAGAAAAATGAAGAGATGGAGATTTGAAGAAGTTACCATTTGAAGAAGCTTTTATAAGCAGAACCATATCAATGCAAAGGATGCCGGTCTCTCTCGCCCTCGTTCCCTCTCCCTTTTTCCATGATGGCACTGCGTTTCCACTTTTAACTGTGCTTCTTAATTCTAAGTGGAGAAGGAGACAGAGGTTTTGGTAGTGTAGAAAAACATTTGTGCATGCTCAGGGGCACTCAAAATATTTCTGTTTAAGAATTTTTCACCCTTGATCATTTGACTTATCTTTATTTATAGTCACTTATTGCAGAACTGTCATGCTGCTCTGTATCAATATTTTGTAACTGGGATACAGACTTCATTCTTTATTAACTTTTCTCAGTCCAGACAAACAGTCCATGGTGACTGAAGAGTGAATGATCAACATAGGTTTTGTCCAGAAGAAGGGTGAAGGAAGGGAGATACACATCAGCAGTATAGCTTAATGCAATAGGGTGTTAGAGGCATTCTTTAGGCAAGTGTTTTTTATCCTTGCACTTGTCAGATGTAATGAAATAGAAATTGCATAATCCTAAAATAGCAATTGAACTGCAAACAGATGTGGGAAATGTGGGTTCGGTCAGTGAGTTGAACCCATTTAAAAAAAGACAGTTTGGAAGAGGACTCAATAAAATGCTACTCAAGGAACAGTGTTGATTATAGTAACACACACCGTTTTATGCTAGGGTTGCCTTTAAAACTAACTAAAACTAAAAATCAATGTCCTCTTCCGACCATAAAGACAGTCACATAAACATTTTCTTGTTCCGGCAAACTTCCTGTTGTGTAACTGATCACACAGCTGAATTTGTGGCCAGTCTCACAAGCAGTGCGAGGCCAGGAACTGGAGGGGGAGGAATCCTTTTGCAGTCACCCTTCTATAATCACATAATGCAATAGGACACTGACTGTAATGTTTAATTTAATTGTTATGTTAAGGAAGAAAAAACATTACCTACTGAGATTAATCAAACCTGAGTTAGATGTTTAGGTCCTTTAAATAAAATCCAGTGAATTAAGCCTTTTGTATTAACCTTCCAAACTCTGTCCAGAGGTTTTCAGAAATTTTAAAAAGTACTTAGTGACTGAGAGCACAACTGTACCATTGTCAAAAGCATACACTAAAATATAGGTAAACTTTTATGTATGTTAATATGAACTCTTCCCTAGGGTTATCGTAAGTCTGAAGGTATTTGGTGGCACATAAGAAACACAAAGGTGACTGGGCTGCTTTCTGTATTTAGAATGAATGGGAAAGATCCTTGGATGCTTCTCTCCACAAGAAAATCACTTTTCAGGCATTACATTTTGTAAATATATATACGTAGAGCTGGGGAGGACTTCTCCGTCCTGGCTCTCTGACCTTCCTATTTGGACAAGGAAGTCCTGTAATGAAGCTGTAACCGTGCAGAAATGAATTTGGCTTCAAAGCTCCACACAGTGGTTAGCACTGTCATAAATGCAAGGTCTGAATATGGCTCCCTGGAACCGCTAGAAATCAAGTGCTGAATGTTTGTTCTTCTCAAGGACAGCTAAAGATACATTGCTGCCACCAGAGGTGAGGAATAAAATGCACCCCAACTCCACTTAGACAAGCTGGCCAGGCTGGCCCTTCAACACTAGAAACAAAGCAATGTTTTCCACTGCCCCTCATGGCAACAGACTGGCTTATGGAGTGCAAGGCAGGCCACATGGCACAAACAGCTGTTCTTCCACATCTCCCCCCTGAGTTGATCGCTGACTTCCACCTAAGGATAGGGCCACAGCGCTTTAGCAGTGCAGTGAATAGTTTGGGTTTTAACCTCTTCCTTTTCATTTTTGTGGGTAGCAATAAAGAAGTTAGACCTAACTTTCATGACAGAATAAATAAAAAGTTTTGTTTTCACAGAGAGTCATAAAAAATTCAAGTCCTTTTTATCACAATCCTATGCACATGGAGGGAAGCAATTTTCCTTACATTATGGTACTGGAAGTCTCAGGGGAATTGCCGCCAAAGACACAGTGCAGGTGAGAGTAACTGTTGTTGCCTTCAAGTGTTCTAAAAACAGGGGTAGCTGTGTGGTCCATCAGTGAAAACAAAGTGCACAGACTAGTAAAATGTTACAAAAATGGTGTGATGATGCCATGACCTTTCAAGATCTCCAGAACTTTTCCTCAGACATGATAGGGGGTGTGTGTGACCTGGCCTGGTGTTTCGGTTACAGTACATCTCTCTGTAGCTGTGGCATGTTGAGTGCAGACTTAACCAAAAGACAAGAGGTTGAGGACAAATGTTTCTGTTTCATAGCTCATTAGGGTGCACAGTGAAAAGACTCTGTAGCCCTTTAACCAGCGCACCAGCTGAGCACCTGCTCATTGTTTTCAGTATCCAGTGTTTCATTGGTTTTTTTAAAAAAAAAATTGTGTGTGAAATTGTTGGAACTGTTACAAGTACAACATTTGCTGGATGCCGTAGTCACTGAAGACATTCAGTCTGACAACATGTTGGGGAACTTTAGAATTTATTTACAGAGATGCATTACCTTTTGTCACCTTTTGTACATGGCATGTGGGCCACATGGCTGAGGGGCACCAAGGGGGACCTGCAGGGGGCTGCCACTGCTAGTGTAAGTGTGCCACCAAAATTTAGAAAGAGAGCAAGAAGAATTCTTTTCATCCTACCCTCCTGGAAATGAAGGAGACCCTGTCATACATACTTGGGGGTCTATTACAAGGTAGGCAAATGCTCTTGTACCCTCCTGTACCACAGAAAGGAGTTGCCGTGGCTTCTACCAAATGGTAGTAGCCATTGTGACTATGGTGGGAATCTTGGCAGTTGTCAATGGAGGTAGAATGGTTTTATTTGTCCCCCTGCCACATTTTGAAGTTGCCCAATCCTATGCTGGGAAAATAAAAGAGCCAGAAACAAGAGTTTTACAAGAGACAGCTGGATTTAGTAAAGATGACCAGGATTACTCTGTGCTTCTGAACTGTACACCCTTTTCATCTTATTTCTCTTTCATAAATCAATTAACAGATAAGCAACATAACGATTGAAGGGCAAGACTTTGGAGAATCGATCTTTGAGCCTGGTAGGACCTTTGCTGAAGCGCACTTTGATGGGGTGCTGGGCTTGGCTTATCCATCCTTGTCCGTGACAAACACACTTCCAGTATTTGACAATATAATAAATCAAGGGTTGGTGGAAAACCCCATGTTTTCCTTCTTCTTGAACAGGTCAGTATTTCAGAGTTAAAAGTAGGACCATGAGCTTGTGCCATGGGTTTTGGGGAAATACTCATGTATCACAACTCATTCTTCCTGTTTTCTGTGGGAAAGTTGTGACTGAAAACTTCTTCCTGTCATACTCAGTCCCTCTCTCATGTAACTTTGTATGGGGTTCTTCTCCTTCGACAATTAGAATACTGTATTGTACTCTGCATACCATTCTTGGGTGCCAGAGACATCCTGCTCCCCTAGCTGGAATTAACTCTCAAGTTTAGAGCCGTAACCTGTACAGAATTTTTTGCTGGTCTTTGAAAATGTTGTAATACACAAAAGAGATTACTTTTTAGCACAGATGTCTCATCCAGCTGTAGGCTGATGCATGGTTGATGTTCAGTCAACATTATCCTTATCCTCCTAACTATTCTCTAATCAAGACTAGGAAACTCCAAAATCCAAAACCAACCCCGGTATCACAGAAAGCAGAACTGGTTTCATGTATTCACAGTAATTCCTATGCCAGAATATAACTGTACCTGTTGTTGCTCATAAATCAATGTATTTCTTTTTTTTCTTTCTAGAGGAAATGACTTCGAGAATGGGGGTGAATTGATACTTGGAGGTATAGACCATTCCCTCTACAAAGGATCCATTCACTGGGTTAATGTCACTAAGCAACACTATTGGCAAATTCACATGGATAAGTAAGTGTGTTTAAACTGAAGCTTCAGTGTAGAAAGGTAGAAGTAGGAACATTGCCTGATGCCTGCTGGAATAAATGAGCTATGACTGACACAGAAATAATATATCTAAACATGAGATGGATGATCAAACTGAATTTGGTCCCTGTCATGTGCTTGGACTGTATGGTGTAGCTGGGTTTTTGAAAAAAATGCGCACTTTGTCTCTGTGAGGAAAAGAAAGAGATAATTGAGTATTGTTGTTGTTTAGTCATTTAGTCATGTCTGACTCTTCGTGACCCCATGGACCAGAGCATGCCAGGCTCTCCTGTCTTCTACTGTCTCCCGGAGTTTGGTCAAATTCATATTGGTTGCTTCAATGACACTGTTCAACCATCTCATCCTCTGAGTATAGTTACATGTTAAAAAAAAACCCATGGTATCTGAATAGGGTTAAGCAGGTTTGGAACTGATTTAGAATTCTTTCCTTCTTCTTATTCTTGCAGTGTGAAAATCCAAGGGCAGATAGTAGCTTGTGATTCCGGCTGTGAAGCCATTGTAGACTCTGGTACATCTCTCATTGTTGGCCCTAATTTGGAAATAAAATCACTACAAGAAAATATTGGAGCCACCCCAATTTCATCTGGTGAGGTAAATGTAACTGTGACACACACACACACCCCCCCAAGAGGGGGTTAAAAAAGAGACTTGTTGCTAGGATGGTGTGCAATTTATTTATTATCTAGTTATTAAACTGACAAGCCACCTGTCTGACAAATTAAGTTAGTTAAGGCTGCTTTCAGCAGTAATATTCAAATTTTTTAAAAATTAAATGTAACATAAAATTGATAAAAGCACAATTAAAAATAGACGAGTTAAAAAGGAAACACGGCCCCCATCCGTTGAAACCCAGCTCACTGGCAAAGGCTTCTCTGAATGAAAAGTGCTTTCCCTGTCTGTAGAGGGACAAGAAGAGTGGCCAGGCAAGAAAGGAGCCTGAGAAAGGAGCCATCACTAAGAAGGCTCTCTCCCCTGCTGCTAAATATGCCTGTAATTTGGCCAAGACTGATAAAAAGACCTTCTCTGAAGATCTTAAAACTTGGGCAGGCTTGTAAGAGGAAATATGGCTGTTCAAATAGCTGGATCTGGAGTTTTTACACAGAGTGAATAAATGAGGTCATGTATTGTACATGAATCTTGCATTTATGTATTTAAAAACTCTGCTGGTTGAAGTACTTGCTCTAAAGCTCTATTATTGATTTTTTTAAAAAAATTCCTCAATTAGTTTTTGCAAAGAACATCTCAATATTTTAATTTCCTTTCATGTAATAAGGTGCTGTTTTGTGCTCAAATAAACACATTTTCTTTTGAGCTCATATGATAGGAGAGCAGCAGGGGATAGAAAGCATCTCTTGTGCCTTTTGTCACGTGTTTTGAAGTTGTACTAATAATCCTCCTCACAGTGCTCTCAGTGTTCAAGTTCCATGGCAGTATTTTAAGGTTATTATTAACAACTGGAAAGTCATGCATTTTAAGCAAGTTTCAGAACTGGAACTTTGATCTGTAATGACTTGCGAAGTGTTTTGCAGGGGGGAAAAATAATCCTGCATTTGGAAAATGTTACTCCTCTGATGAAACAAACTGAACTTATTTTTCATCCGAATTCACGGGTGAGCCATCATCTAATTATCCCTATTGATTGGCTAAAGCTGAAAAGAAATTTCTAGTCCTGCTATCCCTGAAATACAGTTGATTGGCTTGTTTTATGCCTGGTTTGTCAATTAAGTCTTTTGATATTTAAGGCCAGCTCCTGTTGCTCAGAAAAGATAGGCCAGCCACAGCCTTCCCTGCCACTTCCAACTGCCTACCAGATTAGTACCACAGTCATAGTCTGTCTAGCGGTGCCACCTAGGGGCCCAGGGAAAGCCAAGACTGGCCACTCATAGCAAAAGGTTGCCTTATCATCATACTGTGTTTCCCTGAAAATAAGACAGAGTCTTATATTATTTTTTGATCCAAAAACGCATTAAGGCTTATTTTCAGGGGATTTTTTTCATGTACAACAATCTACATTTATTCAAATACAGTCACGTCATCTTCTGGTTGCTGCACAATGGTGGAGTGTGGGGTTTCACTTAAGTGGGGCTTATTTTGGGGGAAACAGGGTACAGGGAGCCACCTTTCCACAGTCCAGTGCTTTCCACATATGTGTTACTATATTGCCCACTAGTCACAACAAATATAATCCATGACCAAGGATGATGGCAATTGTACTCCAGAACATCTGGGGGACATTTGATTGATGACAGCAACCATAAGTCAATGTATTAGTTCCTTGGCTCAGATTCCCCCATCCCCTGCACCCCAAGGAAGATAGATTGATCAGCAGGGATTCAGCATAAGAGCTAAAATGGATCTACCATGTTAAGCGACAATATATCTCTGATTACCAGATGCTGGAAGACAAAAAGGACTTCCACTACTTTAATGTTCTGTTTAGAAGGTTGCCAGATGCCCAAAGCTTATATGTCACATATGAATGGAAATACAATCTGCAGATCAAGGAGTAAATAAATGTGTATTATAGTTTTTTGTAGATTGTAAAAGACTGTCCAGTTTGCCCTCGATAACCCTTACTATTGGGGGGAAGGAGTTTACTCTATCTGCAGAGCAGTACATAATCAAGGTATGTATCTGGCTTCTTCTATGTGCTCTCTCCTGAACAACACAAGAGAGTCTATTGTTGTGCTAAATCTCTGCAGTTATTTTTGTAGTACCAGTTTCCTGCTGCTTGGGGGTATATGCAAAAAATATGGCATGGCCCAACTGCCTGGATAGGACTGCCTTGTCCTAGTGCACAGCCCTGTTAGTTTCTCTGCCAAGAAGCACTGTGTAGCAACACCTACTCTCTGGCCTCCCTTTAAGCACACGGTGAAGAAAAGCTAATTAATAAGTCAGAACAGAGTTGGAGACAGGGAGGGATGTCTCAATGCCAGCATATTAACTGTTGGCCCTAAGTTGAGTGTGGATGCAAACCAGAAGGGATACAGTAGAAGTAAGGAGGTATAGTAGCTCAGTGGCAGAGCTTTGCTTGCAAAAGATCCCAGGCTATAATGCCCAACATAATCTCAAGTTAGGATATGGTCTGTGTCAGTTGCCAGCCCATGTCAGCATTACTGGGCTAGATGGACCAATAGAAGGCAATTTCCCATGTTCCTGGGCATGGTTACAGCTGGACAGGCCGCAAGGGTCCCATATGGCTTATAGAATCAGCAGCCTACTAAAGCTGCCAGATCAATGGACTCTCTTAGGCTAGATCTCTCAATCCAGAAGGTCTTGTTTCTCTGGCCTTGCAAGGAACCAGGCTACTCATGATGTAGGACATTAAAGCTATGACAGGCTGCACAGAGAATTACAATAGGGTGATAGGTATACTGGTAACAAGCTTTTCAAGTGACAGAGTTGTTGAAAATACCACTCTTACTTTCAAACCTCGTATCACCAATAAGCTTGTCATCCTCTTTTCCCCATCCCAGTTAGTTATCACTCTCCTAGTATGTCCTCTGTGTGTATAAACCTGTTGCTTCAATATACGTATTATGTTCCATGTGTCTGAGGAAGTGGATTGTAATATACAGAAGTTCACTGGGAGATAAATCTGTTGCCACAATGCTTCTATTTTTGTTTTCTTTTGGGTCCACATACGGAAAGAGATTAACACAGAGACTTCTTTGAAAACTTGCAGTTGCATGCCGATGTACGGATGCTTCTGAGTGAGAGCACCTCTATCCATATTCTTCCCTGTGTAATTTAACTGCACACATGAGCTGGGGAAATAATAGGGTTTGTGAAAATGAGATCTTGTACTATACTTCCCAGGTGCTGACTGGCAGGTTCAAGGAGTTATAATTTTTAAGTTCACTGTTCCAAGCTTTGGGGAAGAAACCTAGGCCTGGTTATCATAGCAAAAAGAGTATGTTCTCCCTCTGACTACCCCCCAGCCTTTGTGAACAGTCTGGTACCCTTTAGTCAAAAGATGGGTTGGGGAGAAACAAATTGAAAGGAGCTTGTGTGTGTTTTTCCTCCTATTCAGTTTAGTACTAGTGGAAAAGCATCACTAAAACATAAATGTGTTGTTTTTTTCTCCCCATGACAGGAAACCAGTGGAAAAGATGATTTGTGCATCAGTGGTTTTCAGTCTTTAAAAAACCTGGATTTTGGCAGCGGCAACACATCACTGTGGATTCTAGGAGATGTATTTATGTCTGCTTTCTATTCTGTCTTTGATCGTGGGCATAACAGAGTTGGATTTGCCAAAGCTGCTCATCAAACAAAGGCATTATCCAGGAAGAAAAAAATAATTCATTGATGGATCTTTACTAACATTAATAACCCTACTTTACAAGCAATGAGTAAAAATCTTTTTTGTAGGGAAGGAAAATGGCAAAAATGAAGTCCTCTTTCATAGCTGGATTCCCATCCGAGAGGCTTAAACATTTGTTGAGGAATGAGTTTTATTATTCAATCAGTGATCCAAACTTCGGTGCTCAATGAAATATTCATGATAATATTAAATCATATGGTCGAGGCATGATTACTAGGAAGTAAGCGTGTGTGTGAATCACAGAAGGCTTAGTTTACAATCCTATACTCCAGGGTTGGGGAATGTTTGGTCCTCCTAAGTGTTACAGAACTGCCCATCTCATTAGCAAATGGTGAGAAGAGTTGCAATCCAGCAATATCTGGAGGGTCAAACGTTCCCCATCCTGACAATACACATTGATTGAGGAAGATGTGCTGTTGACAACAGTGCAACTTAAAATGTCAACATTGATGAGGGAAACCCATTGATTGGGCTTTTGCTCTAGGAATTGATTGCTAACCGACAGGACTGCTGACTTAATTCTTCAGAGTTTGCCTAGTTCTTTGCCAGCTGCCTTGCTCACAGGCTGTCAGGAGTCAGAATTACCTTTCCTGTGGACCACGTAAGGCTTAACCTTCTTCACATGCTTGCTGCAAAACATGGTAACAAGTATTCTGCATGATGTTCGTGTTTTCCAGTGATTGTAGAGAGAAGATTATACCTTATTTTATTAATTTAACAAAAATCAGGTCAGTTTATGGTTTAATAGTACAGTATAAATAAAAGCAGGCCAGAGTATGGAACTGGGGTGGGCGGGTGCCATTTGGTCTTTCACCACAGATAGAAAAATGTTTTTGGCCAGCATTGTGTCACCTTATAGAATAGCAATTTTTATTTGGCTTAAGCTTTTGTAGACTGCAGCCCACTCCCAAAGATGCCTGAAGGAGCAGGCAGATATTTATACATATTCTCACTAGGTGTGTGACAATAGTGGGGAATGTCAAAGAATATGATGTTTCTAAGCTCTGGTTCTAATTGGTATCTGAGTAGAGTACCAAGTCTAGAAATCTGACCTATGTTAATTAATACAGAACACAAGGGAGTGATACTAGGGCAGATAATGCAGATTTTAAAACCAAGCGCCAAAGAGCTCTCTTTGCCGCCAGAGACACATCTTCTTGTGTCAACTCTAGATGAGACACTGATTCCATATCGAGATGCAGTGCTTTTAGGGGGGAAATTGTCCTGTTTATTCTAATCTTCCCTCAATATTCATTTAACAATTACCTTGCTGTCACTTTGTAATCAATAGTAATCAATAACTGGCTTTGTTTGCATGCCTGAAAAGATAGAAGAAGAATAAATATACATTTGCTTTAAAGTGTGATCTGCAGGAGAGGGGCGCTGAACAGGATGGCAGTAACACACAAAGGAGGTACTTCTGATGATCCCTATGCCCATCAACAAGTTTGTGACCTTGAAGAATGTGTTGGCCAGAGCTGTTGGGACAGGAAAGTCAGCCAGACAGGGAAGGTCTAAGTCAGTGGTGTCGAACTGTGGCCCTCCAGATGTTCTTGGACTTCAACTCCCAGAAGCCTTCACCACCACCTCTGCTGGCCAGGATTTCTGGGAGTTGAAGGCCAAGAACATCTGGAGGGCCACAGTTCGACACCACTGGTCTAAGTGATGGTATGTTGAATTCTGCAAGACTTTCACCTAGCCCTTCTGGTGCAGAGGGATTACTTATTCCAGATGGGTGTTTTTCTTATACTGGGAAAAATAGGTGATTTCTGAGGATGTCACAGATGATGGGAAGGAATGGTCAACCTCTTTCTTCCCAGATGCAATCTGCATGAATATTGAAGGAGAAGTGATTCATTTATTTATTTTAAAGGGAGAGATGCAACCCCTTCCCATCACTCCTATGCTCCATTACCACCGATGAAAGGTTTTGTTTTGTTTATTTGAAGCCTGTTTTCTGGATGTGAATGTGAGGAGGATGGGCACCACATGGGCTGGATGGAGTGGCTGGATATGCCACTGGATATGCCTTTTCCAATTGCTATGTCACAATACGGAAAAAGGGGGCAACCATTCTGCTGGTAAATGCTATTGCTGTACTCCCCCCTTTTTTTGGGGGGGGGAATTCACAATGAGACAAAAAAAAATCAGTTTCCTGAGGTGCGCTCCCTTTAGCACACACTCTCCGACCTACCTGTTATCTCATCACCATCTGTTCCACATAAACAGAGACTTGTTCAGAAAAACTAAACCGAAGTGCGTGTAAACATTATGAACTTATTTTATCAAAATAAAAGCATTCAAAGCATTTGAAGAGTAGTTCACAGTGTGTCACTTGCGTAGCTTTGTTTGTCCTGAAGGAAGCTGTGAAAAATAAATATGCTGTGTGGTAAAGGAGTCCATAGCAGCAAAATGTCTCTGGGCTGTCGGGTTTGTCAGAGATGTCCTTTGTGTTTCTCATTGCTAAACTCAGCAATATGAAGGATATCTGTTTCTTTAACATCAGCTTGTTCTAGCCAGTGGCTTACATCAAATGTCTTTGTAGCAGGAGAAACAGAAGCAGGACTGTGTTCAGTGCTCAGGTTGCTTGTTCCAGAAGATGTACTACACGATTTTGTTAAAAGGGGTGCCAAATCTTGAGTAGGAACATCTGAGTACCTCCACCTTTTACTGTCTGGAGTGCTACCAGATGTACTTTGAAGTGACTGTGGTACTTTTTCCCCTTGGATGCTTAGGGATGACTCTTGCTTCTTGGATTCCGTCTGAAGCAGAGATGTTTTTGAAGGAGATCCCAGTGAATTTACAGGACTGCTGTGTGACACACTGGGGGTCATTGTGAGCCCCTCAGAGTCAGTCTCTGACTCCCTGTGACTATGAGGATCTTCCTTTGTCAGGATTTCAGCAGTGCTGTTTTGTTGTGAACCCACTCTGGCTTTCTTGCCCTCTGTTTCAACAACAATCTTTTCAGAAGTCAGTGAGGCCATTTTAGCTATGCTGTCACCCGCAGTGCACTGGGATTCAATTTCCAGTGCATCGTTTTTGCTGGTTTCTCTAATTATTGCTAAATCTAGACTTCCATGTCCCTTCATATGCTTATCAGGCACTTCATGGTTTTTCCTTTCATTGGTAGCAAAATGCCTCCCTCTAGAGTGGATTTCTAGCAAATTGCCAATATGATGCATTTCATGAGATGGGAAAAAAACAGAATTCTCACTAGACTGTCTTTGGTAGCTCCTCCTAGGCAGGACAGGGGATTCTTCACGAACACTGAGGAATCGTTTTACTTTTCTTAGCATTGAATGCTGCCTTCTGGGTTTGTCATAATCCCGGTGCCAGTTTTCTCTGTGGAGGAACTGACTATCTGTCAGGCTGCAAGACAAAATATAAAATCTTATGGCAAGATCAAATTGAGTTCTCCTTGTGCAGTCTTATCTGTTGCCCAAGCAGCAGTATCCATATGTAATATGAGAGTTTCCATAAGTTTGGGGTGACCCTGAGATCTGCTGAACTACAAAAAACTTCAGAGAAAAAAGTTCTTATAAAGGACAGGATGGATTGACTAGGCAGAGGGGAGAGAACCAGGTGAATAAAATGGAGTATTCTGGAAGATAAAATGGATGCTAAAACAAGTGGCAACTAAGGGATTCACTTGGGTTCAATACTGGTGATCATACATGCCAAAATGGAACCAAAACAGAGCAATCCTACCTGTCCAAGAAAGAAAAAGTAGTCTTTGCCAGCGACCCAAAAAGGTACTGGTGGGCATGGATAAGTAGGCTGACTTATGATCACCAGGATGCCATGTGGTTGCTGGAAAATATAGCAAATCAGCTCACTCCCAAAGCTGTCCAAACCAAGAGATAAACTGTCTGTTTGCACCCAATGGCTATGAGTCATGTTGACTATACATAAGTATAGAAATGTAAATCTGGGTATATGTACAAACTATTTTCAGAGACAGAGAATTTCTCCATACCTGAGCTTGGGAAACTCTCTGATATTCAAAATCAAACAGGTTGTCAAAACATTTCTACAGGCTTTAGGAAAATAGATCCTTAGTGTATTCTATTAATATTTAGAGAGCTCAGAAAAGTTACTTCTTTGGGCTGCCATTCCAAAGCTGACTGTCCTCTGCCCACTCCACAACTGTTACCCACACTGATTAGAAGATTTTGGGATTTGTGGACAAGAAAATAAACTTTCACTAGCATTACTCAGTACTAGTCATTAGTGGACATGTACAGGAGAGTGCTGTTACCTTGCCACCATGATGGTGAACTTCCCTTGGGCATCTGCTCAGTCACTTTGGAATACAGGATGCTGGACCAGACAAGTCTTTGGTCTGATCCTCTGATCCAGTACAACTCTTCTTAAGTTCCTAGCAGTTTCACCCCTGCTGTATATCCTCTCCAGAATCAGCCAGAGTTCTACTGACTCTTCTAGAAACAGGTAGTTAATAGTAAACTACCCTGGGCCCTGAAAGAACCATTATAATTGGGTAGATGCATGGTAGAATACTGCACACTAACACACCTCATTTCAACTGTTGATCCAAGGAAAGATGGAATGCAGGAATCTGCTGCTGCTAGTGTGTATGGTGGGCGTGCTGAGGAATCATTCCAGTAAATATCTTTCTTCATTGGTGGTAAATTCATATGCATTTCATCCACAGCCAGAAGTGACACCTGGGAGAATGTAGTGCATTAGAGTACTTACAACACACTTACAGGCATCATAACCTTACAAGCCACAGTCCAGAGAACCGCACTGTTATATTGCTACTTCAAATATTGACTATATGACTTCATTTTTTCCTGTACTGCAACTGTGCCTGCATCTAATGAGAAATATCTTGTAAGTTTAAGAAGCAGTTCTGTGAGCTATAATCTCCTAAGGGCCTTGGGCTGCACTCTGTCAAGTCATCCTGGAATCACATAAGACACCTTTAGGGGAGAGGGACCCTAAAGGTAAAGGTAAAGGTTCCCCTTGACAATTTTTGTCCAGTCGTGTTCGACTGTAGGGGGCGGTGCTCATCCCCGTTTCCAAACCATAGAGCCAGCGTTTGTCCGAAGACAAACTTCCGTGGTCACATGGCCAGTGCGACTTAGACACGGAACGCTGTTACCTTCCCACCGAAGCGGTCCCTCTTTATCTACTTGCATTTGCATGCTTTCGAACCGCTAGGTTGGCGGGAGCTGGGACAAGCGATGGGAGCTCACTCCATCACGTGGATTTGATCTTACGACTGCTTGGTCCTCTGACCCTGCAGCACAGGCTTCTGCGGTTTAGTCCGCAGCACCACCACGTCCCTACCCCATGTTAAACAGGGAAACAATGGTGTGGATAGTGTAGGAAAGGCTCTGGGTCAGCTAAATCCAAAGACTTTCCAAGTCTTGACCATACCTCCACCAAGATTTCAAACTGGCCCTAGAGTGAGACTGTGTTCCTTCCTATTGCTCACAAAGAAAAAGACATTCCTTCAGAGGGAAATGCAAGAGAAATGTCAAACATGCTCACCCCCGCCCCAATCTGTCTTGCCAATAGCCTTCAGCCCATTAGAGTACTGGATACATTGGGTGCTCCAACTACATTTATAAGGTCTTTTGTCTGTCAATAGTGGGAGGTTATGGGACACACTATATATTATTGATGGGAGAAAAGGGGGGTAACCTATTATGATACTAGAACATTGGGTTAAGTGAAGCAAGATGGTCTCACTTGCAGATTCCTATCAATGCACCAGTTTGTTTCAAAATCATCATCATCTTCACCAAAGGGATTGATGAGCTGCTCAGCAACCTGTAATTAGAATTGTGCATACTAAGTACCATGGTTATTTGGTGCTGAATTAACAATCTTGGCACTGCCAGGCTTACAGTAGTGAACGGTCATCTGTCAAGGCCAAGGTCGGCTGAACAGTTCCTGTGCCCTCCTTACTCTCCTTTGGGACCTCAAAGCACATGAATGCAGTGAGTGCTTCATCTTTTCCTCCCCAGGTGTGAGCCTGGTAAATATCACCCCCTCCTCCGAGTAAAAAAGTTCCCACTGGCACCAAGACAAAGATTTTGTTATAAGGTTAGGTACATGGCAAGAAGGGTAATCTTCACCATGACTGCACAGCTTTGAAAGAAAAGGGTAAATACTCCTCTCCTGGCACAGACATCCCCTTGTAAATCAACCTCAGGGCACCTGGAAGCGAGGAAAGGAAACAAAAGCCCTGTACATACATTCTAACATTGTGATGTAAGGGTGCTTCCAGCCTAAGCTTTTATTGTGTCAATGACGCCGTATTGACAGAATTTTACTTGGGAGAACGGAAGATAAAAATCCATGGCTAGAATACAGTTGGAACCATCACGTGTAAATCAGCAGGGACATACATAGCATGTTTTAGTTTGCTGGCTGTCCTTTGCAGACATGTTCAGCTTGCACACTTCACTGGCTGCCTGACAACTAACTGGAGGAATGGAAAAAAAAACCCACACTTGCATGATTTCCCTTATGTGTGCAATATTTCATAATGGGATTCTGGCCCTTTCCTTCAATTTATAACTGCCTGAAATTTCCCATCATGTTTCCCTTTGTTTTGTATTGTTTTTAAACAGAAAGCTCTGTTAAGTTGGGAAATGTGAAGTTGGGAAGTTCCTTGCCTGGGAGGTCTATAAACCTTTGTGGGGCTCCTGAGGGAATGAGTTGCCCTAATCAGGTTCTGATAGTAATATGGAGCATGTAGGAGTCCTTTGCCTCAGGACCAGATCATACACTACATGCAGCCTGTCATTAAAAAGTGAAAGTCATTAATGCCCCAGAGACATGGTTCATGCAGACTGTTATCACCATAACTGCAGCTAAAGCCTGAGTTCCTCTCCTAATGACTAACCACAAAACAAATCTAACTAAACAAGCTAACTTTCAAAATATGGAATGCATGGAAAGTTCCTGAGGTAACAATGGCATGACCTCAGCAGAAGAGTCCTCCAGCAAGGGCAAGCCTGAGGAACTGGAGATCCAAAGCCTAATGGGATGGAGGTTCTGCCTGACCCTGGGCATCTTGGAACCTCAAGGAACCAGGAGCCTGATGGGGGCTCAGGAGCCAAGTCTGAGGAGGACAGGGGATGACCTTCCAGCCCTAAAGAATGAAGAAGCCACTCCAAGGCAGCAACCGGAGAAAGCTGGGCAGGAAAACTGGGGCACTGCTTTTGAGGGGAGGTCTTGCGGAAGGGGCAGGATGCCAAACCATGGATCAGCTATGCAGCTGGTAAATAAACTGCACCAAACCGGCAGTTCATGCCCCTTTCTAGCCAGCAACTTTGCCTACCTCACTGAATGTGGAACAGGTCAGACATCCAGATAGAATCTGCACAAATCCTTGTTGTAGTGAATGAGATGTTAAAATGAGAGGATGTGATTGCCCAAGGCCACCTTGCAAGGTTTAGAACAGAGCTGGTGGTTAGACTCCTGCTCTCTAGTCAAATCCAGAACCAAAACTGACTTCAAGGGGAATCATGATTTCATGGTTACTTATGTAATTCAGGACATGGCAGAAGTAGTACAACAAGACTCATTTTATGACCTCTCTAGACAAATATTCATGAGCAATCCAGCACAGAATAGGACATCCTTCAGTGAATGTGAAAGAAATGGAAGCAAGTGAGTGTGGAGGAAAACATGGTATTGCCTTGCTGAATGGATGAGCTGTCATGGGCATCTGGCACATGATCTCACGTAGTCTGTAACGGAATGAAATGCAGGACAATTGTGTGCTATTTTGGTGATTTCTGGATGCAGCATCTGAGTGGATTATAAACTAATCCAGGACAACACAGAGTAGGATTAACAAGGGCCTCATGTGAGGGAACCACTGTCCAAGGTATATAACTCATGATGGGCAGCCTAGCAGTTATTTTTAAAAAACAAACTGTTTCAAAAGCACCTTGCTTACAAAGGACTGGCTGTATTTGAATAATTAAAGATCCTTTGGGCAGCAAAAGGAAGGCAATTCCAACATTCATCCAGTGCATTTTTTTCCCTACATTCCTACTGTCCTGAACTAATAATTTTGTAATGACTGCTTTTATAGCATTACACTGGGGCAAATAAAGGACCTTATTTTCACAGTGGAGCAGCTTATTTGTGCACAAGACTGAGGAGATGCAAATTCTCATAGATGCACAGCAAATTATCTCAGCAGTGACCAATTCTGTTTGAAACAGCAAGCTCTGACTGTTCCCATCTGTCTCTTCTCTGAACGTGTACCAATTCCCTGTATTACTGCCTTCTATGACCTAGACAGGACAGATTAATAGAGCTAGGTCCCCTTGTTCTCCCCGCTTCTGTTGATGTTCTCCAGTTGCATGTATTGAGCCAATCCCATGAATGATTCAGAAGAATTGCTTCTATCTGCATTTCTTTTGGAAAATCTTTTGATGTGTGGTCCAGACATAACTTTCGGATAGTATGATACAATTCAGTCATGGCATATTCTGTGCTAGAATACTTACCACTATGCCTAATCCAGATCTATTACCTGACCCAAACTGGGCAAGATAACAGGTCATTGTTGTTGACACTGACTGTAGAAACATACAAACACCCCAAACTGTATTAATGCTACTTGGCCAGTCAGAGTTTCCTGTAGCGATCCAATGGACTCATGGTATAATTTGATCCATTTATTTTCTAGATGATAGTTGCCTTTGCTACTCTTCAGTCATCAAGCAGTCCTAAGGGTGAACAGATAAATGGAGCTCTCTGATTATGGGGGCTCTGAGCTAAATGGTACATTGCAGACAGTGGTGTCATGAAACCAGCACTCACAGGATTCACTTCAATCCTCACAGTAGCTGGGAGAGAAATGCAGCACTATATTGTTGCTAGCTGTTACTGCTATAACATTGAGGTATTTGAGATTGGCTTGTTGCAAGTAGCAGCCATATGGGGATTTAGAACTGCAGAGCTGGAAGGGACCCTATGGCTCATTGAGGCCAGCCCCTGTCGAGGAAGCACAGTAGGGAACTGAATTCTCAGCCTCTGGCTCTGTAGCCAGATACCTAAACCACTGAACTATCCAGCAAATCTAGTTTACAAAAGATCTGCTCCTCATTTGTTGATAAGGAACAGTTCAGTTGCCTGTGTTTTTAGACTCCTCTTGTGCTATTTGTGTGTGTGAAGTGGATTCATGCCATGGGGATGGTCATGATGAGTATGTATGTACACTTTCAAATTTATCACTACACCTCTGACTACAGATAACCTGTCTCTAGAAGTAGAACTCCTCAAGCACTAAAAGACTTGAGAGTGTCACAGCAAGAACTTTTCACAGCTCCTACAGTTTGCAAAATAGCTTTCTTTCTTTAGCCACAGGGAAAGAATGAAGGAGTGAACGAAAGAGGCTAACTTGCCATGTTGACCTCATACATCCTTCTGCTTTGACCATGTACACTTAGGAGCACACCTTCTTAGGTAGCAAACAAACCTACAAAAATGTCCCTCATCCTGCCAGAACTGACCTACCCAGCTTTGGCTGTAGGGCTTCTTCTGTTTACAAGTACAGTTGCTCATTGACAAAGCCTGCCTGAATAATATCCTTAATGGATTTCAGCTTTTAATGACAGCCTATCAATTCCATACAGTTTGCCTCTCAGTTTCATACAAAGCCACACCAGGCACTTGCTGACAAGATAGAACTACAGTACTGCCATTTTGTCTTGCTTTCCTCTCTTTGGGGCTTTTTCTTTCTTTTACTCCAACCCCACCCCAAACCATATAGGAAACACTCTGAGGCACATCTAACTTTCCTTTCATGTGGGAGTAATTACTGTTATTGGCTGAGAGATGTTTTGTTCCAGCTCCCCACTCTTGCACACACACACCTCGTTCCCACATCCCCTGCAACATCCATTTTTCCCACCGTAGCCCTGAGGTCAGAGTTCCCATTCAGGGAGGTACCCATTGTAGAAATTTCCATAGGGGTCAATCTCACATTAGAAGGGAAGTTTACATCCTTCCTACAGACTCTAGGAAGGTTTTTTTACCAGGACCATTGGACTGTAGCCATGAGCTCTTTCCCCTTTTAATTAATCAATCCCAGATGTACTAGAGAGGAAGTAATCAATACAGCATTTATAGTGAGTTATAGACTTAGTTAGCTGCTTTGATGAGGATGTGCAAATTGGTCAACTGAGAAATCAATATTAATTAGAAAACATTCAGTATATGCACAACTTTTATTTGTAATGAGTTGCTTTGTGTGGTTGCAGAGGGACCATAATGATTATCTCTAATTATTTAATCACTTATAATATTTAGCTGCTTCCTTTTACTTTCACTAAATGTCAAATGGATTTATTTGAACTTCACATTGAACCAAACTAAACAGTTAAGACAGGGCAGAACTCATTCATATCCTGCACTGTGGTCTTTTTCATAAGAGTTCTAAAGTGACTCAAATGAGTCACTTTAGTTCCACATGAATGCCACACACACACATTCCTGGTCTCATCTAATTATGCTGAGAGTATCATGGTAGGGCTTTGAAAAGTTATTTTTTGGGCTGCAACTTCCAGAGTCCCTGGGATGCTGGAATGCTGGACACCACATTCTGCTGGAGAGGATTTTGAGGGAGTTGGAAGCTAATCAAGTAGTTTTTGCCTGCTCTGGCCAGGGGGCATGGAGTTCAGTATCATCCATCTCTATTGATCATTATCATCAAAGTCAGGTAAAGCAAGCTGGTCTTTAAAGACACATCTTTGACTGGTACAGTGCTAACTCCATTATCAGGCTGAAGGACTGCACTTTCAGTTGTCTAAACTTCAATTGTCCTTGAAAGTCCAGCAACTTATTAGTTGATTGCCTTTTTAAAATTGTATTCTTGCATCAGCAATAATGATAATAGAAGATATACAAGACTGGAAAAACCTGCCATGCTGATAGTGGGTTATTTGCAAAGTTAGGCTGTAAGTGGCTAATACATTTATAATGTCAATAACAAACAGGGCACAGCATATAATACTTGGAATTAGCAGTGTGTTCCAGATACAGTGTGTTCCAGAAATACTGTGAGCACTACTGTTGCAAATGCCAAATCTATTGGGATGCACACTTTTTCGGTGAGAATGTGTTCAAAAAATATGCTTAATGATGACAAACTATACCAATTCTATACAGGTGCTAATGTTCTGGACTGTAGCCGTGAGCTAATGCTCATGGCTACAGTCCAATGGACCTCTTGATTTGTCTGTATGATATAGCAGTCTGACTGAATAATTGCTGCATCTTTCTTTGAAGTTGTACTGTGAGATCGCAGTAGTAAATAAATGGCTGGAAACATTAAGATGCTAATTTTTAACAAAAGCCTCCTATATCAATTGCTTAGGAAGAATTCAAGTCATCGGTTCTGAATAAAATTACAAGAAAATTTTAAACTCATTGAAAACGACAAAGGTAGTTTACCTTTAGCCATCCTGCATAGAAGAAAAACTGTAACAATGTGAAGATAGGAATGTAAAGATCTAAATCATGACCTGGATAGCCTTGATCAGAGTCCAAAAACTGACGTCCTATCAGGCATGCGAAGAAGAAAGTATAAACAGCAAGGGTAACAACCTAAAATAAGTTACAATCACATTAAAATTAGTACTATTGATAATGGCATACCATAGCAATGCTCTAATACAATATTAAAAACAGCTTAATATGGCCTCTATTCTATTAGTAGTACATTAGTACTATATTATTAAAGTAATAATGAATGTTTAATTAACACACGGCCCTTACTTTTGACTTAACACTTCTTCAACAAACACAGTGAATCTGCAAAATACTGATGGCTGTATTCAGCACCAACTAATCTAACGCAGCATGCTACAAGCATATTTTGATCCATTCAGGGTGGGCCAAGTGCAGGCCTCCAAATGACACTGTGGTGCAGCTCTCAACCTTACTCATCCTTGGTTATGCTGTTTAAGGCTCAGGGGAACTGCAATCCAACAGCAACGTCCGGAAGGCTGCACTTCACACACCTATGTGATAGAAAGCCAGCTGCTTCAAAGATACACTGCTGTGTGCTGGCCTCCACCTTCTTATCAAGTCTTAACATGAATCATTGATCCCTGACATCTAGTGCCAGCCCAACATTGGGCTGCAATTCCAATCATTTCCATCAAGCACAAACCATTTTGGATGGGGGTGGTGAGACTCAAAGACCAAGATGTCTAGAGGGCACCAGGTTGAAGAGGCAGACTGAGATGCAACCCAATGTAGCAAACCATTCGTAAAAAAAAAATAGGTCAGTAGCTATGGAAACACAAATCTTTTTAGGGCTGAATTCACATTGTAATTTAGATTTTTTTGCCATCCACAAATCCCTCCATGCCCCATTCCAAAATGCACCCCAGTCTTTGAATACGGTAAAAGTACCTGCGTGTACACTAGTGGGATTCCGACCCAGTCGTAACCAAAGAGCAGGCTACACCATGAACGATAACGATTCATCTCCTTAATGGGAAGAAGAAAGACAAAGCAAATGTCTAATGGCTCATTGGAAAGAATTACATCATTTTGAGTCTTATTGGCACAGTGGGGCTTGGCATGTGATGAATTTTGGGGCTGTCGTTGGGTTAATTGATCTGTAGTAACAGAACAGCGGAACAGGTGAGGATGAGGCAGTTGACTGGAAAAGGGAACTCTGCAGAATGTCAAGTTAGGGCCTCGTCTGCCCCCCTGGGCCAAGGGCAAACAAGGACAAGCTACTGAACTGTAGTACCCAGGTGCAGAGCGAGGGGTCAGGAGTTTAGTTCCCTACTGTGTCCCCCCCACCCCAGAAGAAGAGGTAGCCGGTGTGACCTTGGGCAACGTACACAGTCACAAAGTGCCCCTAGAAGAAGGCAATGGTAAATCACTTCTGAGTTCTTTACACCTAGACAAGGTTGCAATCAACAGCATGCAATTATCACTAATCATATAGTCATATTTATTTCAATCTAAATACTGTGCCTACATCTCATCTTTCTGCCTGATGACAGGACACAAAGGTGGGTGACCAACAAAGGAAATGAATATATAAGAGAACTCCATAAATTATTTTTAGCGGCACTGATGACCTATGAGGACTGAGGGAGGAAACTATCCATTCATTAGGCCATACTGTTGCTTATCCACTCAGAGCTAACTCCTACTGAACCCAGTGGAGATGGCTCACAAGAATTGTACACAGGACTCCAGCCCTAGTACTAAAATTAAAGCATTATCCCTCTGGATGCCTGCAGGGCATGTATATCATCTATTCAAGCCTATCTACTGAATCCACTGAGAGCTTGGGGTGAAAACACATACAAAAGTGCTTCTTTTGATATTGGGAGTGTTGTATATGTGCCCAGTCCAGTTGTTTGTTTGTGTTTTACTGACTGGAAAATTAGCAAAATTAGTAACACTGGTGTCTATTCAACCAATCTTGTATATGTGACTCACAGGGAGAAAATCCTAACGTATGAGTGTGTTCACTCCTATGATGAGAACAGATGCAAGTCCTGCAACAAAACTGTGAAATGGACTAGGAACTGTATCAGCAGACAGGATCTTTGGCCTGCTGTCAGGGCCCTAGTAAAGCTACCATCCGTACCTGACCAGATAGAGGTACCATTGACCAGTATCATACCTGAAGAGTTCCTACTGTAGTTTCTTCCTTTATGCCCAAGTGGCACTACACTGGTGGCATAGTGAAAAGTTATCATCATGGCTCTCAGAATCAGCTACCCAGCTCTGCCATCAGGTAAAGCTAACAAAATCCACAGATGTAGGATAGGTTTCACCAAAGGGGACTGCACCCAGAGACACCTCAAATCTGAACTTAGCTCCGATGGGTAACAAGTACTATAAATATAAGAAATTTTAAAGCGGAATCAAAAGAGACACAGTAGAGGGAAGTGCTGAAGACACTTCCTCCCTAGGGTACAAGTGGATCTAGTGCCCAGCCCTGGAGGTGACAGGAATACTAAAGTCCAGAAATTCAGGGAAGGTGGAAAAAAGCAACAGAAAGGAAAAGTCTGGAACATGGTTTATATAAAACAAGCAAATTTAAGAACCAGTGCAACTAGACTTTGATTTTTAAGTGTCTTTCACAACTTTCTGCTGTGCTTTTTTTACTTACGGTCAACAACGTTTGCAAAGCTATGCTGTCTTTGATTCTTCCATCTCGTTGGGCTTTTGCTGCCAAATTCCCAAACCAGACAAAGGGGATCCAGTACTTAAGGTGGGGAGACTTAAGGTCATCAAATAGTATCCTTTCCTCTGGTGTCATAAAACCTGTTTATAAGGAAATAGAGTGGTCTTAAGGTTCTATTACTTCTGAGAGCACACACTCAGAATTAACATACACACCTTTTTACCCATTCTATTAAAAGCACTCACTGAGGCTCAGTTAATAAAACTATGAGAAACTCTGATCACCTAGTTCAATTTAATATGTATAGATAGATACATTAGTAACTTTGCATTAATGAGTATATGCATTATTTTAGGCAGATTGACCAGCAGCTCACAAGGTAAATCCAGTTCATGAAGCTATTTCATAGGGCCCAATCGGGTTAAAAAGGGAATAATATCTCTCCTCATGTACTTCATGCAGACTTCATTATAAGATTTGCCAACATGGAGTTTTGTAGATATTCTGGAACACTTTCCATTAACTCTGATCAGCTTGGCCACTGTTTGGAGCAACAGAAGGTGTAGTTAAAAATATTTAGAGGACACCAATTTGGGCAAGGTTGTTTATTACATTGCTACCTGGTGTGAATTCTGAAAAGGCCAAGTCACATTGCCAACCACATTTATTCCACAAGATGTCACAGGCCATGGCCTGCAGAATCAGCAACTTCATACCAGTTGGACTCTGGTGAGGCCCCTGCTGTTGTAAGATGCCAATTTTTATTTAAAAGTCTTTTCCTGGCCAGATACAGAGCATATTTTTCCAGCCTTTAGACCACTGTCTGGATACAGAAATAGATGATGATGTAACAACGAAGCTCAGTGATTCCAACCTGAAAAACATTGTTAACACCAAAGGCTGCTATCTTATGCCCATGTAGCTGAAAATAACTCTAACTGGATATAAGGGGGCTTACTTCTGAGTAGCCATGCATAGGATTGGCAGGTTCAAGAAACAGAAAGGAGCAGTTACTAGATGGGGACATGAGAACAGCTTCCCATTTTTTAAAATGAAATTCATGCGGAGTGCTAGGCTTTATCCTTTTGGATGGTACATGGGAAAGAAGGCATCTCTGTGAGCCAAAGCATGGGGTTATGCAAACTTCCATCTCAGTTATAACAATTGCTTTGTGTCTGCTTGTGAGACCCAGTGACAACAATGATGTATTTCATCCCCATTTGCTCTCTGGTGAGTACTATACTATACCTTTGCTATGGTAGCAAATCTTTGACTAAAGGTGCAAGATTTGCTTTTATTCTCTTTTTACTCCCTGTTCTTTATTTATCTGTACCATTGATCCACTGATAATAGTGAAATGTCCATTTATCATAGCTTGACTTGATTTAGATCAGGGAGACATTGATGTAGGAAAAAGGAAACAGATAGTACCTGCTTCTACCACATGGTCCATGGTTGGAAACCTTTTACAGACTGCTGTGCTCACCGAACGAAAAATGATGACAGATGTTAAGTTCACATAACGCATTAGAGTCCTTCTGAGTAAGCGACCATATTCATCTCTTCCCTCGATAGTGCTGGAGATCAAGAACATCAGTCTATCTGGCCATGGCAGATTCACAAACTGGTTCCACCAACGGTTCACCACCAGCGTAACATAGAACCCTGCAGATGGTGAAAATTCTGGTTCACATTTCTAGCTGTCAAACTTACACAGGTTTGAGTCTTGTAATAATGTGCCTAGTTAAATATAAATAGACACTTAGACTTACTCTTGGTTGGGCAGTATTCTATACCTGTGGTTTTATTGCAAAGTCACTTGTTTAAAATCATTGGACTTTCACTAGTGTATCCAGTCTAACATGAGATTCATGCAACTACAGTCTATAGAATGGTGTATAACTAGGCCTGGCACTGAGGAGCTTCATTTTATCTGAAGCAAAGCAACATATGCTGCTTATATTATTTATTCATTTTATTAAATTTGTATCCTGCCCATTTAGACAGTGTCTACTCTGGGTGGCTAACAATAAAATGGAATAAAAACAATCAAATAATATCAGTTTAACAACAATAAGAAAATCATTCAAGATGGGAGGAAAAAGGGATAAATCAGATGGTGACTGGAGGGAAGGCCTGCCTGAATAGCCAGGTCTTGCGTTGGCTCTTGAAAATATCCAGTGAAGGGGCCAAGTGAATCTCGGAGGGGAGATTATTCCTGAGGCGGGGGGGGGGCACGCTGCTGAGAAGGCCCAGTTTCTTGTTTTTTCCTTCTGGGCCTCCCTCGGCGTTAGGCTCCTCAGCTGCCCCTCCTGGTTAGAATGAGTGTCACAAGTAGATCTAGGTGGGAGGAGATGTTCTGCCAGGTATCGAGGTCGTAAACCGTTTAGGGCTTTATATGTGACATTAACACTTTGAAATCAATGTGGAAACGAACGGGCAGCCAATGCAAAGTGGCCAGAGTGGGAGAAATATGCTGATGTCTTCTTGTCCCACTAAGAAGTCTGGCCGCCACATTCTGCATCATTTGAAGTTTCCACAGCAATCTCAAAAGTAGCCCCACGTAGAGTGCATTGCAGTGGTCTAATCTTGAGATTATGAGCACATGTACCAAAGTGGTGAGTGCCCCAACATCAAGATAGGGACGCAGCTGGGCTATCCACCACAGGAAATAGACAGAGCGGACCACTGATGCCACCTGGGTTTCCATGGTGAGCGCCGGGTCCAGACGAATCCCCAAGCTGCGAACCTCACTCTTCACAGTGAGAGTCACCCCCCCCCAGAAAGAGAGGGAGGTTCCCAAACTGCCAATGGTGGGTCCACCCACCCTCAGGACCTCCATCTTGTCTGGGTTCAGCCTCAGCCCATTTTCCTGCATCCATTGCAGTACAGCCTCCAGACAGCACTGAAGGGACAGAACAGCGTCCACTGTGGTTGGAAAAAAGGAGATGTACAGCTGAGTGTCATCAGCATACTGATGGCACGATGCTCCACACCCCCTGATGACCCCACTCAGCGGCCTCATATAGATATTAAACAGTATTGGGGAGATAATCAAGCCCTGCGGAATCCCACAATTGAGGCTTCATGAGGCCAAAACTCTCTCCCCAAGCTGTACTCTCTGAGGATGGTCCCCCAAGAAGGATCTGAGCCAGGAAAGCGCCAGACCACCAATTCCCAACTCGAAGAGCCTCCTCAGGAGGATACCAATGGTATCAAAGGCGGCTGAGATATCGAGGAGGACCTACAAAGAGGTTTTACCCCTGTCGGCCTCCCTCAACAAGTCATCCAACAGGGCAACCAATGGCGTTTCTGTACCGTGGTGCGGCCTGAAGCCTGACTGAAAGGGATCCAGGACATTTGTTTCATCCAAATGAACCTGAAGCTAGTCGGCCACCATGCTCTCCACTACTAAGGAAGGAAACATTGGCGACAGGCCTATAATTGCCAATATCGTCCGCCACCAAATTTGGTTTCTTCCTAATGCCCTATATAATGCCTTATAGTGCTTGATGCACTCCCTGGATAGTTTTTAATTATGCAGGCTACACATGCAGCCCCCCCCCCCCATGAGCAGAATCCTGGCTACAGTACTACAGTTTAACCACTGGATCACAATGCTCCACTATACCACTAGGCTCAGTTTTCCCTATGACCCTTTCAACTATGCATTACAGCAGGATGCATATGGTCCTTAAGAATATCTTACTTTGGTGTTATCCAGCAAGCCCTTTCCTGTGTATACAAAGCACCTTGATGAATCAGACCAAAGCCCCATCTAGTCCAGTACATCTAGTTTCTCACAATAACCAACCAACCACCTACTAGAAATCCACAATTAAGATAAGATCACAAGCATTTGTGATCAAATAAGCATTTTCCTACTCATATTCCCCAGCAAGTGGTATACATTGACACATGGCCTCTGATACTGGAGGTAATATATAGTCATTGTGAGCCATTGATACCTTTATCAACCCAGTCTATGCCGTTAATCCAGGGGTCTTCCAGATGAGGCATTTTTACACCCTTAAATTCCCTATTAAGCTCTTATCTTAACGGAAGCCTTCCCTCGTATCCAGATGACATTTCTTTGATTCCCCTTTGTATATCTGGATGCCATCTGTCTTACTCTGGGATGTCTAAACAAGGTTTTCTCTCCAACATCCCTCATTTTCATCCCTCCCAAACCCCTTGGCTTATTCTGTGCCATTTTGTGGCACTTCCCTTCTGAGTCCAAAGCTTGCTTCCCCTCCTTTTTTCCCATTTAAAAGAACTCTAATGCTTGCATCCCAAAGTGAGTGGTTTTGGTGTCACAAACTGACACTTCCCAAATCTAAAAAAGGGGTAGAAAAGAAGGAGAGATGGTGCTGGATGCCCATGGCAGAGGAAGAAATGACACATGAGTAGCTGTTGCTGGAGCTGGTGCTCACAGCCACATTTTAGCTGCCAATTCAGACTCTGGTGAACTCATGCCTGCCACTCCGTGCCCAAGGCTTCACAGCAAAGCACCTGTGAAGAGGAGACAAGACAGTGCTTCACTGTCTTGGGAGAGGCACAGATGTCCATTACTCCAACTAAATCTCATTACATCTGGCTCAAGCAACAAAAAGGGGGTCAGAACAAGGCAATACAAAATCCCCTCTGGAAGAGCCCCACATTGGCAGCCATTACTACACAGATTATTTCCTACAATAGGTCTGTATATCACAGAAAGTGTAATGTGTTGTTTTTGTGCGCTAAGGTGCCAATTTGAGAGTATGGAAAATAATTGTGTGTATTTATATTGTTTCCATGTTAGAGAATGGCAAGACCCTTTACCACTACAGCATCATTAGTCTAGGACAATTAAGATCCATTACTGTTACAAAAGACCTGCTTCTTATGGAAATGAACACTGCTCAGACTTTCTTAATATGGATCAACACGTCTGTATGTTTTGTATTCTTCTAGAAGGACTGATTATAGGGATTGTTACTATAAGGACTACTCAGCCACTGGGGGTAACAGCAGCAGATCGAATTGGTATGTCTTGTGTGTGCATTGGTGGGTGTGGTGTGGGTGGAGAGATCATAGCTCAATATATCAGCCCATTTTCCTTACAAATGGCCCCTTCCACTGGACCAGCTTCTGGAAAAATGACCATATTAAAATGAAGAATCGGCAGATGTGGAAAGGGTTACACTCAGAAACTTGATACTGCCCTATAGATGGCTGCTGCAAATTCTTGTTCCCTAGAGACATGGGTTTTGAGCAGGTGTTTGCTGGGATAAGGCTTTGTTTTGCCCAGAGAACTAGATGAAAGCTCAAGCAGGCAAGCTTTATTCAGTCTTTCAGGGCCCACTTTTTTAAAACAGAACTTCATAATCCACCGGCTGGAGTTAGGAGCTAAATAGCTGCTTGGATGGGTCTGTGGATCTGCAGTCAGATTTGATGTACATGGTGTATCTGAGTGCTTTCTCAACCCAGAATCTGGGTTTGGTAGCAGAACTGAGCTCCAGTTCTTTCACATAAAATTCCAGTCCTCGTTTTCTCCAAGTTTTGTTTGAGGAGCTTCACTTTGGTGTGTGTGTATATGTACTGTATGCCCAAGTCCTTTTTTAAAAAGTTGCTATTGTTAAACTATTTGGGATTGAAAAATGAGTGCTTTCTAGAACATGAAGTATAGAGTTCAGTATATATTTTCATGTACTACAACTCAGAAAACTGTCTCAAGCTCTGATCAAGAGACTGAACAGCAGATCAGAGTTTGAGAAAGTTTTCTGAGTTGTAGTACATAAAAATATGATCTTTCTGCCCCTGTTTTCTGCTCTAAAAACTTTCCTAAGGTGTGAAATGGAGTCATTTTGCATGTTTAATCCTTATAGAGTGTATGCTTACCTAGCACAAAAGTGACTGGAATTTGTTCTGCGTATTTATCACAGTAAATTGACAGTTTTTCAAAATACCGTTTTTGGCTTCCTGTAAGGAAAAATCTGCAAGGAAAAAAGAAAAAAAAATCACTTTGTTTGATACAAGAGCAAGTGATGAAGAACACAAATGTACAAAGAGGAATACTCGGCATTAAAAGTAATAACTGCTTAATGAACCATCAGGGGCGCTCACAGGAATGTTTTGGAATTGTGACAAAAGCCAAAATTACCCGAGGATGGCATTCTAAATACAGTATTTAGCATTTAGCACTAAGGAAAAAAAGTGAAATATATTAAATGGCCTAAGGATCCTGGCTGACAGGATTGGGCAACCAGGATTTTTGATTTAGCAGTGATAGAAGAGATCATTGTCCACCACCCACCCTCAGTAGTAGGCTTCTTTGTTCCTTCAGAGCTTAGTTTCGATCCTCATCATAGTTGTGGGTGGAGAGAAGAAAGGGAGGGTGTCCTCAGCAGTAATACATGGTTGTGAGCTTCCCCAGTATTAATGCAAGGTATTTGGGGGTGGGGTAGCTGTCAGGCTCCTCAGCTCTATGAAGGCCTTCGCTGCTGCGAAATAAACACTTCAGGTTCTACTCAGCCTCAACTGGTAACTCCAGCAGAAGTGAAAACTGAGTTACTATTTGCAGTTTTGCAGTGCTTTATTATCAGAGCAGTTCAATGATTTTTTAAAAAAAGTTCAGCAGCATCTTACGTGCACTGGGGTGTGCTCCTGATAGAACAACCACCGTAACTCATGACTACTACTTCTTCATAAAGGGAAATATAAAAATGGTATGTTTTTGCTTTGTTGAAAAAAGTGTCCAGAGAGAGATGTTTTACAAGATGAAAAAGATTTACCTGTACAAGATGCTTATGGCTGTATATAGGCAAGCAAAGAGGAGAAATTCTCTGTAAAGCAGCTTGTAGATGCTTCCTTTCCATTTGAGAAGTAGTCTGTGGAACCCAAAGAATGTGGCATTTGCAACTCTACTGGAGTATGTGACTGTCATATCCTGAGAAATGGGATGCCAAAGCAGAACAGGAAATCAAGAATATTTTATGCAGAATACAAATTTTAAACGCCTGCAGCCTCCACTATGAACAGCACTAATAGAGCAGTGACCGCGTTCTTAGTCTCAGTAGTTACAATCATTTCAACAAACAGCAGCTACAGTTCCCTGGGCTGCTCTCCGGAGCCACAAGGGACAGAAATATGAGATAGATGATGAGTCCTGCCTCAGACACCAGATCTCACATTTGGGTTGTGTAGCAATCCTGTTGATAGACGGAATACTTTGTGCCTCACTCAATAGCCAGTAAAGACATTCTAGCAAGCTACTAGCAATGAAACTTCAGCTCACAGAGGACCCACCGATTCAACTGCTGAACTGGCACTTTGGTTTCACCCTACTCAGAAGGATGATTTCCACTTGATATATAGAATCTGCAGTAAGAAAGACTGCAGCTCATTGGTGGATCCCTGAGTTGACAATTTCTCAGCACACTGATTCAGGTAATCTGGTAATTATTACAATAATGATTACACTTGTTTTTATTGGTGGTATGAATTGATGGGTGAGGAGAAACCACCTCATAAATATATAAGCTGCACTCTTGCATCCTCTTATTTATGCATGACCCCACTACAGTCCCTGGAATTTGGCCATATATAATGGATAGCAGGATGGCACTTTGGGCCCGAATATGCACCGACAGTCAGGCCACAGCCAGACATTTAGTACCAGATGGATTATTTATTTAAGTTGGAGTTTTTCTATTAGATTAAAATGGGTTTTAAAACCGAGTTCTAAAGGCCCATATTAAAAACAACTATTAACACTCATCTGTGCTGTCAAATGTATATTAGGAACCTATCATTCTTCCTCCGAGGATATACTAACTGCATGCAAATGAACAAAAAGTCATCTAAAAGTGGTCACATAATATTTTTAAAAGGAAGTTGAAAATAATTAGTGGTATGATTTGATCATTTTGATTCTGTGAGCTGCTCCATGCTTTGATGTATGTCAGTAAGCCTTAGAATTCAGAATTGAAAATGAGGAGAAAATGAGAAAAAGAGGTGGCAGAAGGACACATCAATGAATGACTTGTATATTTTTCATATTTTTCAATGTTGCAGTGAAAGAAAAGGAAATTTTTTGTAGTCCTTTAAATGCTAACAATTGTATTTATATGTGAGTTTTGGGGGTCAAATTCCACTCTCAGATACCTGAGATTCATCAACAAAGCTCTGCTGCTAAATCATTTAGAATTTTAATAGTTTAATATTACATTAATTTAATATTTCAAAATTTAATGAACATTAATTAAATCCACAAGTTATTAATATGGAATGCGCACACTATAAATGTCATTTTAATAAATCAGATGCACATTTAGTCTGGGACAGAGAGAGAAATACACACAAACACACACACACACACACACACACACACAAGCAGAGACAAAGAAGAAAATGAAGACCCCAAAAATCCTGCAGGTACTAACCTGCAGTTTCTGCTCAGGATACTACAGATGCAGCACAACACGACTTTGGTCCCACTATGTTCCCAAAGAGCATTGAGGGTCACTCTGTTCCCCTTTTCACCTCATGTGTCCAGCCTCCCAGGGCTTTCATTGCTCTCTGGAGTTCCCTCAGGACTGGACTGACAAGCACAGGGGCTAACGTGTCTTTCCACTTCGGGAAGCCTGTTTTTGCCAAGTTGTCTACTGCGGTCAGTTGCAACAGGGAACAAACGCAAGCAGCACCTGCTGATTTGGCTCTTTTCTCATCTATAATTATCACTCCACTCGTTATCCAATGGATCCCTTTGGTCTGAAGGAGGAATCATGGAAATCACTTGCACTGACATTTTCTAGTTTGGATCCTGCTATCTGCCTGGTTGTGCAGGAAGTAAAGAGCAACTTTTAAAAAAAGGAGTAGAAGAGACTGGTTTTAAGAAGTAGTTTCATTGGCAGTAAACCTTCACTGGAGTGCAATCCTAGGAACTCCCTAAACGGTGTCATTTGGCCAAGGCAGATTGGATCCAGTACTGTTTTTCCTGCTTGCTTCTCCTGAAGATAACCAGTCTGTCTGAGATGTTCAGCAGCTTTTCTCAACAGGGCTCCTTCAAAGTGTGGAAAACTATGGATCTAATCTTCCCTGAATAATATAGCCCCTCCTGGCTGTGGACATTGTTATTTGTACTCCATGTTGAACCTCCTCAGGAAATCTGCACCAGCAATGCTGTTAGGAAAGGAGAACTGGGAAGCAGACTCTGTCTGCTCCCCAATACACACAAACACATGCAGACACGATATACTCTACTTATAACAAGTAATCTTCAAAGAAGTAGCTGTGTTAGGCTGTCTCAGAAGATGGTATAATTCACATTAGAGAACGAACAAGGAAACAGATGCCTGATGTTTTGGCTGACATTGTTGGGACCCTTGATGGTGCTGCCAGTGTAGATACAGGAGAATCAACTGGCATCTAGGCTTGTAACAAGGCCTTGTTCTTGTCTCTGTCTCCGTTTTGTGTTGCCTGTTATGTGTGGGTAATTATTTAAGGTTGAAGGCTTGTCTGTAGGCAAATATGGGTCACTTGGCACAAAAGAATGAATGGACACAAATCTGACAATCAGGAAAGACAACGCAGAGAGACTGGTTACAGAACATTTCAACCTCCCATGATAATATTTTTTAATAGATATTAAAGTCGCTGTTATAGAAAAACGTATTATAAAGGGGGACTTTAAAGGCAAACAGCAGAAACTGGCTACATAACCAATTTGGGTGTTCTCTAAGTACCTAAGTACATTGATAACCCAACTTTCTGTAATATCTTATGGACATAAAATATTCTCTCTTGACTCTGAGTGTGATCAGATGAATGTTCAGTCCGGTGTTTGGACTGCTGCAGAGACAGGCGGGTGTACTCTTAAAGATAGCGATCAGATGACACAATTGCTGGAGTGAACTAGAGCATTCCTACCTTACGGTCCCCTCTCAAAGGGTTTCAGGGTTTTTTGTTTTGTTTTGTTTTGCTTGGTGCAGGAAGGATTGTTCTACTTTGCTTCATCTCCAGTACATGTGATCTCTGGGAATGGACCAAAGGAAGTCTTCCTCTTTCACTTTGTCAAGTAGCTTAATAAGAGAGCTGCTTCATGATATAAGCAAATCAAACACTCCCTCAGCTCTATAGAAGCATTTAATGTTTCAAAGGCACTGCAGGGAGACTGCCTTTGGAGAGAGAGAGAGAGAGAGAGAGAGCTGGCATTTTTAAAAGAGGCAAGAGGGAGAGTGGCAGTGGCAGGAGGAGACAGAGAGGGAGGTTGCTTTTGGAAAGCCAAACTCTCTTGTGCGCCTGCATGTGCCTGTCTGTCTTTGTATGTGTGTGTGTGTGGGGGGGGCTTGAATTTTTTTAAAAGGGCAAGCAGAGTAGCAGTGGCAGCAGGAGGAGACAAGAGGGGAATTTCTGCTTTTCTCAACTGGCTCTTTTAAGAGAAAAGCAAATAAAAATCCTCCTCATTGTCCCCTCCTGTCTCCCCCCACTTCTGACAATGGGCTGGTGGGGACTAAATAGGATTGCTTCTGGTCTGTATGCCATTTGGATATGAAGATCACATCAAATGGCATAGTGGACCTCCTGGTGATCCTATTTAGACCACTTTAGTTGGCTCCAAAACGGGCTTGTAGACAAGCCCTCTCTCCCTCTCCCAGATCCGATTCGTAACATTCCTAGCCAAGACTACCTGGTATGCAGCTTATCATGCTTGCTGGGACCTGCTAATTCAATTAATCAGCACTTTGATAGAATCATTCCTGTGTTAATGAAACACTATCACTTTTGCCTATTACCTCTACCCTCCCCTGGTAATGGAGATATGTATAAATACAGAAGACATTTATTTGAACTCTGTATTTGAAGAACTGGCTTGTGATCGAACAAAGCGCATGGTGAAATAAATGTTAATATTTCAAATGCTATAATATTTTGTCTTCACCCCTTTTTCCCCTGCTTAAATTCTGCCAACTAACAGGTGATGTATAATACTAGAGTTGCTAGCACTGATCACATTTTTGATGGGCAGGGGTAAACTGCAAATGCAGCAGTAGCAGATGCTGTGCCATTTCCTTCTGGATAAGGTCCATGTTTTTGCACAGGAGCAGAGTGGCTACTTGGCAGGCTGAAGACACCCACTGCGCAAGTCTTATGAGTGCCATGTGGCTTTACACAAACCTTAATGCTGCTTGCAGAGATACATACATGACTATCAGAGAGATCTAGCCAGGTGTCAATATATGTAGTCTCTAAACTCCAGACTGAGCATGGACAAACCATAACAATTGGATGTAGCCAGACAGCCATTTTCATCAGACCTTGTTTGCACAGCTAATGGTGAGGGAGAAATCACACTAGCAGGGCTACATGCTGCCCACCCTTGCTGTATACACTGGTACTGTATGCTTTTTTTCCCATTGTAAGGGCAGTATGTGAATTTAAACTGCCTTTTAAAAGGAGGCCATACTCCCCAAATGAACCTAACCCAAGATTGTTGCTGACAACTATAGATTACCAACTTCTGATGGAGAGGTTCCTATCCTGAGATTCTAAGGATAGTGAAACATCTATTCCAAGAAGGTGCCACTGCTCAAGGCTTCCCTTAGTAAACCTGCCATGTTTCAGATGTCTTGAGGTTCTGGACTTATGGCTCTGAGAGGCACACATCTTTTACTGTGATCACAGATGATTGTGTTTCATGAGGAAATCCATACAATTTTAATGCACACTAATACTGGGCTAAGCTTACTTCATTAAGCTTAATAGAAGATGTATGATAGATTTTCAAGCAATACAAATCTTTTGTTGTAGTTTTGCAGGAGGCAGTCATGCTAGTCTCTGCTAGCATATCAGGCAAAATCCAAAGAAACCAAATGAAACAAGACAAAAATGTGTAGCACCTTAAAGACTTTTTAAAAATGTAGTATTTCGTGGACATGTCCACCTTGTCAAACATATGGAAACCGAATGAAATGCTGAATGAAATGCCAGTTGAAATATGGAAACCGAATGAAATGTTGAATGAAATACCAGTTTCACAAGTAGAGCATTCTAAATAATCATTGGCTCTTAGGCGTATGGTTGCTGACATTCTTGACTACCATTGGCAACTGGCATCAGGTACCTTTTCAGGATGCTCTTTTACAAGAATATCTTAATTTATGATATAGACAGCTCCCTTGCAGACGTCATATGCATTTTAGATTACAGAAATAAAACAGAAGGAACAACAAATTATCAGGCAGGCTAGGTCACTCTGGTGGGAGTAAAACTCATGGGAAATATGCTGGGCATGCTCCTCAGCTGAGAAGGGCTGCTGCTTCATTGCTGGTTTATTCTAGGGTTGGAGTATTTGACTATTGAGCCAGAAGTTGCTAGTTTGAGTCCCCATTGTGTTTTTAGGGCAGGGGTATATGGCCTTGGAGCAAGCTACGGTACTCAGCCCCAGAGCACCCCACCCCCAGGAGGAATATGCCTCTTCTATCTGGGAAGCCCTGGGAGGGTCCCTGAACGTCACAAACAACCAATTTGCAAACAAAGCAACAGAAAGGGAGCAGGAAAGCGTTTCAGGGTCTGTTTAGCGTCCCGTTGTCCTCATACCGAATCTTTGAGAAATATAAAGATCAAGTCCTGGGTTCCATATTACAAGAAGGACTTTGAAAAACGAATGTATGTTTATTCCGGAAGGACATAAAACCAAACCAATGGCAACACGAGAGCATTAGAGAACATGTCTTAGAACTGGCAGGAGGAAAGAAAATGAATGCGAAGATAAAAAAAAAAACATTAGAACGCATTTTTCCCTTCCTTCACCACCACGGTATAACCACCAGGCCTCGCAAACCGTGTCTCCCCGCCCCCCCTTCCCGACCCAGGCGTTCTCGGAAACAGCCTATAGAGGGCGGCGCGAAGCACTCAAGCCCCGCCTCCCCCAGAGGCTTCCCGCCTCTTTCACTTGACTTGGGACGAATCTAGTTCCGCCCGGCCAGGGGTGGCCGGAGGCGCTCGGCGCATGCGTGTCCAATGCCCCGCCTTTCATGCTTGCTGTTGTTGTCGGGGGATTAGCCAGCCGGGGAAGCGTGAGACGTCGCTGCCGCCGTTGTGTTCCTCTCCGCCGCCTCTTCCCCCCCCCAAGAGGGAGTCGTTTCACTCACGGGGCTCGGCAGGTAAGCCTCGCAAGGACCCTCTTGCTCCTCTCGGGTCACGCAGCCCTTGTAGCCCCGTCCTCGGAAACCCCAGGGCGCCCTTATTTACGGGAGTGCCCCAAAACCTGCGGCTCTCGGGAGCTGAGGCGTGTGCTTTGGGGTCGCCCCTCTCCCGTCCTGCCTGCTGTGCCGCCGCCGCCGTCACCTTTCTCCCTCTCCCACGAAGTCCGTGTTTCCTGTAAAGCCAGAGTCTCCTTTCCTTTCTCTCCCGGTGTCCTCGCCACTTCCCCGGGGCAATCCTTGGCTTTCTCCTTGTCTCTCCCCCCCGCCTTCCCAGTCTCGGTTTTGTCCTCCTTTTCCAGGGCAAGGGCAAAACCTCCAAAGCACTCCCACTCCGGGTTATGCGTTCACACGGGAGTCGCTTTGCCCACCTGCTGTCGGAGGTGGCTGCCGTGTCTCTCCCTCCCTCCCTCCCCGCCTCCATTTCGGTGGATTTCTGCCAGTGGCCTGAGCTCCGGGGCTGATTAATGAAACGCGTTCAGTAACCAGATGGGGGATGATGACAGTGCCCTGTGGAAGAAGGAAATATAATATCATTGGCCGACTAGCGTTGGATGAATGGTTTAAAAGGATGCGTTTAGTGTGTTTGGCTGCCTAGACAGCTCAGAATCTCAGAGGCCATGAGTATCCATCATCTCCAATATGTGGTTGGACATATGCAGTATTTGTGATTCTTCTTGTTTCAAAAGCCCTTGATACCGCAAGCTGCTTTGTGTTTATTGGCACACAACCGCCTCTGAGATTCCCAGTGCTCCTGAGTTGCCAGCCTCTTTGCCCCAGATGACTAGAGATGCTCAAACCTTGCTCTGTCGGTCTGTCTCTCTGTATTATGCATTGGATGATGTGGGTTATAATCTACATGAACGAGATGGCTTGAGAGTAATACAGTACATCTATGAGTCTTTAAAGAGTCACACAAGACTCCTTGTTCTTGCCACAACCCAGAGACATGGCCACATCTCTGGAAGTTTTTCTTTGGTTTGCCTGAAAGCCAGCCCCTGAACACCCGTAAACACACAGAGAAAGTCTTGTGCCTTATGACAATCATAGTTTTTTGGTTTCGCAGGGTAGACTATTCTGCTACATTGTGCTCGACTGCGTTGCTTACATATCTGACTCAGCAAGTTAATTATTTAAATCTGTTCTCACTCCCCCCTTTTGTTCCTTTCCTCTGTGCTCCCTCTTGCCACCCTGACTATCAACTGAATGCTGAATCATACAAATGGGATGAATGTAAATATATCTGTAAAGTTTCTGAGTTCAGAATTGTCGTTTTCTGATAACTATAATGCAGGGACAGTGGGGGAGAACTGTGCATAAGGAAACAACAGCTTATATGGACTTACATTTCATAAGGGAAATGCTGGCTGATTCACATGTATTCATCATCATCATCATCATCATCATGGTGTATTGTCAAGTTGATTCTGTCTCTTTCCAAGGTCTTCTAGGTAGAGAATGCACAAAAGTGGTTTACCTTCTGCTGGAGTTTGCCTATGACTACACAACCTGGCTCTTCTCCTAGGTGGCACAGTGGGGTTTCAAAACTTAAACCACTGAGTTGTCTAGCTAGCTCATGTACTCTGATCCCTTATCTTTAAATTTTTTACAACAATCAGTTTAGGTATTCATATACAGTAGTCATCTACCAACTATAAATATATGTATTCATAGTAGCTGCTAATAATTTAAATATAATACATAGGTTATTATTCTACAAGGATTGAATATTCAGGGCTTGCTTTATTAAACATTTTGAGTTTGTTGTTAAAAGAAACTATCTTTTAAATTAATGAACAAAACAGTTATAAAGTAGGTTATAAAGTTAAACAGACCCTTCTTAAATGTGGAATGTAAATGTACTATCCAGAATACTTTGTCCATAACAGGCCTACTTGTGATAGTTGGCCTAGTACAGTACCTTGTAACTGGAGATTATGTTGCTAAGTGCTACAGATTTAAACTAATAGCATTTTGAAACTGAGGTTAAGTGGGATGAAAAAAAAATGGAGAATGTGTTTCTTTAAAACTTATTAAAAGTCCTGAATGGAGGCTTGTGTAGAACAAATGATGGCCGTTTTCTGAAGCAGTGTTTTATTTTATAAAGTAGAACAGCTGTTAATTTATTTTTTTAATTGCTTAACTCTTTGGGCCACCTTTGTTAGAGGTGGCGCAAAAGAATTAATAAATTCTGGAATGATGCATCAAAAAGAAAGCTAGAGAAGGAAGAAATCTTGCATGGTCTGTGGAAAATTACCTTGATAATGCATACATTTGATATCATTACTGTGTGAGCTTAATCTATTATACATGAAACAAGGGGCTTGATATGCAAGAACTGAAGCAAAATTATGCTTCTTCTTTTTTACTTCTTGCAATTCATGTATCTTTTATGTATTATGTGCACAGTCACTTCAAGCTTATTTTGTGTTTTTTTCCTTTTAGTAGTGACCGAATTTGGTTATGCTAGATTAACATTACCTTGAGAATAAAGAAGGATAAATAATTTATCTTAGCCATTATGCCTTTAATAAATAACTAATGTCGGTAGATAACTTGCACCTGACACTTAATACTTAATCTTGTTTAAAGGGACAGCATTCAGAAGAGAAATCTCCATAACTATGAATTTACTTTTTTAAATAAAAAGAAACTTCTTTGACTCAATGCTTGAGAAAGCTGCCTGGCATCATGCAAATAACCAGCTTTAATGGTATTTAAAATGGAACTGAAATGCTTCTATGGATACCTAATAGTGTTTATTACAGTGAATTATGTCTCATGTCTCATGAGATCAGTCCTTCTAATGTGGTTTTATCTGTTTTTTAAAATAATAAAATCACAAGCAGTATCAAAATCTACTCCGTCTTCAGGATCTTTCCCACAGGGCAGCTGTGGCAGATAGGAAGGAAGACGCTTCAGCTGCTGTTGATGGTAGATGGCCCTGTGGGAACGAGGGAGAAAGGCAGAGTCCAAATGGAGCAGGCCTTGATGTTATCTTCATCTCTCTCTCCCACTCCCTTCCGTTTGGCAGTTACATTGTACAGTGCACAGATGGTGATAGGCAAGCGTGTGCAACTTAATTTTGTTCAGTGGCAGACGTAGACAGTATTCTATGGTGTCTCCCAGAAGCAAGTCCTGGTTCATTAAGCCATTACCAGGAGCATCTTCCCATTGGTTTCCTTGTCTTTTGCTATGTTCATTTCATTCATACATTCATTCATTGGGTTTTAGAGACACTTTAATCGGGTGAAAGGCATTCATACAAATGTGAATGAATAAATGAATGAATGAATAAATAATTATTCAGTCAGCTGACAAACCTTTAAGACAGAACACATTTATGACAGAATAGATGTGTTCTGTGCATGCTACCTTCCTCCAGAAAATCATGCTAAAGAATTAGAGTTTTCAGATTGTCAATATACTTAGAAAATAGGTAAGTAGGGAATTCTTCACGAGGTCCCCCTGCTACTGAACATACAAAGCTGCCCTTGGCCAGTCTAGCCCTGTATTGCCCTCTTTGATTGGCCGCATCTCTCTAGGGTTCTTGTCCAAGCTTGGACACTAAATCTTTGGCACACAAAATGTGTTTTTCTGATATAACACCTTCATAGGGAAATGAATAGGTCCCCATATTTTAATTTTCTTGTTAGAAGTAAAACAAGCAAAAAAAAAAAAAACCCAAACAAACATGGCTTTGGTTTGGGCATGGTCTCTGTTTTAATTGATACCAAAGCTACTTCAGCATTGCAGTGAAGTACAGTTAAAGAAGTTTATGTTTAAATTTTACAAGAAGGCTATGGAGAGATCACTTGCTTCAGTCTTTAAAAAACAGTCAAATTGGGACTTGTTTTCGAAAAGAGCCCCCTTTTCTTCTTTCGTAAGATTTAATTTAGGCTCCCTCCCATAAACGATCACAGAAATACAGTACTTCACCTTGCAGTTCTGTGCTTTAGTGAAAAGATTGTGTTCCACAGAAATATTAATGCAATTCTTTAAGCTACATCTGACAAAAATCAAATTTAAGAGTTACAAAGAAGACGCAAGACTTCTAGGGATGCAACACTGGATGAGAATTATCACATTAAGGCTCATTGGTGAGGTGTGCTTGTTTTCTCTCAAAACATCCCCCCTCCTTGCCGGAAAGGGGGGGGCAAAGAAAGAAAATGATCATTTTCTGTATACAGTGTTTCTTAGAGGCAGCAATTAAATGTATATTAGTTGCCCTTGTAAGTAGACCAAGATCATCCATTGGAGACCAAGATCATCCACTCTTGTGCTTCTGATCACTATGTATGGGTGTGAAAAGTGGACAGTAAAGAAAACTGGAAAGGAAAAAAACAATTCTCTTGAAATTTGGTTTATTCTGTCATACTTCCTTAAAGACCTGCCAGTGACTGGATATTTATCTCTGGAGGCAAACATGTTGAAACTGAGGCTGTCCTATTTCGGGTGCATCATGAGAAGGCAGGATTCTCTGGAGAAGGCAGTAATGCTGGGAAAGCTGGAAGGCAGTGGGAAACAAGGAAGACCAAATATGAGATGTATAGATTCCATAAAGGAAGCAACAGGCTTGAATTTACAAGAGCTGAGCAGGGCAGTTGAGGACAGGGGATTTTTGAGATCTCTCATTCATAGGGTTGCAAGAAGTTGGAGGCGACTTGATGGCAGGTAATGACATTCTTACGTTTATTCCATGCTGTGTGCTACAAAGTACTTGCCAGGAAATTATTCCTTGCTACAAATGAGCTTTGTTCACTGATCTGAATACTGCTGCTTAAATGAATTGGAAATCTTTCTTTCTCTTTGTGACTCTATATATTTGGAAACAGGAGAAACTTTTAGAGATCTGTCAGTAGCCCCTGTTGTCTGGGTAAGCCATTTTTGAATTGCAGTGCCTGATGCCTGCCAAGATAATGTAAATACTATAGTTTAATAGTAATTTATCCAGAATTTAT